ACAGGAAAAAGTTGAGCAGTCATTGCGTCTCCAGTTGTGACAAGTTTCTCCAGTTTTTGATTACATTTCCAAAAGTGACTCATCCACTGTTGTTGCCTACTGAGGAGATGATGAGCAGCACGTTATCTGGGGCTCAGCATGAGGGTTGCCTCTCTGCAGATATCCTGATTGGCTGATGTGTGTCTGCACACAGAGGGAGACGCCTTCACAGCCTGTTAAGGCAGCTCCAGCTCGACTCAAAACACCAACTTTCTTGTAGACGGTTCCAGCCAAGTCTCCACAAACAAGAACAGGGTTTCTTTACTCATACATACAAGATATTGAACAACTGTTCCACTCAGCGTGGGGATTAAACACAAATCTGAATATTAAAATAATCTCAGCCAAAGCAGGTGATACCGACTGTATTGCTGTACACATTTCTTCCTATATGTTTCCCTATTTATTAAGCTGAGCTTGAACTTGGTTTAATGAAACTTTTTAAACGTTCCATATTTAAGATTCTGAAGCATTTTACGTATTATTTTTACTTATTAATCACTTTTTATTGGCATTGAATGAGCAGGTTGTATCTTAACTTAAAAAATGAAACCTTCCCCAACTTGTCTCGGTGTCCTGTGAGTTGTATGTATTTCTATGTCGGGATGTGAGTCGAATTTTCTGCAAAAAATCCAAAGAATATTTGTCAGCAGTGAGCAACAGCTAATATAATCTTACAAATGGGGTCTATTAACATCTACAAACATCCACCATTCACCACAACACAGACTCCAACGTCGAAATGTTTTCCCCAGCTAACGTGATCCATGATACTAACTTATCTATCTATAAAGCAAGGAATCTCTGTCTGTCTGTCTGTCTGTCTGTGTGTGTGTGTGTGTGTGTGTGGCTCAAATATCTCTGCAGATCAGGATCAGACTGACCTGAGAGTTTCCACATGGCTGCTGTGTGGTTTAAGGGTGTGCAACGTCGGCTTTGTTTGCACTACAAACATACCGTTAAATTATTTCATAAATGATTTCCGAATTCTGCTAGCATTGCCAACCATAGCCACCGTAGCCACGTGCGCACCAGAGCCAATCACTGCAGAGCACGTGTTGAAGGTGTTTCCCAGTTGTCTCCCCCCATCAATCTAAACCCGCGGACACTTCATAATCATATGGATGCTGTTATAATGTGTAGTGATTGAGATCCTGACCCACCAAACATCCTGGAAAGTGACAAAGTTACGTTTTTCACTCTAAATTACACAATTATTACACAATAATCACCAGCAGTAAACTGACTCCCTCACTCGCAAGACGGAGAATGTTTTAACACTCCGTGAGTTTTTCGCTGGTGACAGTAACGGAAGTAATGTAACGGAAGAGTCGGTAGGACAGGCGGGAGGACAGACAGGAGGACAGACAGGAGGACAGACAGGAGGACAGACGCTTCTCCACGTACAGCTGTGGTATTTTTTTTCCTCATATAAGTTTCCAAAGACAGTTACAGTTACTACGTTACTGTTGTTTGGTCCTATAACGTTGCTTTGTGGGACATTTCTCTTTATTAAGTTGAGTGAGAGACCTGTGCAGTTATCAGATCTGACCGACACGCTGGATCCCCAAATCTCTCTCTCTGTCTCTCTCTCTCTCTCTCTCTCTGATGTATGCTGGCCTATATTACAGGATTAAATAATATGTCCTAAATGTCCCTGACGTCCCACCGTCAAACACAACCTCATTTGGCCATCCATGAAAAGCAAGCTAGTTAGTATGGAGTCAATGGTCCAAATAGAATATAGCAATACTGCAGATATTAACGTTATTCTAAATATTAGTGTAATTTATTTTCTAGTGTTCAGTATGTCACTTTTGGCCGGGGCCCAGGATGATGCTTGATATTTATGTGTGACTGCAGTTCACTTAACGGCCACTGGTGTCGCCATTAACACAGATTTTCTGAAAGTTATATGCAAAATCTTTAACACTTGAGGTTATACTTTAATGGTTTTATTTTTAAAAAAAAGTCATAATACAGGCTGTGGATAAGAAGCTATAAAGCAGGTCAACCCCTAGCTCCTCCCCTCAACACTTTATATGATAGTTGCTACCATTGGTGTGTGTGTGTGTGTGTGTGTGTGTGTGAATGAGAAGCATACTGTAAAGCATTTTGTATCAAAGCGCTGTATGAGTGCAGCAATTTCATATTTATGATCATTAAATCACTTAACACATAAGAATATCAAATGTTGGGCATATGCACGAACAGAAGAAGTCATATTTTTGATATAAGACAACCTGCAGCTTTGTATCGATAAACACAAAGTGTGGCCATCTGCTGTCCTTCAGAACCAGAGAGAGAGGAGCGTGATGCTGAAATGGGCAGCGGCTGTGCTTCATGTCATGCTAATGGAAGGAAATTCAGAAACATGATCACTGCCGGTGACTTCAGCAAGATCATTTATCTCAAAGTGCTCGTACAAGTAGCTCACTTTGACGCTAATGCCTGCACTTGACTACTCAAAACAAAAACATAAATAAAATTAAAAAAAACATTTTATGGCCAAACACTTGTCAATTTTGAGAATTTAGGATGTTTTGCTTCCATACCACAACCTCTTTTAGAAGTTAGTTGTTTGTTTTTTCGTCTATTTACATCTATAGATTTGTCCTAAGGGTATACAGGACATAAATAAATGAGATAAATACTTCGAGCCAGAAATCTTCACATCAGTAGCGCTTACATCAACCAAACTTTTCTGTTTTATTCCAATCTATATTCTGAAGGTTTTTCACAGCATTTATTCATATATCATTTATAACCTGATTTATATAACGTTTTATTCCTAAAAACATGGGATATTGATTTTTTTTATGGTTGTTTTCTTATTTATGGATGGATAAAAGAGAAACTGTAATCTGTGGAAACCTTTGACTTACATATGTCAACAAAATGAATGAAGAATTTTAACCTGCTTTATCAAGTAAACTTTAGTGATTCAAAGTGCTGCACAATGTACAACGCAAACACTGAAGGCCACAGAAAAAAAGAAAATAAGAAGAAATACCAAAAAATAACAAAACAATAAAAAAAAAACTACACAGGCAAATACACCTTAAAGGAACAGGTGAGTAACAGCTTCTTTAACTTAGTTACATTGTTTTCTCTTTTAACTTTTTATGTTTTTTCTTCACTTCTGGAGGTAAGGATTGTTTCATTATTTGCACTAAGTGACATTATCTTTATTGTCTTTATTATAGAGTTATAATCTGCTCAGACAATGACCACAAACTGCTGGAAAATAAAGGAATGAAAAGACTAAGTGATGTTAAGCTATTGCATAGTTTGTTGTTTACATGTGAATGACCTAATAAGCTAATAAATGTATATGTATATATATATATTCATACATACATACATATATGTGTGTGTGTGTGTGTGTGTGTGTGTGTGTGTGTGTGTGTGTGTGTGTGTGTGTGTGTGTCTCAAGTGTTAAAAGGTGCTTCTTGAAAAGTGGGAATACATTATAACAGCCGAAATGAGCTCCTGACATTCTCCAAGCTCTTAACCAGCACACAACTTCAGAAAGTGAATAGAAGATCAAAACCTTTTTACTTACAGGGCTTAACTTTCATTTAAGGTACCTTGTGGCATTTTAAGGGCTGTGAATGGAGAAGAAGTTTCATTTGAAATGTTTGGCAGTCCCCTGGTGGTAATATAAACATTATAATGAAAATTGATTAGAAAAGAAATTGGCAGTGGCTTCTGTTTTAAAGTCAAGAGAGAGAAAAAAAAACAATTGGATAAAGACTGAAAAGGACGAGAGCAGAAAAACAAGACCAGTTCGTCACACAATAACAAAAGCACATTCCTACAGCAGAGCCAATAATTTAGAACTGTCAGTTATCGATATCTAGATGTATAAATGTACCACGTCTTCTTAATTAGGTGGAAATCCATGGAACAAATGACTATCCTCAGGGAACTGAGCTGATATCTCCTTATCAGATCAATATATAAAGCTGACATTGCCGGGTTTATGGAGGGTTGCAACCTTTCCTCTGCTGTAATATTACCACAATATTCCCGTAGACCTAATATGGGAGATTACCGTGTGTATAATATTGAATTTATGCACGTCTTTAATTCAAAATGTCCAGCAGTATCATTATAATATTCATTTTTTAACACAGTGCCTGTAGTAGTCTATATTACAGTACAGTGTATTAATGTCTGAGGCTGCTCCCTGTCCTAGCTTAAAGCACTGGCGCCTCCTTGTGGCTGGGTGTGTCATTTTCATTGCAGAATACAAGCAATTTGTCAACTCTGCCATTAAAACCAAACAGTTTTTGACAAGTTTGTATATTATTTTATTTATTTTTAAAGCAAAATATGAGAGATATGTAAGATACTCACCCACTGGCAGGAGAACAACAAACTTATAATGACAGAATCAGACCAGTCAGATAATATGGGCCAATGAAAATGGTTTTAATTTGAGTTAGTTAGTCTGTGCTGCACGTGTCAAAGTCTGGTGGATCTGTAAACCAAACCTCATTCAGAAATCTTAGAAATAAAATGTTGCCTTGCTAATTCAGTAAAATTAACAATTTACACAACTTAATTTAACACTTTTTTGGATTAAGTAGCAAGTTCTGGAAAATTCGGCACTACTTTGTTTGAATAATAATACCCTGATTTAAAAAAACGAGAATTATTTGGTGTTTTAAAAGATGCCGAATTGAAGAGTGGCTCCAAATGCGTAGTATCCTATTATTGTTTTTCTCTCCTCTATGTGTTTACGTTTTGGCTCTAAAGGAGACAATTTAAAACATCTACGTTTGTAAAGGAGGTTTGGTAAGGGCTTTATTTTATGGGGGCGTTCCGGACTCTGCTCCAGCTGTGGCAGGTGGTAACGCTGCTTCTGTACCACCATGAGCAGATCCTCCAATTGGCCAATCGGAATTAAAAACAAAGCTGCCGTGATGAGATCCTGCGCGCTCATTGGCTGCCCTCAGTGTGACGCAATCTGTAACTCAGTACTGATTGGTCGCCGGCGCACCTTTAGATCAGTACGCATCCCTCCACTGCTGTGCCTGAATGCGAGCAACCTACACAAGGTACGGTCTTATTTTGAATTGTAGATACTTTATATTATTAATATAACAACGCAGCTCTCTTATTTAGTTGTATAACCACGCGAGGAAGCCTTTAAGTGTTTGTTAATGCCACAAAATAACCTTTTTAATGAAGTTGTCCCATGTAACGTCGGTCAGGAAGTTATATAAATGTGACACTTCGATGTGTCTTCACTGAATTAACGTTCATATATGGTTATCAAAGCTGTCCACATTCTCTCATATGCAGCTAATGGTTAATTCGGCTTCGTTTTAAACTGCAGAAATGAAATCAAATTATGATTAAACTGTAAGTCCATCAGCACGGTAACACAGAAACACATCTCATATATACACATAATACACATAATAATACACATACATACATACATACATACAGTCACTGGCTATTGCTGGGATGGCTTCTTGTGTTGGATGAACTGTAACATTAATTACTTTATCATAAGGGTACAGATTATAAAGTAATGTTTAACTAATGCATGACTCATGATGATTTAATACATGAACCAAAGCAGGATGGATCATGAAGTGCATTTGCCATCTTTTTGTCCCTTTGTGATGTTTGAATGTCAGATTCAGTTCTCTCTTCCCGTACTTCAACAGATTCAACCATGGATCTTGTGCTGAACGTTGCGGACTATTACGTCCTCACCCCGTACGTGTACCCCGCGTCGTGGCCCGAGGACGGGGCCCTGCGGCAGATCCTCAGCCTGTTGGTGCTGACGAACCTCGGGGCCGCCGTCCTGTATCTGGGCCTGGGGGCCATCAGCTACTTCCTCATCTTCGACCACAATCTGAAGAAACACCCACACTTCTTGGAGGTATAAAGCCCGTGTCTCATTTTGTAAATGGTGCTGTAATAAAGTGCCGAAGCAATCACTTGAACTTTGCATCTACGAGGGGGGGGGGGGCAGATTTACTGGGACACCTGTTGGATAAAATGCAATATAGTTATGCAATAAATACAACCTTTTTGAAGGAACTTTTTGGTTTTGGTGTTGGGTTGAATTATCATGAACCTACTGTACTGTGGCCTCAGAGGCTGGAAGTAATCACATGATTAATGCTTTGTATATATTGCAGTCATACTCCTATCTGCTTTACTTTTGCAAAATGACAGGAGGCCCGGGACCAGTTAATAAACATTAATAATATTTCTAATTTAAAGTGATCAAACCCATAATTCATCTTTATTTGAAAACCCTTAGTTTCATATTAACTGACTTAATGACTAAATTAACTTTTTACGAGGGTTGACTCGAGGCCTATATGACAGATAAATCGGATATTTTACTGCATTTAAGAGCTGCAACTGCATTTTAAAGAGTTCATACAACATTAAACATCCGGAACCTCATCCATCACTCAAATTTTGGAATGATTAAAGAACACAAACTGCTCCTGCGGGGGGCAGAATATGCATCTTTACAACCAACAGCCGAGTGTTCAGACGTTCTGTGTTTACAGCAACCGCCAGAACAATTACAACCCCATAACGTCACAACAGCAACCAAGACACTCTATTACAGATCAATTAAACCAATAAAAGTGCGATAATAACACCAACAGTGTAATGTGAAGTCCACTCAGCCTCAAGACTCAGTCTGATTATCACATTATATTCCAGTGAGGATACCCCGGGTGTTAATAGTCACCAGAATTAAGTCTGTTTACATTCACTGTTATTTATTTTAATCACTAGACCTTTTTTACAGCAGCTATTTTGACATGAAATAGGGTAAACACAAGTGTAACCAGTGATGCTAATTAAGGCTCTGTTGCGTTCAGGGCAATCAGAATCTGCTCATGTGGAACAGAACTTGAATTAGTAGTGGTAAATGGAAATAGGTCTATTATTTGAAATGTATTTTTCTATTTATTCCTACTTAGAATCAGGTCCAGCGGGAGATCAAATACGCGATGACCTCTCTTCCCTGGATCAGCATCCCCACCGTGGCCCTGTTTTTCGCTGAAGTTAGAGGATACAGCAAACTGTACGACAACGTCAGTGATTCTCCGCTGGGTAGGTTGAAGAAAGTCCTCACTGGCTTGCAGCTGGTCTGTAGTAGTAGTCTTGTTTCTGTGTTATTAGGAACCCTGAACGCACCATCCAAGTTCTTTGTGTTGATACGGTCTGTGTGCTTTCAGGTTGGCCCGGGCTCTTCCTGAGTATGATCTCCTTCCTGTTTTTCACTGACATGTGTATCTACTGGATTCATCGGTTCCTTCATCACAAGCTTATTTACAAGGTGAAGACAACTGTGATTGAACCTAATAGGTTCACCTTTGTGGCTGCTTAAGGCCATATAACGAATTTAAACATCAACACTTCATTTGAATTTTTAAAGAGCTAAAGAGCAGGAATCCTTTGTATCCATTACAGCTGGGGTCTACTGTTTGTAAGACCTGCAGAAGGTGCACATTGCTGGTTTTTATGCCAAAGCTGCACTGTCTGCTGTGTGTGTAGCTCACCCCCGCCCTCGGTCAATCACACCCACAGACCGCAGCTCTTTATACATTCATAGTCTCGCATAGACAGATTTCCACACCTCAGTTTAGTGCTGAAGAGCAGACGAGAGAGATCTGCTCGCTACGTTTCTAGTCCCATCATCAAAAATCCTGCACGCTGCCCAAAGGTTGCATGCCTTTCAGTATACATTAGTATTCTGTCATCATTAGGAAAGTTCCTTAACTTCTTATTCTTTAGGGTTGTATATTGTTAAGAACCTGGCTGTACGATACGTATTGTGATACAGGGCTAACGTTTCAATATATATGAGATATGATGTGATACTGTAAGCAAGGCGATTTATTGTGATTCCTCTTTTTATCTAAATCTTTTATTTAAATATTAGTAACACTGTCATAAAGAACACACCACCGTATGCTCAAAAACGTTTTATGCAACCAGAACAATGTGATGTGTACTAGTATTTATACTAGCACTACTGTAAGCTATAACCGTCTCTCTCTCTCTCTCTCTCTCTCTCTCTCTCTGACTTCTTCTTTGCTCTCTCGTCCCCAACAGCTGTTTCACAAACCACACCACATATGGAAGGTTCCCTCTCCCTTCGCCAGCCATGCCTTCCATCCAGTAGACGGCTTCATGCAGGGACTCCCGTACCACATCTACCCCTTCCTCTTCCCCCTCCACAAGGTGCTCTACCTGGCCCTGTACATCTTCGTCAACATCTGGACCATCTCCATCCACGACGGTGACTATCGCGTCCCCGGCGCTCTGACCAGCGTCATCAACGGCTCGGCCCACCACACCGACCACCACCTCTTCTTCGACTACAATTACGGCCAGTACTTCACCCTGTGGGACCGCGTGGGGGGCTCCTACAGGCACCCGTCGGCCCTCATGGGCAAGGGTCCCCACGATCTGATCCGGAAACTTCAGGCAGAGGGAAAGTTGGGAGACGACGGAGTGAATGGACATTCTCAGAGAGGAGTCACACGTAAGGAGGAGTAGGGAGGAGTTGTAGTTTTTATAAAGACATTGTGCTACATCCATGCTGAGTTAGAAAACATATCGGAGCATAATTCGAGTTCCTGCACTGTACTTGCCAAATAAGCCGCCGAGAGATTTTAGATCTGGAATCAAACATTCTACCCATCATGACTCTGACATCCAGAGTCGCAGTGATTGAAGCAGGAGGTGAGAAGAGGTGCTTACTGTAAATGCCACGGTGCACAGAGAAAAGCTTTTTGCAAGCCAAGGCAGAGCCGAGAGACATGAGGGGCATCAAAAGGGTGGAGCTGCTACGTCTCCCACTGTGAACGTTCATGATTCAGAGCCGAGACTGGTGTCACAAAGATCAACTTCCACTACACATTAGATTTTTAGCAGTTTGCGGTGGTAAGTTCAGGCTGAATCTGAAAAACGTGGCAAAGCAACAACTGCTTCAAAGGAAAATCCTGGTATTTTTCATTCCTTTTTGATTAATGCGTTGTTTACACTCGCCACCCCTTCATATATTGATACAGAGTGTATGGAGGCGAGCAGCACAAGCACTTAAAGTTTGACAGCAAGTAAAAAGCCTGCTTGATATTGTAACTAACTGCATACTTAGAGAGCAACCAGCAACAAATACTCAGGTGGAAAATTACCATGATTTTCTTTTAAGCCAATAGGCAGCTCTGTTCCCTCCTGTAGAAAGATTATACCTTTTGGTACCATTTAGCATTTACAAGGCCATTATACGAGGAAAACTCACTGTGGCAATAGCAGGAACGAGGAATAGCAATGAGTGTAAATAGTTCTCATGCTGTAGTCAACAGAAAACAAAGACCGAAGTGGTCTGTCTCTGTGGAACCACCTGTGTGGAACCACCACCTGAAGAAGCAACTGATCTTCTTTTTCAAGTTTCTTGGTTCTTTGGTTCTACAAGGGTTGCTCATGTACACTAATTACAGATCAAACAATAATTAAATGTTTCCACTTTGAAATGTATCTGTTGTTTGGGTCTGTCTTCCTACAGTCAAACATTATGCTTGACAACTCAAGGTCTACTTACTAGCTTTTTTCGGACCCACTTTTGTGGCTATCAGCGAACGGAGCATGCTCAGTTGTCCTTGAGATTAACTGTTGTCAGCTCAGAAGCTGTTTACATCTAATAGATTTTTATGGCTCCTCATCATTCATTCTGAACGTTGACTCAAGCACCACTTACTATATTTTCTCTGAGCTTTGAACCACATCACAGTCAGCGGATATAGCCTGTGTCATTTTTTGTTTAAATTTTAGTTGTGCATCAAGAGATCTGTGACAACTGAGGAAGCTCCATCTACCGATGAAGACCTTGTTATATGGTTGAAAGCTCAGGCAGAACCTTTAGTTGTGATTTTTTTAATATCAAACAAGGATCAAATAGTTCCGAAACTGATATTTATGGTTTGTTTGTTGTTTGCAGTCAAAAAAAAATTTGAAATCACCTTCTAAGTTTATTTTTATACTTCAGTTTACAGACTACACATCTTACAAACTACACATGTATAAGCTGGCAGAGTGTAAAATTCATGCGGCAGGTAAAAGAACATTCAGATACAAAATGGACTTCCTGACATTTACAAATGCTCATGAGTACACAGTGTGCTGTATATACAAACAGAACATGTAATTACATAGCAGCATTCTCAGCTTCTTAAGTCTTATATGCAAAAGTGCACACAAGTCAAAAGTGAACAGCCAGAAGAGCAGCAGTTTGTTTCAGCAGACGTGATCGGAAGAGATGGGGCAAAAGGGAGGGAAAGAGCCTCTCTACACATGCTGATGCCAGCGTCCCAGCGTCCCAGTGTCCCAGCGTCACAGTGTTGTCGGGTCAGTAACAGAGATCATCTCAGCAGAAAAGGAAGGGCATCCAGAGGAAGGATCGCATGGCTGTCCCTGCTGCCATGCCTGCCAGTAACCCCAGCGCTATGTTCTCCATCACTCCATCAAACGGGTCCCTCTGAACAATCACCTGGTGGGTTCCTGAGAGAAAAGACGGAGGGAAAGTTTATGGGCTGATACATGTTTGGTTAATTCTAGTAAGAGAGGAGCTTAGGATGTTTACCTCATCTTGTGCCAGTGTCTTACATACCTTATATAACTTCATTATTTTAGATTATCTTAGTCTTACATGATACTTATTCCTAAATAAAGCTGTGTTACCACAAACTGACACACTGCAGAGGTCACTTAATATTGTAGAGTTGGAGTGGTGTGCTGTCCTGTGCAGTCTGCTGTATGCACTGTACACAATGGAAACTTAAGGGTGGCGGTGGGGGTCTAAAGAGAGGGTTAAAGCTGCAGTAGGTAACTTTTATAAAAATTACTTTTTCTCATATTTGCTGAATTTAACTTCACTATATCCTGACAGTAGAACATGAGACAGATGATCTGTGTAAAAATGAGGTTCCCTCCACGAAAACATCCAATCAGAGCCGAGAAAGATCGAAAGACGCTTTAGGTTGGAAACAGATGATCTACACAATATATCTTTTGCAGATTAGTTTGTGAGCAAATAGGTGCAAATGTGTCAGGAGTCGTTAGGATGGATAATACTCTATTTACACCATCATTGAGGTCTTATTTATTGTCATTGTTTCTGCATACGTACCAAAAGAGTCCTATTCTTTAACCCTAATATGACTTTAAAAATCAAAGCACTCAGACGTACAGATTAGACTACATTTTGCAAGACACATTTTTACTGGACTGAACAGCAGCTGTATCCACCTGTTTCCATTTGAACCAATATTAAATAAATTACCATATAATACACATTACTGTATCATTATTTTTTACATACCTTTGCATTGGTAAAAGGTTTATTGTACTATTGCTAAGTCGCAGATTGCCAGTTGCTTAAGGTTAGTGTTTGTGTTTCTTGCATCGCTACGGTAACAAACCTGGTCCAGCTCCAGGTGTGATGTAGACTGTTTGGTAGCTGTTGATGGGGATTGCCTGGTAGGAGTCATCGTATGGGTCGTATGTGAACGCCTGCAGAAAGAAAAACCCCAAACACCACTGAATCAAAAACACTTTATAGATCCACACAGATACAGTTGCTCCCATTAAAAATATATAGAAGCACAGAGAATTATAAGAAAACAAGAAATAAGATGTATGTAAAATATATATATATATGTGTGCATTATATTACAATATATATAGAAAAAATAGGAAATATGTAAAAAAGAAAATATGTATACTATATATAACAGAGATGGGATCTATAAACAGATGTAATAAAATGCAAGAATTGTATGAAGAAGAACTATTGTACATATACAGGAAAGATGTGTGAGCGCTGACAGAGAACATGGATCACTCACCGGGTTTCTCCTGGTCTCTAGCAGAGTCAGTTTCCACGCTCTGAGAAAGACATGAACAGGAATGAAGAGCTTGACGGATGGACAGTTGCAAAGTGAGGCAGCACAGACGAGACAAGAGTGAAGTGAGAGTACTTACATGGATTCATCCTCACTGTTGGCACACAGGTTGACTGTTGAGCCGTCTTTAAGCTGAATCACAATGAGATTCTGTCTGGGATTACTCTCTGGTGGAGCCACATCTACAGCCCCCCAAAAAAAAAAAACAAGTTAACGAAGTAATTCAACCAAAAAATGAGCACATTGTCATCAGTATGAGGATCTTTACAGTTAAATAATACATTTGGATGATATATATCGACTTCACAGACAGTGAAACATGTGAACGATCACCTTTATGTCAGTTAAATAAATTAAATAAAAGAAGTGTGCACTCGCATGGTGGTGGGAAAACAGCAGCAACATTGTGGTGTTTATATCGTCGTTACTTATTGAACAGATGCATCGAACGATTTAAATAATCTCAGGACTTTTTAAGGAGCAGGCCTTCGGAACAGCCTCAGTCGTCACACCAGTCCTGGAACTCCATCTGGTTTGTTCTTATGTTTGTGATTTTTCTTCAGCTATGCGCATTGTTGTGCTTGCATTCAGAAGTACAATGAAGGAACAGTGTTTGCGCTGTAGGGGGCATCGGGTTCTGTATTATGGTCTCATACGGCTGGGGTGCTAAAATGCTCCTGCAGAGCAATCACACAATACATGCTGTGCCCCAGTTCTGCACCAGATACCAACTGCATACAGCACATACTAATCTTTACTTCCTGCAGCAATACGTCCGTCTGCTGTCTTTACTTGTGTTTGTCTTGACAAAGGAGTGCATCCACAGTCATTCATCCATGTTCATTTTGGTGTCAGATGTATTTTTCTGCTCATCTGGTTGAGTATGGAGTTTTTGTTTATTGCTCTGGTTTCATTGGCTGCTCAGGCTTTTCTATCAGTTCAAGCTGTCACTAATGATTTTCATTCTCAATAAATACAAGGATTTTTTTTTTGCCTATAAAATGTCGACAAACAGTGGTTCCCACCACTAGGTGTCACCAAAGCTGGTAAAAACTGGAGGATACTGGTTCAGGAGGGCTGGTTCTGTTCTGGACTGCCCTCTAGACTCCATAGAGGAGGCGAGTGAGAGGAGGCTGTTAGCCAGCCTGACGTCAACACCTCTCACCCCCTGAACGAGACTGGGGGGTCCCTGAGCAGCTCCTTCAGCAACAGACTGCTGCACGCCCAGTGCAGGACGGAGCACTAACGCAGGACCTTCATCCCAGCAGCTGTCAGACCTTTTAACTGCAACACCACCACCATGGTCACTTTCTTTTGTTTGAACTACTTATACCAGCGCTGTATAGATCTTACATACATATAAATAAATAGAATTTCTTACATACACATCAACCTGTACTGTATATTCATAGCCCTGTCTCGGCCTATATTCTTTGCTAAATTACTGCTGTATATATATTTTATTTTGGTCCGGTGCAATTATTTGTTAATGTCTCCATGCCACCCTCTCATCACTCCATGAATATTTCTCTATATCCGCCCCTGCATCCACTGTCACATTGGTAATAAAGCATAAAAAATACATAATACTAAAACATCTAAAAATAAGGATACAGATACTACATACTAATCTTTATTTCATAATGTTTTTGCAGTTAATATGCAACAAATCAACATCCTTACCCCTTTTATATTAACAGGAAATGACACCTTTGCTGTTGGATGTCAGTAAAACTGCGACTCTAAGAAAACCGATTAAACTTAAGGAAAGTTAATTTAAGTTATTTTTTTGTTCTCTGAAGTGTTCCTGGAGCGTCCTTCTCTTGCATTGCATTGTGGGAGAATAGTGTGCATCAACCTGAGGAGAAATATTGGGAGAATGGAAGTGGCATACAGCGGTAGTGACGCTGCTGGCTGCCTGTAAATCTTCAACAACTGACGAAGCACATTGTCGGTCTAAGAAAGCTTCAGAGGCTCAGTTCTGTGATCATAATTCAGCTCTACTTTCTGGCACTGAGCGAGTAGGACTGAGCAGTTATTCACTATTTTATATACTATGAGTTCTTGGTGGCGTTCCATCATGATGATACAATCACAGTGTTATTGTTTTATTGTTGATTATTTTAAGCTTATCGTAATTAAACAGTTTTATAAAATTCAAACCAGTGTGGCATTTCATTACACTGAACGTCAGTGTGATTACATTGTGTGTTATTGCCTATATTTGCCACACTGTGCTCTATATCCATATTGTAAAAGTATTTATTGTGATATTAATTGCAGCCATACCACCTAGAGTCCTGGTCTCCACCAACTGCTGAGGAAAATATCTGACTCTTCTAAATGCTCCACTATTTCCACCACATAATCCCTAACTGTCTCTGTCTGCTGGCTGGTGTCACCACAAGAGACCCACTTTCAGATTACATAGAATCCATTGTCAATATAAAAAATAGTGATGAGTGCAGCTTTGAGATAAAAAAAAAAAAAAGGTTAAATGGTGGCTTTACCTCCACATTCCAGGCCAGATCTCACGTCTACACATGCTAGTTTGAGGCTGACGCGGTGCTCCAGCTCTCGCCTGCTGTCGGTCTTGTAGAAGCAGAGACTCCCATCTACCCAAAGGTCACACCAGTTTAACTTCCAGCGTCTTAGGACAGAAGCTGGAGGAGAGACACATGTCACAGTGTACCATTAGTGTTTGTCCACGAAGGAGCTGTGAAGTAAGTAGAGCCCGACCGATATGGGTTTTTTGAGACTGATGCAACATTACACAATTCACAGATTACCAATATGGCAGCCAGTGCTATGATCAGTAACATGAATAAGTACGTAAGAAGAAGAAATGTGATTTTGTTTTCTGTTTGTTTTGTTGCTGTGTTTTCTGGATGTTATTTTCCAGCAGATACATCCACGTTGACTGTCCCGGGTAAGCCACTTAAAGACATGGCCAGGGACAATTAATGGGATTATAAATCACCAAGGTTGGAGTTTCATAACAGGTACAGTTTCACTTTCTAGAAAATTCTCAAATATTGATATCAGCCTCAGAAATCCAGTATTGGTCTACCTATAGTACATAGAATAAGCTGTTGAAAGCTCAGTAGATAAAGACACTGAAGTAGAGACTAACTGGAAGATGAAATCATTGATTCCTACAACAACCAAGATGTCAGATCGTCTTTACTTGTGTTTGTTCTTACTTTAGTTCAAAATATGAAAGAAGTGACACTTTAATAAAAAACTGAAACATTCACCATGTTCATTTGTTGTCAAATGTATTTTTGTATTGTATCAAATGTTCTCTTTTGGTTACAGTAATGATTTTCATTCTCAGTAGATCCAAAGATTTTTAGCCTGTAGAATGGCAACAAACGGCAGCACCTTGTGGCCTAGAGGTTAAGGCACCGACCGTGAACTGCACCACCCACGGTTTGAGTCTGGCCAGTGATGTTTGTTACCTGTCATCCCCCACCTCTCTCTCTCTCTCTCTCCCCCTCATTCTCTCTACTGTCATCTTAAAGGATAAAAAGCCTGAAAAAATAAGAATAAAATAAATACTCTTTGCAGGTTCCGAGAGGCTAAGGTGTCAATTCTGATTACGTGTTTTGTCTAAACAAGAGAGAAGCTGAAAATCCTCACATTGGAGATACTGGAACCTTCACATCAAAAATAATAATTTATAATGAGCGTCATTACCAGCATTGGTTTAAATTAATCAGATCTTGAGTTGGTGCTTCTTGTCTTAACAGCTAAAGCTAAAACTAAAGAAAACATCCTGTATCTACTCACTCTGTCTCCACAGCCAGCCTGACCTCAGCAGCGCCATGTGTCTCACTGTTGTCCCACTAATAATAATAATAATCCAGTAGAAGCAAAAGGAGAGTTTTAAATTTCAGTGTTTACAAGACTGAAAGATCCAGCAGCTGGTTTTGGCCTCTGTTTATATCCCGTCTGTCCCACAGACACTGAGGTACTGGTACATTAATCTGGCTCTAAGGTTGACTCACAGGATCATTCTGGATTAGGAGAGTGTTTGGCCACACCCTCTCATCCAGTCTCATCTTCCTCGCTCTTTCTGGACTGATTTCTCTTCCTGACTCTCGCACCGTGTGCCATGCCTCATCTTTACTATACGTCTACATGTTCATGAACTAAAGTCACGTGATCCCTGAACCGTTATTGTATGCACACACACACACACACACACACACACACACACACACACACAACACACACACACACACACACACACACACACACAATATAGCATGCTTTTACAAGTTAATCCCAGCACTGAAATAACAACATGAGGATTAGCCTAATTGTAACAGTCTCCAGGTCAGTTATGAGAGTCTTCCCAGGATGCCCGGTGACATAATTTCCTTGTAAAGCTCAGAGAAAACACTGGTCTCTTCTGCAGTACTGAGTCACATGATTGTATATTTATAGTCACTTCTTAATTTAGAACCAATGCTTTCTGACATTTTGGGTCATTCTCTGCAGTGGAAGAGCGGTAAAGGCCTCTCAGGTGACCACAAACCCTGGGCAGGTATATACAGGTATATGCCACGGCTTGGCCACCCGCTGTGTATCTGTGAAGAGAAGATCTGTCAGGAGAGAGTGCCTCCTTTGTGTAGGGAATCTCAGGTCAGGTCAGCGTCTTCCTTCTGGAGAGCCATCTCACTGAATGTGCTTCAAACAGACGACGATGTTCAGATGATCTGTATTAGCTCTAGTAGTACCAGTAATGGGAATCAGTCCACTGCTTCATTCATTTGCTGCAGTGAGCTGTTACCCTTCAATTTCTGCATGTGTTTCAAAGTAAATGTGTAGGATTTAGCAGCATCTAGCAGTGAGATTGAAGATTGCAACCAACGAGCAAACAACAGTGGCTGTGAAACTTGAATGGCCCTATGTAGAGCCAGTGTTTGGTTTGTCTGTTGTAGGCTACCGTAGAGACTCCGTAGAAGAGGACAAGCTCCATCTGTTGATAAAAACTCATTCTAAGGTAACGAAAACACAACAATTCTTATTTTCAGGTGATTATATACTAATGAAAACATACCTATGAACATTATATTCCATTTCTGCCATCAGATCCTCCTAAATGTGACACACTGGACCTTTAATGTGAAGGCAGTCGTAGGCCCGACCGCAGTGTCCAATATTTCACTATTAAGAATAAGAGAATAGTGCAAAATGAATTAATTAACCATTAATCTTGTCACAACCTGTCAGTTTTATCTTGTGACCCTTTGGAGAGTTGGATGGTCAACCACTTTTTTTTTATAGTTTAATCTGAATTCAAGCAGGGTTTTAAATGCTGCAGAGTATTTTAAAATTATTTTATTGGTGCAGTTTGGTAGAAATGTCTCCACAAACAAGGTAATAATAAAAAAACAGCGTTACATAACAAAGAGTCACCACAATTACACAGATACAGACCGCTCGCTCACCCTTTCCCACCAACACTCCCAGCCCTAAGTTAGAAAACACTGACCTGGATAATAAATGAAAAGTAGGCTACTGAAGGTTATCAAGTAAACAAAAATTAGAAACATAAACAAGTTGTTTTCAGATGAGAAAAACAACAGAAAGAGGTAATGCATCTAAAAAACAAAGAATATTCCAGTCAGATGGAGCTCTTACCTTTAAACTGAAAGCAGATTGAATTGTAGTAGAAACACATAACGTGACTGCCATCTGGTGGCAGCATGTGGTTGGCCTCTTCCAGTCCATCAAAACATTAAAACTACTGTCAAATATTAGTGTTTGAACAAATGGAATCAAACTACTGACTGCAAATACACACTCAGATTACACATATGTTTCTGTATTGGGTTGAATTATGAAAACAACGGTCTGTCCAGCTTCTTCCCTTTTCATGTCTGGTTATTAAGCAAATGATTTCCCTTTGTAAAAATGACTTTAGTGCAAAGCTCGTTTATTTATCAATTTTATTAATTTTATTTTGATTAACTACTTATAATAGTGGGGGAATTATATATAAACAAGCCAAGCTGAAATTATATTATCAAGAAGATGAACTCCATGTTGTCTTTGACACATGTAATTAATGTTTTTAGTAATATTGTACTATTTATTTACTCACAAATTAAGTTTTGACATAAATCCTCCCAAATTTGCATTATTATTATTATTATTATTATTATTATTATTATTATTATTATTATTATTATTATTATTATACGCATTTATATAGACCTGTCCTATCTCTATTTATTGTGTAACACTGCAGATTTACAACTGGCTGGAATCAAAGTAAAAGGAATCAGGTAAATATATTTATCATCATCTATCACAAGGTTGAATAACGAAAGGAAAGTTTGCAGTTCCTTGATGCTACAAAATAAAATACCTAAAATGAAATTAAAATAAATAAATAAATACAATTTTTTTTTTTTAGTTTATTATTGTTTTAAAAAGTGTACATGTATATGAATTAGTAAAAAAAGACGGAAAAAAACAAGACATTTGAACTACGTAACATCCGGCAAAGTGGGCGTGTCTTAAACTGACAACTAACTGAAGAACAACAAAAACAAACACAACACCGAGGGGGTTCCGGGGACGGTGAGTGCATTCAGGTCTGCAAATATATGACAGTACAGAGTGAATACCGACCTTACGGTGTGTGTGTGTGTGTGTGTGTGTGCGGGAGGTCGCGGTAATGAGTCGACTCTAGCAGCCGCTGAAAGCTCGTTACCTTCCTCGGTAAAGGTGAACGCTGCTGCACAACCTTGTACGTTACCTCGTTCCTTGAAACGCTTATTTTCGACGTTGCCTGGTCGTAAAACGAGTCCACATCCCCCCCCTCCGCGGCTGCCGACATGTCGCCTCTCGAGTTGCTGTTTCACCCTGTCGATTTTGCACGAGAGACATTAGGCCTCGGTCCGAAGCAGCCCCCCCAAAAAGTGCCGTTTTCTCTCTGGTTTGAGGAATGTTTTTGCCGAACCCCGTTTAAAAATCTTACATTTAAATGTTGTTTTGCTTATTTCCAAGCGTGCGCGGCAGCTACAGTAATACTTCTTACAGTGTATGACTCGTTGTGGGTCGCCATTCAATTCGGCGATATTAAATCAATTAATGCAATTAATTATTTTTATGTAAAACAGTGAATCAGTTAGGCATTGCTGCTGCTCAACTACACCGCGGTGGGCAGTGGTGAGTAGTTTTCAAAACTTGAATTTTTATAAGGAAAAATAACTTGTTTTTCGTTTTGGCCGAATAAATCACCGTTTTTCTATGAAATATTCCCAGGAATTGTAAGTGATGACACAAGAAAGGTAACATTATATGTACAGGTTTTAAACACATGGTATTATCTCTGTAATGTGGGATATCACCATAGTCTGGCATCTGTTCATCAGACCTTTCTGAAAGACTTGTTCGTCAGTGCATTGAACTCCAGCTACTATACTTGTCTGCTGTTTTCTTGGCCCTGCCAGGAGCCCAGCTGTCACTCTACCTTCCTTTTGTCAGCCTTTATAATGCAGGTTTCACTCCCTTTGATACTGAGTAAAGGCTGTCTTCCTGTGCCGTCTTTCTTCCATTAATATAACACAAAGACATCTTATATTTGCATGTATGTAAATAACTATTCTCTGGCTCGACCCACAGTTTAGATCACTTCCATCAGAGTTCTCATCCACCTTTCTCTCAGCATGAAAGGAGGCATGTGATCTGATGTGTTGTTGAAAACAGGCTTTCCTTTGGTCTCCGCTACATCAGAGCTCTGAATCCGGGGATCTGTGAAATAAGAAACTATCTATGACAGAAACATCAGAAAGACTCCGGACGCGACGCTCAGCCATTTTGCAAACACGCCACCTCAGGTGGGCTGAGTTTAAGATGATCAGACCCCGTTTGTCTGAAACTGATAGGGCTGATCAGCGTTGAACAGGGGCGGTGAGTCCGGGGGAACCTGGGTGCGGACACACAAGGGCGAGAGTGAGGTCCTTGCTAAATCATACTACTACAAATATCTTTGATTATCTTATTGATCATGGCTTTGTTATGTTTTTTGGTATGGGCTAGCAGCAAGCATTAAAGCTGCAGTAGGTAACTTTTATAAAAAATAACTTTTTCCCATATTTGCTGAATCTTTCACTGTATCCTGACAGTAGAACATGAGACAGATAATCCGTGGAAAAAAAAGGTTCCTGCGGCTCGTTCTACTGCCCCTAATGACATTTGCACTAATCCACCAGGCCCGAACGAAAACAACCAATCAGATTTGAGAAAGCTATAAAGACGCTTTGGGATGGAGGCTTGAAGATAGTTGATTGCTGAGTCTCTTGCCCGGGTATTTGACGCCTTGGGAATGACCATTAACTGTCTTTCTTGGCTCTGATTGGTTGTTTTCGTTCGGGCCCGGTGGACTGTCGCAAATACCATTGGTGGCACTAGGACGAGACAGGAACCAGATTTATTCAGAGATTATCTGTCTCATGTTCTGCTGTCAGGATATAGTGAAAGATTCAACAAATATCACAAAAATAAGTTACCAACTGCAGCTTTAATGAGATACTACTGCTCCTACGACTACCTATTAGTAATGATACTGTTGCTACACTACTACTACTACTTGGTTAGCGTTAGGATGAGAATGTTACCGCAGCCGCAGAGCTGATCATGTCCGCTCTAGACATTGCTTGTGACTCCACCAGACACACGTCTCCCACTCTGCTCCACGGAGAACAAGCGGCTGGGCTATTTTTGAAGGAAGCTGCGACCTACCTACATAAAGCAGCACAGAGCAGATCGCATCGGCAGGAAGTCCGGCACAGAAACGGCAAAGTGAATCTGGTCAATTTAAAAAAAACATAAAACCTTTTATCTACGTAGCACTTCTCTACAGATGTGCAGATGACGTCGCCAAACCGTGACGTCTCGAAGGCGTGCCCGGTGGGATTTCGGCGTAAGCCAATCAGACTCAGAGTTGGGTACGTCCCGTTTGAAGCTAATAAATGACTTGGTATCAAATCTGTGTACTGACACGTAGTCGCCGATGCCCTGATTCTGCATTTTAGGCAGAATTGAAGGCATTTTCTTCCACTGCTGCTGATATTCAATGCAGCAGTACGTTTTAGAAATGGCTGCCAGCTTGGCCACCAACCATCAGCTGTTCTGCGCCAAAGTTGACAGGATGGTTTCTGTGTTTTAATTATTCATTGTTGGAGTGATCATAGCCCTGCGTCTTAAATGTCCCATACCTTTAATGGAATAGTTCAACACTTTTTACATTGCAAAAACTATCCTGTGTTTGTGTGTGTCAGACACACAGTCGGGGCTGTAATTGTCTATTTGATATTGATTAATTAGTCAGTAATTGTTCAGATCAACTGTTTAGTTTGTTATACAGTTTATATAACTTCCTATAGCTGAAGGTGACGTCTTTATATTGCTTCTTTGATCCAACTAACAGTAGAAAACTCAAAGATATTCATGCCACAGTTGTATAAAATGTAGAAAAGCAGCACATTGGAAAAGCTACACTTCGGCTTTTTAAAGATCGATCGATTATCCCCATTTAATCGACTGCTCGGTGTGTGTGCTGATCGCCTCAGCTCTTCGCAGGCTGACTTTGAGCAGGAACAGGTGGTTGGGCTCCACTGTGAAGTGCACTGGTGTCGACGGTGCACCTGCTCTTGTCAGTGCTTCTTTGCCTCTCACGTTTCTGCTCCTGTGTCGCGTAGGTTATTCTGTGATGTTGATGGGTTATTTTTAGACCTTTTATCCAAGGCGTGCACAGAAAAGCTCCAAACATAGACGAAAGATGCCTTAAAACAGAAATAAAACACACCTCGACACTTGTATTTAAACTGACTCAGTCTGTTTTATCTGCTCAGTTGTTTTCAGCTTGGAGCTGTTCTTTAATCCTTTTCAAGCTGATTTATTCATTTCAAAATCTAATGAGGGAGGAGGCTGTGAATTAGCTTCAGCTGGACCGCCCTGTGTAAGTCTGTTGGTCCTGTGTAAGTCTGTTGGTCCTGTGTAAGTCTGTTGGCCCTGTGTAAGTCTGTTGGCCCTGTGTAAGTCTGTTGGCCCTGTGTATGTCTGTTGGCCCTGTGTAAGTCTGTTGGTCCTGTGTAAGTCTGTTGGCCCTGTGTATGTCTGTTGGCCCTGTTTAATGTTCACCAGTGTTGACCCTGTTACATACACACAGAAAAGGTAAATAGATGTTGTCGTTCCTGCTTCAACCTTTACTCCCACTGTTGTTTCTACGACTTAAGTCTTCTTTATTGGTTTATTTAAAACGGACAGTGCAGATTAATGAACATTCAGCCCCGTATCACAGTAAATGTTCTGGGGTTATCGAAACGGCTCATTTCAGCAGTTATTAATCAAATACTACTATTTTTATTACTATTAGAGTTTTCAAGTGTGGATGTAAGGTCACTGGTTTATATTTCCTAATGTCTTCTTTAGTGTATATTTTTAATGTTTTCCGTATATTGAATTTGTCACAATCTAATTCTAACTCAAACCTCCCCTACAAATACTTTATTTATTATTTAAAAATCTTGTGTAAATGCAAGTGCAACTGAGGATTGTTTAGAATAACTTTAACCTATGAAGTACATTTAAGTCTCACAGTAAAACGCTTCAGTGTAGCAGTGTAGTAGGGAGTCCCTGAGGCTTCACGGGGCGTTGCGAGGCTTTCTTGATTTTGAAGGCCTATATTTCAGCATTTCATAGATTTCTGTGAAGAAAGTGGAATTAAACTGTTATTTTTATAAGAAAACACCTGTTTTATTTTATTAAGATGCAAAATGGTACTACGATCCCAAGTTCCCTTAATTGACTGACTTCCAGCACAAAGTGTTAAATAATTAATAATTATGTATATCAGAAAATACTGAAAAATGTTTTCAATGTTTTGTTTTGGCCACAACCCAAAGATGTTCAGTTTACTGCCAGAGAGGACTGAAGATACCAGAAAATATCAATAGAGTCGGGGATTCATTTAATAGTTGACAACTATTAAATTACATATTTAAAGTTTAAATCATTTTTACATCACAAAAACAGCATTAAATAAATCACTTTATACATCTGACAGGCTGAATTGAACCTTATAGTGAGCCAACTTTGAGTCACGCTGCTTCCACATTCACCGTGTGTGTTCACTTTAAATGACCATACAAGTGAACACACACGTTCATGTTCGGGCCACACTGAGTGCAGTTTGATAAGAAGTTAACATGTTTACGGCGTGCGTAAGGAATATCTCCCAAAGTGCTGATGTCACGTTTCACAGGAACACGTGCTGCCGCTATCAGAGAGGAAACTGTGTTAACTTAGAGCAACAGGGCGTGTGTGTGTGTGTGTGTGTGTGTGTGTGAGACACTTTACCCCACAGACGACTGAACATAAGAACATATGATTAGAAAACATGTGTAACAAATGAAAGATAGATGCATCGTCAGAAAGAAGTTGCTCCTGATACGAGTGAAATAAACACAGCTGTGAGTTTAACACAGAGACTGTCACATACTTTAGATGAGTACATCTACACTCTGCAACAATGGACACTTTTAGTTTACTGGTGTCATCCTGTTAGTTTCAGTCCTAATCATTCTCCACTGGAGACACAAGCTCACTATTTTATATTCCATTGTCTGGGTTGACTTTCTTCTTCTTTAGTGGATATTGTTAACGTTTTCCATATATCGAAGTTGTTTGTGCAGCACAATCAAATGGATTTTACCCCAAACAATATCATTTCATACAGTAGGTACATCTTCATTCACACTGCTGTCGTCTTATGGTATGGTTTCTGATTATTGAAGTTCTTCCTATTTGGGGCTGGAAACATGCAAAGTTGCTTACTGCAGCTTTAAATCTATAGCCAGAAACAGCCCACTGCCCAAAAAACCTGCTGATATTCTATATGTTTTGTAATAATAATAATGTTTACAAAGTGCTTCACATACACACACTAAAAATAGCAGCAATAAAAAGATTAACATTAAAAGCAGTCTACGTTTAGTGCCGGTTAAAGTCCTTGCAGTCGGAGACGTGAGAGGGATTTTTGGCTGAGGCAGGTACAGAGAGAGCTGCACTAGTTTTATTTTAAACACATCTCCTGAAAAGGCAGAATCTAACAATCAGTCCTGCTAACAAGTATCGTCTGTGTAGCCAGAGTTTGTTGTAGCGTATTCCTCCTCGCCATGTAACTATATCTGTGTGACCTGTCTTTTAATACATCTTTAATACAAAACCTATAGATTCTGGGTCCCACAGACAGGGTTGGAAGTCAGTGTTGTTCTTTTCATGGGACTTCAATATAAAGTATAATAACCTTAATAATGATGTGTTGTAATAATGACTCCACAGTTAGTCAATCAAGTCGAAAACGGACTCTGCTTGTATCCTCTGTAGTACCCGCTCAGGGCTGGAACCATGGAGTCGTCGTCTGATGAAGAGGAGGCGCGCACCTTCGTCCAAGTCCTCAGTGAGAAATACAACCCAGAGAATTTCCCCTACGGCCAAGGAGTCATGGTTCTGTCCAGCCCACCAGGATCCCCCGTCAAAGGTGAGAGAAGATGCAGGGTTGTACGTTCAACTCTGCATTGTTTACATCATGTCAGAAGGACAGACGGTGAAGGTTTAAAGCTCCTCAAAATGAGAATTAGGTTTGCTTAACAAACTAAGTTTATTTCCAGATCGCCTGTTCTTGCCCAGCAGACTGGTTCTGAATCACTCTGGAATCACTAAAGCCGGTGACAGGTCAGACATTGCCGCTTTCTGTGCCCACGTGGTGGAGCTGGACCTGTCCCACAACCAACTTAACGACTGGGTCGAGGTGGGTGTCCCATTGAGGACTTGGTGTTGCAGAACGGAGGATTTTCTCCCAGTAATATTTCTCAAAGGAGCAGGAGGTTTGCAGTGAAACAGAGAAGATAACTGAGCCCTTTTCAACCTGCTACATGTTCACTATCCACAATCCCTCCTGGTAGAAAACACAAGCAGCACAATCACAGTTCTCCCTCACGTGGTGTCTCTGTAACCGTTGTAACCTCAGTGTGGTTTTCCTGCACACTGTGGTAGAAGAAGTACTTTTATTTAAACATACTGTGAGGAGTTTATAAGTGGTTATAAGTCTCTGTTTAACACTGACGCCTCTATATAACCTACATTAAATTAGCTGTTTCTATGTAGTATTTCTTAATGCCTGCCACTGGGTCGGCTTCCTCTTGAAATCAATGAAACGAGGCGGTGGAAACACTACCGTGTTTGTCCACAGGGGCCGCCAGAATCAACAAAAAGGGGCTTTATGTAAAATGTTAAGTAGCAATCTCACAATGTAGAAATATTAGTAAATGTCCTGCATTTAATTTATTGGAAGTAAACGTATTGTCATCAAAACATGATTAAAGTATGAAAAGTAAAAGTAAAATTATTGGTGCATTAATGTCACTTTAATGTTAACTACATACTACAGATTCATCTATAGTAATACATCATCATTTATTAGGTTATATTTTGTGTTATGATTATTAATATATATTATATTAATAATCTTAATCTGAAAAGTAACTAGTAACTAAATCTTTAAAATAGACACAGTGGATAAATACACGTCACATACATTTTCATTTTCAAAATCAAAGTTATATGTATTGTATGCACTTAATGTTCTTTCTCTTTGTTTTTTGCATTAATTAAAAAGATCTGCACCATTGTGTCCAACGCCCCCCACCTGGACTTCCTCAATCTGAGCATGAACCCCCTGAACGGCACAGAGCTGGAGCCCAGCATGGCTGACGTTTTCTCCAGGGTCCGACAACTGGTCCTCATTAACACACACGTCAGCTGGGACACCGTGCACACACTCACACAACAAACAAAAGAGTGAGTGACGAAGCACAATCGCTGCACAGCGAAGCAACGTGTCTATTCTACCACAGTGATCCTGTCAAAGATAGTAATACACAGTAGCTGGAGGCAACATGGCAGTATTATTAGAACTAATACTATACTTTGGTGGATTCTGTAAATTATCAGCCTTTTTGTCAGCGACAGTGTCCGGCTGACAAAAAGGCTGGTAATTTACAGAATAATTCAGTGGCAATGTTCATATTTCTTACTGTCCAATGAACAGACCAAAACAAACATTTTTTATCAGTGAGGAAACGGACTACGTGACGTATTTTATGGACACATCATATTATGTTCAAAGCATAACAACAGCCATACAGAACAACTGATATAAACTGATCTTTTTAGGAACTTTTTATACAAGTCTCTGTCATAAATGCTTAATGTGCTTCGATTTTTGACAGATTGTTTTATTGTTATTGTTCTATAACCTCTAACTGCGTACTTTCCTAATGCAAGGCCAGGCTGTTTAGCAGTGGATATAGATTGTGTCCATGTCTTCAAAGTTTAGATTTTGAATAATAATCTGAGTTTAAAAAATAACAATTCTGTTTAGTTGTTTCCATTTTTTTTCACAGAAATGAATGGAATTCTACTTTGTTTATGTTTAATTAATATTGTAACGTCAAGAAGGCCTCGCAACCCCCTGTGAAGCTCTGGCGACCCCCAGGTTTTGAACCAGTGTGTTAGAGCACTAAATGTGTATTAATATGTAGCTGGAAATAGTCCCCAATAAATGCACAGTTTGTTCCTGTTTATGTAAGAGTTGCTAAAAACCGCAGGGGGCGGAGTGGAGGGCCGAAAATGGCCCCCTGACCGGCAGTTTGACAACCCAACCTTGAAGTCTAGTTCCAGCCGAACACACAGTCCATGCCGGAAGCTGGCTCTCGGTGCTGGTGACCTGGTTGTTGTAGTTTGAGGGTGGTGGTCATCTTGTTTGTAGGCTGTAGCTGTAGCCTTGCCAGGATGTATCTCCCATCCACAACATAACATATTTGTGAACACATTTTTGGTTTGGGTTACAGAATAACAGGAGCCTTATCTTTAAAGCAGATTCAGACACAAAGAGCCAAGAAATGAAACAAAATAAGCACAACAAATGTATCAGATGCAGATTTTTTTTTGTGCTTACTTTTATTTTACTATTTACTATTTATTTCTTCACCTCCTCATGCAGGCTGGAGGAGCTTTTCCTGTGCTTGAACGGCTACCACACCGTGTCGGACTCCCAGACATCCTGTCCGTCACTGCGCCTGCTGCAGATCACAGAGAACCAGCTGCGGGAGTGGGCAGAAGTCAGGAAGTTTGGCAGGTTGTACCCGAGTCTGAGCACACTGGTGCTGGCCAACAACAGCCTGGACTCTGTGTGCGACACTCAGGAGACGCTGCAGCGCCTCTTCCCCAACCTGCGCAGCATCAACCTCAACAACTCAGGTCTGAGTCTCATCTGTTGTATTCACGTCCAACATTCAGTGCATGGTGGAAACAAACATTCACCTTGGGCCTGAAACTCTGTGATGTTGTCTTATTCAGGGCTTAGTAAATGGGAGGACATTGAAAGGCTGAATTTCCTCCCTAAGCTGGAGGAAGTCAAAGCAAAAGGGATTCCTTTATTGCAGCCTTATACAACCCACGAGAGACGTAGCCTCCTTCTAGCACAGTGAGTCTGAACGTCTAGACACACACACAGATCCAATCCTTATCGCCGTAAACATGCAGGGTAGCACTTTTACTTATTAACTGTCTAATCTTCATACTTACCCCTGCCTGCAGGCTGCCATCTGTGGTGGTGTTGAATGGGGGCGCAGTGTCTGACGGAGAGAGAGAGGACGCTGAGAGGTTTTTCATCAGGTACTACCAGGACTGCCCAGAACAGGAGCTTCCTCAGAGGTACTCAGACGAACAGTATGAATGTTTATGAATGTACACATGTTAATCACTTTACTCATTTTAAAGGCGGGACCTTTACTGATGGATGATCTGTTTTTCACATTAAGTATTACGATTTTTTAGTAAGGTTGTACCGATTAACGGGGGTTGGATATTAAGAACCACTTCTGAATTTAAACCAATCCCAGAGTGTTAAAAAAAACACATTTACAGTATTGATTCCTAAAAGTAAATTTGGATCTACAGTTGTACATTTCCATCACCAGATAGTTACACATGGTTCAAGACGTGCGTGCATGCGTGTTTTGACACAGTATGACACTTCAAAGCTGGTTTACAAGACGCAGAGTGGTACAGAAAAAGGGAACCCTGTATATAGCGTTTACAATATTAAGTTGTGACACTATATCAAATAAAATAAAATAATAAAAGATTTGACATACCAAAGCATTTTCTGCACCCTGGCCTAAAAATGCACAGTGTTTGATGTCCTCAGTCGTAGTCATAATGCCTCAGAGCTAACTTTAGCTTCTCTAACTCAAGTACAAAGCTAATTTAAAATAATATTACAAAACATTACTCTTTATTTGGCCTTTTTAGGCAGAAATAATTACAAAATACCTCATCTTAGATGTACAGACAGCCTAAATCTATTTTTATATCAATGAGAATAGACTAAATATTAGCTGTCAGTATATTGTAATAGAATTAAACCTAAAGTTGAATCAACACCTCTAAAACATTTACAACATATCTTAAGTATTAAAACCTTCATGAAGGCAGCATTTATTGCAGTCCTGCTGTGTTAAACTGCGATCAGTTTAACAAGGTGGAACTAATTAACAGGCAACTGAGTGTGTGTGGTTTTTTTAATATTTTCTATTTGGGTGAACTTTAAACCAGCAGGTTACAAGTGAAGCAATAGATCAGGGATGCACCAAATTTGAAAAATACAAAAAAAAGTGATAGAATATTAATATAGTTTTGGTTAAGAATGGACTCTCGGTTTTAAAAGTAAACACACTGTGACCGAGTAACAGCTAGAGATGGGACAATATAAATTATTATGATTTTATTGCCATTTTAAAAGTATGAAGTATATTTGCATGATTATCGTGATAATATTGTGTAATATATTATATAATAATTGTATTGTTATTTTGGCCAAGATAACTGTGACAAGAAATTTCCATATTAAGACCAATGCCTAGTAACAGCTTACTAAGTAAGACATGGATGGCATTAAACTTAAATAATAATAATAATGAATAATAATTACTTTTATTGCACCTTTCATACATAAAATGCATTTAATCAAAAAGGAATGGCAAAGAACACATTAAAATATAATAAAAAGATAGAATAATAAATCAAATTCAAATAAACTTGCTGTAAGATTCAATAAAATGAAGTCTGAACTATGATAATTTACAGTTTGGTTTATATTTTATCTTCAGGTTATAGAACAATGAGAAGACAACACTGAATCTGTCAAAAAAGAAGCGCGTTAAGTATGTATGACAAATACATGATAAATACATAATATAGACAGAGATTGTATAAAAAGTTCCTAAAATATCATCAAATTCCTCGTTAGTGTTCAGTGTTTGTGTTCATTGTACAGTTATCAGTTGGTCTGTACTGTTATTGCTACACTTTGAATATAATATGAAGTATAAAATATGTCACCGTATCAAATTTTGTCATCAATACTAGTATCAAATATCAATCCAAAGCCTGAACACATAGCACCAAGTGTCGACACCGCGATGGCTCTTACCTGTGTGAACACCTGTAACAATAACTACAACCCGCTCTTTGTCCTCAATACATTTACAGTATGTGATACAATATTTTGGAAAGCCCTCCTTGGGCGGGGGGCTGACAGCAGTCAAATAATTGCCCACGCTCTTCTCCGACTGCATTCCACTTAACCTCAGCAGAATGTTGGAGAGGGATTTGTGAAGGAAGGTGTAGTCCCTGACTGGGGGAAACTAACCTTTGGGAGACAATGCCACCAGTCTCTCCCTGCTCAATGAGTCCTTTGTGCCGGGAATTCTCTGATTGGAAAAGTGATACACAAGGTAGCAGGTTGATTTTTTTTTTTTTTATGTATACGCCGACTCTATCAACCTCAACCTTTAAGTCGAGTGATTGATTTGTTTTCTGATGTCGCTGGAGCTGGAATCGCACGGCTGGCTAGGAACGTTCTTCCTGATTATGGTAAAGAAAAATATGTGAAGATCAAAGATGTATTTGGTAAACCACGTCACATGTGCGATCGTACTTGGCCACAACCGAAGACCAACACAACTCTTTCCTTCCTGCTTTCAAACGTCGCATTCGTGCTCTTGGTTTGGAGCCAGGTTCTCAGTGTGTAGGTCCGAGGTTAGGGATCGCCGTGACTGCGTGTGGGTGTTATGGGGGTGTCGGACACGCTCGGTAAGCAGTGAACACACCGCTATCCCCTTTCCTTTCGGATGGGGCTGTGGCCTTGCTACCCTGAGAGATCAGAGCGCTGCAGGGTGGGTCACAGCCTCTCAGGTGAACACATCTGACACTGGCCTGGCTTTGAGTAACTATAAACGCATCTCAAACCATAAATCAGACTGATATAGGTCAGTAATCTCAAAAAAAAAAAAAAAAAAAACATGTACAGAGAATTGTGGGTATTCTGGGAAAGGGTTTAGGGGTTGTGGGACTAGGAAAGAGCAATATAAAGAGAGAAATGTGTTGGCTGGACAGGAAGGATTAGTTGCAAGGAAAGAGTGAAAGAGAGGTTGAAAAAGAAATCTGAGAGTCAGAGTATCCAGTGCAATAAGTACAGAGGGCCTGAAAGGGGACTGGACCTGGAACAGTGGATATTGAGGGCCAATCTGGGAAGGAAAGGGGGGAAATCAACATTTTAACTTTTTAAGCAGGTCGTCTTTCAGCTAGAAGGAATTAGATAATGAGGTAGAATGAAACACCAAAAGAGAAGTCAGCTACGGTCTGGGCCAGATAGTGTCTCTATTAGCCCCAAAAGCTGTTATTCCTGCTGCTACTTTACTGTCCATTATCGAAGAATGCTGGAAAAGACAATTGGAATGCCGACTTGTTATCACCTCCAGCATTATTTGCCCCATTATACCGTGCTTACCACCTTAAATGAAGCCTTTTAGCTAAATGGCTTCTCTTAGAATGGCACTTTGTGCACCGTGGCCTTAGAGGAGAATTCCCAAGGTGGACCGCAAGTTTTGGCCAGAAACCCCAGGCCAGGGGATTGGCTTTGTGGGGGAGTTTTGGGGAGGGAAGGGAAATTGCTTTGATTGGCCCAGCTGTTACAGTAGCTTTGAAAGCACAGGCCCTTTTCTCCTGGATTTTATTTAATCGTTCCTGGGTCCTTATCTCGAACACGCGTTCCCCTGAGGTGGCTGAGAGCTTTCTCACGGCAGAGAGGCAGAGAAGTCAGTGTTTCTGTGCCTCTTAAACGCACACAAGCCAAGTTTCCGTTTACCTGATTTTATGATCTGTTTTTAATTTGCTCATAAAAAATGCTAGAAATTCAAAGAGAAAGCTGAAGCTGTAGCACAAAACCTTTTTGGCTGAAGTTCATGAAGTGTTTAAACCAGAAGTGGGCTGAACTAACAAGATATTGTCAATTTAAGCCTGAAAATTGATGATGAGTTGATCAGAAGTTGCTATATTTATTTAAAAACTTTTTACAGAACAGCTTTTTCCAAAAGAGAAGCAACTTTTCAACAGTGATTGAAATGTATGAAATGAATTTCTCTTTATCATGATTGCCGTTGTTCAGCTAGCAGGGCCATACTCCTCTGATCTGACAGGATACTTTTATTTTCCATTAGCAGAGGTTTTCTTGTAAATAAATACAATTTCCATAAAAAAAAAAAAAAAAATCATGTTGCATTACTTTTTTTTACTGTTCAGGCTCCAAAATTAACCAAAACAGTAAATGACTTGTTAAAATAAACTCAAATAGACGCAAATAGTTTTTAAAGAGAGAGAGACAGCAGCAGATGATGTAGAGGTGATCAGCACTACACTGCGTGAACTGTACCTTAAAACTGTGTGTGAGTGGAATAAAGCTCTCCGGTGATCTGACATGAGTCCTGTTTCCTCCCAGGTACCACATCCTTGTATCCAAGTATGGTCACTTGGAACCGCTGGCAGAAGTTGACCTGAGCCCTCGCAGCACCATGGTGGACGTCCGCTGTGGCGAGAGGGTGGAGGCCATCAGCCTCCGTCTGGAGCAGACAGTGGGCGACCTGAAGAAGCACCTTAAAACCCTGCTGCAGCTGCCCACCAATGGGATCCGGCTCTTCTATATCCAACGGGAGATGTGTTCGGTCTTGGGACCTGAGGAGTTGAAGTGCGGCTCCCGGGCCCTCCATTCCTACAGCATTCGAGATGGGGATGAGATTCTAGTAGTGCCCAAAGTCAAGAGCCGTTGCAGCTCCTCAGATCTGTGAATGTGGAGAGTTCGGACGAATGGGACAGAAATTATATAATGAATACTGACTGGATACTAAGCTTTGACTTGAGCCTTTTTTAGATTAAAAAAAGGTGACATATTTCAGCCATGAATGTAAAGATGCTTGCTGTCCACCATATTGAACAAATTAGTACAACAGTATATTTGCACATAGGAGATACACATTCACAAAGAATGTATCTTGAGTGGCACATTTCTGTGCTTTAGTTGCTCGAGCTAAGACTGCAGTTTACATCTCATTTATACAAAATGTTATGCAAATCCAGACAGAGTGCAAACAGTTAGCTGCCATAATTACTAATTGAACGCGCAAATTGCACATTGATTTAAAAAACTAAAAACCATTTTATAATTTGATTTTATGAGAGCTTCCCCTTGCTTGTCGGACATGCTGGAGACACTGCTGTACCATGCATGGCACTTCTTAGTATTTTTTTTAGTTGTTAAAATTAGGTGACATAAGAACATAAATGAGACACATATACGATTTTTTAAAAACAGCTGCTGTGCACAAGTTGTGTAGTTTCACTGTTCCTCGTGTTTAGAAGCCGTGGCTGGCTTCTCTGGAGCACAATCAGCAGCTCTTTGATGTGTTCCCTCCATTTTTCTGTTCGCCTTCTGCTAATGTGTGATCAGTGTGCTCTGGCAGCAGTGAACAGTGCAATTTTTTATGCCTGTGAGTATAGTGTTTGGGTGAAAATCATTCTAAACCAATCTACTCCTTAAAAGCCAATACAATGGCAAACAACGAACCTTAATCATGCAGCAATGATTACAGCCAAGCTGACTGAAGTCTTCACGTGACCTTTCGATTTCCGTGTGATGGTAGGGTTTGTGAACTGGGTTTAACCTGACTGCGCCATATGTTTTGTTACACAGAACCACACAGGACGTTGATGTTGGAACAGCTGGAAAAGGACAGGCACTTTGGAAAAATACAGGCAATTGGATGAACCGTCTGTCTATCATGGGCAAACTTCAACCAATCAGCGAACCATATAATGTAGTCAAACTCTTACTGAAGCCAGTAGGGAGAAGGGCGAAAGATCTCTTCCATCGAGAAAAGCCTTCAGTGCTTTGCTCTTTTTCTTTTCAATGAAGAAATACTCTTCAGTTCTGATATAACTGATGCTAGCAGCATCTATGCCACCATTGTTGTTTAACGAACAGTCTTCTTGCTGCGTCACACCTAGCGGCCAACACCATAGCTGCCAGTACTTCCTCAAAGGACTGGTCTGGTACCACTTACCTGTAGCAAGCGCATAGATTGAAGCCTTGCCAGATGCATTGTTCATCTCTAAGCTTGGTCTACATTTGCATTGTGTACAAATAAATATTATGAGGGAAAAAAAGAATAATGGGTTACATGATATTAAAATTTTCATGATCATGAAAGGCTCAAAGAGGCTTTGTTTGAGCTGACCTTTTTTTAAGCAGAGTAGATTAACTGATGAAATGTGATGTTGTTTTTCCGGGAATACGATTGTGTGCAGAAGTGACACAGATCTTTCCCTGCTTCCTCTTGCCACTCAGACCACTCTCTTTCTGCATGACTCTTAATAGCAGTGAAATATCCTGGGATAACCCCCAAGCTGAAATCACAAATACGGTGTATTGGAGATAGCGTGGCTGCTGCTCAGTAAGGACGCCCTGGCAGAAAGACGAGACAAGTCTGAGGTGAGCTTGGGTCTGGGACAGAGAAAAGAAGGAGTGTTGATGCTCAAGTTACTGTTGGTCTTCTGGCTGTCCAGCCCATGAATGGACCAGCACTCTCTCTCTGCCTGCAGAGGCAGCTGAGAAATGTTGAGGCCCAGTCTGTATGGTAACCACACACCAGCCGCTGTGTCATGGACACTTCCGCTGCATTTAGGTTAGAATGGGTTCAAGCAACAGGCTCTCGCCCCTCACCCATTACCCCAATCTCTCCTTTACATCCGCCTTACAAACCTGACACTTCTAGTGTCGGCTGTTTCACAGGATGTGGGGTTGTGAACTTTTCCATTGGCTCACATTGATTGTTTTCAAAAGCAAAGAATAGATGATAGAACAACACATTCCCACCTACTGGCAATTGACAGCCCAAAACCTGGAGCTTCTCAGAACCTGAACTTTGAGGAACCTTGTGAGGTTAAGGTACCAGGTTTTGTAAATGTAAGTCATGCAGGTGATGTTACAGTCAAAATCTGTACAGTTGTAGAAGAAATTGCCACTGGAAGGTTTCCTTAATGACCCCCATGCAAGTTTGGTTTCGTGCAACCCAGTATGTTCAAGCCAACAGTGGAAAAGGATGGGGACTGAGATACGAGTCTATGCACCAATAGACAGAGGAAGAATTTACTTCTGGTTCACCTTTTAATCTCTAACCACTGACTCACACTCCCTCTGCCTTCTCTCCCCAAATACTAACGATGGCCTGGACATCTTCATTTGTCCAACAACCATTTTTTTAAGTATCCCCTGGTACAGACACAGTGGTAAAATGGTAGTTACTGCTGTTGTGGTCATTGTTGTAGGGATTCTTGTTGTGATGTGATGATACATCTAATTGTTCAATAGCGGACATCAACCCCTGAAATTACCTGAAACTTGAATTTAGGATCTCCTCCTGAGCAGGAGCTTGTACACAAAGCAGGTAGAGAACAGTGGAGAAAAAAGTCTGCGTGTTACATTTCGATAAGGTCCCACCGTGGAAAAGGGATGTTTGGCTGTATTCAGACCAAAGTGAGCATTGTGGCGAAAACACCAGTCAGCCTAAAAATAGAGCTGACACCGGTCGCTATCCAGGAAGAGTTCATGCATCAAACTCTCTGTTTTATCTTCACAACTTTGGTCTGCATCTGGTTTGCAGTATAAGCTGCAAAATTGAGATACCAAGAAATCTCTGGTTTGTGCCAATACACCAAATAAATACCACCGCACAACACTGCAGTGATTGTTGCAATGCCTGATTTGGTCTGAATAAGTTTCTAATTAACTGACCTGCAAGTCTTTGGATTATGGGAGGAAACAGGAGCATTAAGGGAGGACATGGAGAAAACTTGGAAACTCCAGTCACAAACAATCCTGTTAACCAGTGGATCAGAACCCAGGATCTCCTTGCTGAGTGCTGCTTTCATAGAAAGCTATGCACACAAATAGAGATTTTGGTCACCAAGAAATTGAAGATAGTGACTTTTCAAGAAGTTTTTATAACTTCATACAAAGAAGCTCTAGAGTTTGCTTCAGTAGTCCAAAGACAGACAGGTTGAAATATATGTTGTGGATGTTTCCTAGCCTTTTGCTTAATACATGCTGGGGTATTTTCTAGCCAGCCTGATCCTGAACAGCTTAAATGTTTTAACATATGTGTGTTGCGCATATGCAGTGTAAAATAGGGCCCAATATCAAGTGCATTTGTTGATGAAAAATATAGCGTTACAAAAAGTCAGAGGTCTTGCACAAGCTGTTTCTTTTGAATATTGGAGAGCCGGGAATGCAGAGGTGTTTATGTTTGAAATCATGTTGGGTTAAGTGAGCTGCCAGGAGAAATGTTTCTCTTGAACACATTTATACCAAGTTAAGTTGAGCCTTGTGTTACCGAAAGTGTGTGAAAATGTGCTGAGGTGCCGTCATCTTGTGGCACCCTCTTCTGACACAAACCTACTTTGTGTAGTAGATAACTGGAGATCTCTTTTGTGTTGTTGTTTTTCTGGCTCACATACCTTATACTATATTAGTGCTTACATGGGAAGTTGTGGGATGAGTGCGAAGCATTTTTTTTTTTTTTGTGTGGATCGTGGTAAGTTGGTGATTTTGCATGTTCTGATTTTTCTTGATATGTCTGACTGTGTATGAGATGTGTCATTTCAGGGAAACAATGTTGTTTATGGGCATTTTTAATTTTGACACTTAAAATATTATCTGTTCTCCTGTCACTCTCACCTTTTTCCTTCAGTAATACCAAATACAAAGATTATTTACAGATTTAAAAATATAAAAGATAGTTGCTAATCTGTAATACAGTTTGCCTTGTGCTGTTGAGTATATGGTGTTTAATTTATATCACGTTTGCTTTCTGTAGGTCCTTAAATGTATCTTGATATTTTCAATGGTAAAGTCATTTTATTTCTTGAGATCACAATGCCATTTCCTCACCTGTACTGTATAATGGTGATTTCACCTCTCTTAAAGAAATAAATTCTAATTATTTCTGCTTATTCCTGTGTTACAATTTTATACATAAAGTGAAAGCTGTGAGCTCGCTTGTCAGACAACTTGAGTCAGGTATACTATATACTGTAGCCATGCCCTCTGATGCAACTGGTACTTGCTGCTGCTGCTCATAAAACATTTCATAAGCAACCTTGACTGCCAACAGCCACATCGTGTCACTTCAAGGCGGCTTCTTAGAAGAAATAACTTGTTCGTTCTTCGCTAATGTTCCGTGACTCTGTTCGGTTTGTCGCATCAGCCGAGAGCCACAAAGGCATACCTCAAGAGAGAAGCCAGAGTTTTCTCATCTGTGTTCGACAGTTTATCCTTCTTGTAGATGCCGGTGGTCTCAGCTGCGCTTCTTTAAGCAAGGTTTTTGCTGACGTGCTATTATGCATATGCTGTGTCAGTGTTTTGGTTTTGGTCAGTTGGTTCTTGTACTGAGTACTTCTGTCACTTTTCGTGTGTATAAACAAGTGCAACCCCATGAATGCCTTTGAGCAAAGATTGTCCCTCATTTGAATGATTATCACCCTGGCTTCGACTGTGGCTTTTGGTGTAACTGCTATAAATACTTGGCCCACCCTCTTTCATACATTATGATGCTTTTGTGTGGTTAGATAGTGAAATATAATTCTCATGTTGGAGTGTTTGCATGAATTGGTTTGTTTGCATATTTCCCCCTTGGTTGATCTTAGCTGGTGGCCCTACTGGCTCAGTGCGAGCTCAAGTTTCTGGTAAAGAGGAAATGTTTCATATTAGCTTTATGGATGTAAAAATTAGTGTGGAGCACCTTGGTAGGCCGATGGTTACAGCACATGTCCACCAACCATCCAACTGACAGAACGAGCTGTAGAGTAAAGCTAAAGAAACAAATAGAAAACTTGAAAATGTCCAAAGGCTACTTTGGTAGTAGTTGTCAAGATTAATATCTTGTTCTGGACCAAATTGTTAGCCAGACTAATAAACCAACCAACATATTTATCCATAATTGCCACAGGACAATACATGCTTAAAAACACACTGTATGAACTTTGTAAATATCTTTTTTAAATAGAAAAATGTCATACTACATTAGTACAATAATAAAACACGTTGTCTCAGAGAATTGGCTCGTGTACATTTTAACTACAGTAGACCATTTTAAAGTCCAGATTCAAAGATAAGATATGGAGTGGCGCATCACTCGTGTTACAGTATATACATGTGCTCAGTATGCACAGCTCTGTTTCACAGGCTAAATACTTGGCCGTGGAGAAGATGGGATTCTGCAGATCTTCTCTCTTTCTGGCAGGCATGTTTTAGTTGAGCTGCAAAGAGTCCATTCCATACGTGTCAGGCGGTGTTGCGTTTCTGGGGCATTCCCTCTATTTTCCCCCGCCTCCTCTTCCAACAGCATGGCTCTAATCCTGTGTGGGATATCTATGCCACCCACCACCACCACCCAACCCTCAACACGCCATCACCAGCAGGACCCCCTTCTTAGGGTTTGGGAGCTAAGGAGTCATTAGGCCGTTCAGTCACAAAGGTGCTCTTCACAATTCATGGAATTGTGTCAAGAGAGCACCTATATATAGACATGGATTCACAGTTCAGAAATAGTCATACCTTGGTGACTTTCTTGGTGGAATAATGAAAATCCCCTTCAAGTTTAGTCTCTTAGTATTTTTTAATGAGCTTACCCAATGTGTATCTCAATATTTGTGAATTATTTGACTGTCAGTGATAAAAAGAATGAATCCCTTCTCTTCCTGCCTCCTGACTTTCTTTGGTGATTCCTTGATTCTCTAGTATCTACCGCTACCATGGGGTTGACACTTACACAGGTTTAAGTGAAATGTCTTGACAACTATTAAATGGATTGACAGGAAATTTGATTACGGATCAATCCTTATGACTCTTGTGATCTTCTGACTTTTTGGTTTTTACTTATCCAGTGAAATATCAGAGGAATCAGGACCTAACTTTTGTGCAGACATCTATGGTCCACATGGATGAATCATAAAGCAAAGGACAACTTTAATTCAACTTTTTAATTTTGCCACACGTTTTCAAGAGTGGGATTAATTATAGGTTATCACAACTGGCACAACAAGTACATTCCAACAAAGGGAGCTACAAGCACAGGCACAGAGTCACATGATATCAAATACATGAAAACTCAAATTATATCCACAACATAAGAAATACTTTACAAAGGAAATCTCCTCATTCATCTCATTGGGAATGAAGGTATAAAGGAAGTGTATTCAATACATCTCCCTTTGGAGAAGTTTTCTGCCCAAATTCCCACCTCTTCATGGCAGCTTCACTGTCTCCCACATGGATGAATCCCATTGACTTTGGTGATAACCTGACTAGCACCGATTTAAGGATTTATTTTGAGTGAAATTGCACCAATATCATACCAATTATTGAATGGTGGTGTTCTCTATGGAAATCGGCCACAGTGGATATTGAATTTCTCGATATACTTTCTTGACCATTGAGGTATGAGACCCTTCCTCAAAAGTCACTGAGTTTCCAGGTATACCCAATCTTATTCCACAAACAATGCATCATTCCAAGAACATCGCTGTAAACAAACTGCTATGATTGACCTTGGAGATGCGCACGAATGCATGGTCAGACTAAGGTTGGGAGATGGATGTGGCTGCATTGTATCGATCACACCTAGCGCCTTGTTGTGTAAACAGGACCTGGCAGTGCAGTTGGTATTCTGATCTGCCCCCGATCTGCCCCATTGCATTATGAAGTGGGACTGAGGGCAGGAGGGCTGAACAGGGCCTATTGTGTGCTGAGGTGAAGGAGTCATTGGGGTAAGAAGGTTTGGGTTACTGGAAGGAGGTTCACCTTTGTGAATGGAAAGGAAGGCGAGGAGGGCAGGGCAGAGCCAACCGCTGGGCATAGGGGTTGAATTAGAGTGGCCCACTCCACGGATTAGGTGACTGCCGAACAGAGCTCTGCGGGAATTCAGTCCAGGACCTTCTTTGTGAAGGTCAGGCTTGATGGATTCTCCAGAAATTGTGATGGTGGATACTTTGACCCTGTTCCCACACAGTAACCTCCTGCTGCATAAGACCCTTTGATGCAATTTCTGTCCAAACAATCTTAAAGGTGATGTGATGAAGAATCTTCCTGTTATGGACGTTGATCAGCAACAAGCCTCAATGATTCCTGCCTTCAAAAACAGCTGGAGACAGCTGCACCACCTACTAGTATTTCAAGCCACATTGATATTCTCAGCCACTCCCAATTTTTAACGAAGGACGATAGCACTACTAAAATCAGTACGGCAACACTTCTCCAGGGATCAAAGCCCTTGGCACAACTCTGTTTCAAGTTGAGTTATTGAATACTGCAGCATCACAGCTTCATTAGGTGGAGTTTCTTGATGTTGAACTCCAATGCTGATGCTCCTATCTTTCAGCATCAAAGGTCTTGTTACAAGCTGTTTGTATCATCCATGATGTGAATGATTCAGGGCCTCAGATGACAATGAGTCACCCTACCAAGTCCAAAGGCAACTGTGTTCAGAAAGGCCACCCACAAACGTAGGGTCATAGCTTTGTCCTCCTTTGTCTTCTGTGTGTTTTGGTAGTCTCAGCCCAATGGCTTGTAGACTTGAGACAGTCACCATTCAAAGACAGCTTGAAAAGGAAGTTTAAACTGCCTACGTTTACACCTCTGCACATCTGGGAAATCGCTGCCTAAATTGGACATCACTGTTAAATTGTTTTATTGAGAAAGTTTCAGAAATGGTCTCAGCCGCCTCCCATTTCATTGTAGGAAAGGGTATTTCAGACCCTATCAGGCAATCCAACAAGTACTTTGTCTGAAGCATACTGAGAATTTGTGGGCCTTCAGACATCACCATGACCAAAAACAACAAGAAAAAAACTCTGTGACTTACTTCCATCCAACATAATATTCTAACTGCGTTTTGAGTATGTATGTTTAAACTAAAAAAGTGCCAAAGATGTCAGTATGCAGATTGACTTCGCATAACTTGTACAGTACAGTGGATGTTATTATTGGTGAACATTGCTTCTTTACACATCCAGCAGACGTGAAGCTTGATTAGCATTAATTTGGAGTCATATTTCTGGCTACCTGACAAATGTAAGTCCAATGTTCACGCTCCTTTTAGCTTTGTTTTGGACAAAGTACTGAGGAAAATATCCAGCTGCTAAAGGCTACACTTTCTTCACCAGCTAGTTGGTAACTTTCGTGCTGGACAGGTAGCGTAAAGTAGGTTTATCAGATATGGTCTTGATGGTAGGGATGACACTAAACCAAACAGTTCACTGGTCATAAAACAAATACAATGAGCTGAAAGACACTAAAACTCTCTCTTACTGCTGAATCAGGTGACAATTCTCTCTGTGTTCACCATTATAATGTATTTGATGCTTTGTTAATCTACAAATATTGATTAGTGCAGCTTTAAGTTGACCACCCAAGTATAGAGAAGGAAAAAAAGAGCGTTATCATCATCATGTTTTCTTTTCCTAATGAATTGTAAGTGCAAGAAATCAGATGTATCAGCCCATCTCGATCTTTCCCACTTCTCCATCTTCGACATTTCCCAAAACACAAACCCAACCCTGGATCTGGAAGCCTCCCTGGCCCAGTAGGTCATCTGTAACTGTTGATTTTTTTGTCCGTCTTTGTGGGATGTTCTCTTTCACAGGTTGGTTAAAAGTATGTGTCCATTTACACAACAAGACGTGGGAGGTATAAAAGAAGCCTCCGCAGAGAGCCTCGGTGCTGCTTAATGGGAGCCCGGGGCCTGCCCTCAGTCCTGGAGCCTTTCACACATCTTGCTCCCTACCTCTCCAATTACTTCCACTGTCCTCCTGCAACAAAGACCCAACTGACTGCCCTCTCCTTCCCAGACCCTATCAGTGTGGATCCACCTGAGATTTCCCTTTGCTATCTCTCCAGCATCTATGGAAATGAAGTGTCTTGTATAACCTTGTAAATGAGGCTGTTAGTAATTAAAAAAGGGGGTACACAGAGTATCCAAAGTGACTCATGTTAATTCTGTAACTCTACCTACCACAGCTTGAAAAGCAAGGTTTCAGACTGTGTGTGTGTTTCTGGTTTTTGTCCATAAATGCCCCAGAGTGAGACTGTACTACTTTGGTGAGTTTGTGTGCCCAGGTGCCCCAAGCTTAAACTGCACCGAGTGAACTCTGGCAAAGTCTTTACCACAATTGAGGCCTAATCCAAAGGTAGAGTCTAAAGTCAACCTGATTTACACCTGCCAAGGACTTGTCGGACATAGAAATAATTCAATAGGGGAGAAAAATGCATTGTCCATATTCATAGAAATTATCACAAATAATTTTTAAATGTTGCTTCAGATGCTGAGTCAAACATTAATAAGACCTTGGTAGTCAAACACCATTGTTCCAAAAAGATAAAGGCCACAGTGTTTCCTCCAAATTGTCCAGCAAAGACATATTTTATCATCATTTGGCCCTTTGCAGGTGTTAATGACAGATCCTGCCCAAAAGGCTTGACACTCATCCCGTATGAGAGACTCCCTTTGTACGAAACATTCCTTTTCTCCTGCATTTAAAACATGTCTGGAAGCAGTAATTCTCTTTGGTTTTTCCACTTCCCTCCATCATTTCCACATCTCTGACCTCCCCTCTCCCCTTCTTACATATTGCTCTGTGTCCACTCCCTCTCTTCCTCAGATTCCTATGCTGTCCCTCCCCTCAACTTCCCTCTCCTCCCCACCTACCCCCTTTCCCCAAACACTGATCTCAGATTAAGTTGAACACTATACCAGGTAAAGTTTGCACCTGCTTTACGCAAAGCTCCTTTCACAGCTTCAACAGGTGCTTTTCAATCTCCACTTTTCTCCTCCTGAGGACATCACCATTTAAAAAACCCAACACAAACCTTTGGATTGTTGTTGCTTCTGCTGGTAATCCTGTGGAGCTGGACTTAGACAGGAGTTGCTCTTCTATCTGGGCATCCTGCTCCTCTACATACCCTCTTCTCTTGTCATCACTTCAGCAACTATCACCTCCACTGCTGCCTCGTTTTACTCCCTCCATCACCACCACCTCCACTCTCTGGATGGTCCTCTGCCGGATGAGACACTGCTGTGTGGAGGTTGCCAGGTTAGACTATTGAGGTGCTAGATGTCCATCTTCTGAAGGCAGGTTAGTGCATCAATTCCTCCTCTACCCCATTACATTAGCATTTTTTATTTTATTTTTGACCTGACTGTGTCTCAGAAGTAACCTTCCTCATTATGCTTGTCACTTTTTGATGCTGTAAACATGGACTTTTGCCTGTATGTAAGATATTTGGGGTCATTTTGATGAACAGTTTTCCGCTGTTTGGCTGCTGCTGGTGATGCCACTTTTGCTTTATTGTCTAATTCAACTGCTGACATCTATTACAGGTGTTTCCAACCTTTTTTGCTTAATTTTGAGGGCTCACAAACCCCTTAAATTGAGGCTTCTGACCCCTCATCACAGGTTGGGGTCAAAGTGTGGATATGACCTCAACAAAATAATGATTGTTTCTTCTCACATTATTTTATTTTAAGGATTTTTAGAAACCTGGAGAGATAACTGTTTCTAGAATTTTACACAAAAAAAGTTTTAGAAAAGGTTGTTTAATCATTTTGTGGCCCCTCAAATTAATCTTGGAATCAAACTCTTACCACCCGGTACATTTCCAATAATGTTATTATTAACTAATAATTTAAATCTATGGTACTTAAAATTGTGATTGAAATTACTTCACAATAGCATGATTTTGAATTCACAGCTTAAATTGGTCTGATTAAACCTAAATTTTTAAGCCTCAAATGCAAGAACAAGTCAATAAATGTGCTTGAGATGGTGAATTCACATTTGATAAAGCATGTGGCTTACTTGATACAGTAAAAGTTGTCTCTCTTTGTGTGACCCAAACGATAAACATGTTGAAGTGTCTTGTTCATCTTTTAAGTCCTGGGGGCTTTATCTTAATTGCCCTGCTAAAAGGCACAGAGTAAATACCAGTCAGATAAGATGGTGAGCTACACAAGTCAAAAGAGCAATTGTGGTAATCTTCCTGTTGACAATGTATGATGAGAGGCCGATGACATTAGAGCAGACCTCTCTCAGCAGTGCTCACTAACCTTGGCACACCTGAACACAATTTACCATCAAGCGAGAGATTTGAGACGAGTTTCCAATTGACCTCTCGTACCTCATGTATCAACAGTATTGTCATCTGGATAAAAAAATGTTTAGGCTGTGGATATTTACACATAGACTTCTAAATTATACCGGAGTCCAGTTTTTAAATTATATTTTCAAAAGTTTCCTAAATTTCAATATTTAAAACAAATAGAAAGAAATCACCAGATCAGCCAGGACACACCTGTTGTGTGACAAATTAATCAAAACACAAAGGTCCACTAACTTTTTTATAGCTTTCAGTGGCATCGACCAAAACTTGAGGCCAACAGGTAACACCTGTTATCCTCCCTATGTGTAGGGATCATAAAAAGTAAAAAATATGCATGCACCTCCTTGGTCGTTTAAATTTAAAATGATATATATATATATATATATATATATATATATATATTTAATAAAAAAGGTTATCCTCCAATGAGAATTATATCTTATGCCTAAAACACTCAGTGACGTCAAGAGCCGTCAGTGCTACCAGTAAATTACCAAAAGGCTTGCTGAGATTACGCTGCCTGGCTGGTAGCTAGCAGGCCAGCTAGCTGCTCCCAGCTCCAAAATGTCGGAACAAGTTTGCAAAGCATTATTTTGATAAATCGATCACATATAATGAACCTAAATTGTTAATTTCTCACCTAAAAATCATCAAACTAAATCTAGTAATGAATAAAAAGTTGTCGTAGGAAGGTTGTGGGTCTGGCTCATATCGTCTGCCATTGCCACTGGTTGATTCGAAATGCATGATGGGATACTGGTGGGGGCTTAAACTTGTGAGTTAGTCCAAAATAACAGAACTGTGTTTACATCAATGCAGTTTGATGCACAATTTATGCATTAGAAGTATTGCATTAGACCATAATGGTTGAGGGAAACAATAACAAACCTTGCAAAAAATGTTTTACACTCACTTAAGGTAGTTTTTGCCTTTTTCAGAACAGAGTTAATGTACTTAATAGGAGATGGAAATCCTTATATCGAATAATTTCTGACTCAGCAAACATTCAACTGACATTCAGCTATTTCCTCTCTGACAGTCTCATCGTGGCTCTAAAATCCACCCGATTGCTGAAACAAATAACCAATCTTCTGCATTGGTTTTCACTGTTTGAGGTTCGACTGGTGCTCTTTAAATTATGTCATCTTCTTGCGCCCTCTTCTCTGGTTTTTCGACTGGCGCCATCCACTGCTTATCTCAATGAACTAACTCCTCATAATTACATAACAGTAGTGGATTCACTCGTATTTTACTTGCCTAATTACTCAAAATTTGGTTAAGATTTGCGATACATTTGGCTGGAAACATGGGATCAGCTTTGTAACTTGAGGGTACAGTTGGCAGTGATGTATTGGCCCGTTATTGTTAAAGGACAAACAATACCTTTTGAAGTTTCAATCTCTTCCATTAAACAATTAAGTTTAAATGCTTTATGGTGATTGTAAACTTTGCCAACTTGGCTGTACACTCTACTTGGCCAATGGGAAGCATGCCAAGCCAGGCACTGAACAGCCCCAAAGGGCCACTGCAAGGACCTTGGCAATTCAAACCTACTCACTTAAAGCCATTAGTGCCCCAGTGTTTATGCTCCTCTCCCTTTAGCCAACAAGGCATGGATTGCTCCCAAACAGAAGTGGTAATGAGGTCCTAAGCAGCCTTGCGGCTTCAGACACAGAGACGCTGGAGCACAGCGGGCCAGTTTGGTCAGCTGCAGGGAACCGAGGCACAGAGAGGCCCGTAGTCCACTGTTGCCGGCTCACATGGGACTGTAAGGCAAATGTGATCCTGACACATTGTTCTGGCATGCATAATAGGGCCTTTTCAGGGCTCCTCAGGGGAGACCTGGGAGCCTGATCTTAAAGAAGTAACGTGACGTTGGTTTGATGGTTCTCCCTCCTCTCTACTTTTGTCTAACAGCCTTGTTTATAAGAAGTTGCCCTATGACTCATGTCTGCCTGCATTTCCATTAGCTTTATGGAAAATGCAAGACAGATAATGTAACAGTTGCTCGGACAGGCTTGCTCAACACGAAAGGAAGTGGTAACATAATAAGCGAATTAATCACACCGCCGATGTGATCTCTTATCTCATTCTCTTCCTCTCTTCAGAATGGTCAGGCCAGGCTGTCCAGTCATTCTGCTCCACCTCTTCAGCATCTTAGTACAAACAGGAGGTACATAAATATTAATGAAACTTAAAGTCATCCATCACATCAATTCCTTCAACTTTTAGGGTGGAGAAAAGTCAATTTAATGAGCTCTTATGCGTTATTCTCCTTTTAGGTAGTAGGACTCAGGACATCATGTATCCGTATGGACCCGGCCATAGGGATCTAGAGACCCCCAAGATGGATGATGGGAGTTCTCCTGAAGTTATTTTGCTCATGCCCTTCGTTTTCTTCAATATCCCCTACCGTTCCATCTATGTAAGCCTTGATCACAACTCTTATTATTGCACAGAAAGCTGTAATCTATCAATTTTTAAAATGATTCATTGCAATGTATAAAGTATATGTTATAGTCTATGATGCTGAACTACAACCCCGTCTGATCTGTTCACAGGTCAACAACAACGGTGTGGTCTCCTTCAACGTGCAGGTTAGCCAGTTCACACCAGAGGCTTTTCCCCTGAGTGACAGCAGATCATTCATTGCTCCACTTTGGGCAGATGTGCACAACGGCATCCGGGGAGATGTGTTCTACAGAGAGTCCATTGAACCGGAAATACTGGAAAGGGCAACACAAGATGTCCGGAAATACTTCAAAAACATGCCCACCTTCACAGCCGCCTGGGTCTTTATTGCAACGTGGCACCAAGTCACCTTCTACGGAGGAAGCCAGACAACCCCGGTAAAGTCTGAACGCTGCATGAGATAACTTGGTCACACATGCAGGTCATCAGCAGTTGCAAATGGAAGTGTTATTTAAGAAACACGCCTCACTCTTTAAGAAACAATTTTACATACACTTGTTTACTGTCTTGGAGTGTCAGATGTGAAAGGTTGGTTAAAAAAAATAAAAATATGCCTTCCAACATTTCCAAACGCTGTCTTATTCCTGCCTTGTCCAGATTGTTGGATGGAAACCTATGGAACACAAAACTGCTTCTCGTCTTTTTGCTAAGCTTTTATTTTGTCATTTGCTTGTCCCAAGACATATACATTCATACCATTTTAATTACTATATTTCAGTGTGAGGCAGGTTCTAGCTACATTTTGAAATATAGAAATAATAAAGTATAGTCGTTTTGACATATGTAGACACCTAGACGTCAGAAAATCACCAAAACATGACACAAAAGAGATACATCTGTCATCACTTTGATTTGATAGAAATATTTTCCAAAATGTTAGTCACATGGTGAAGGTTTCCCATCATCAGTAGGATATAATTTAGTCAGACATTTGCCTAGTGCCATTTTGAGATTACACTTATTAATTTTTTAAAATACTGAAAGAATGTTTAAATGATTCTTCTCCACTATGTTGTTTCTTATCTTGTTTTTTTCTTGTTAAAACTATTTTAATCTTCGTTTGGTTAAAAGGTGAACACATTCCAAAGTGTACTAATCTCAGATGGCGTGGCGTCCTTCAGTATGTTCAACTATGGAGAAATCACATGGAGCACAGGAACAGCCAGTGGTGGAGATCCTTTAACAGGACTGGGTGGGACGACAGCTCAGGTATTCTCACAATGTCCCCAAGATCATTTCATAACGCATAATAATCCTGTTCTATTATAGAAATTGTATGAGAAACATTTCACCTCACATCCCTCACACCTTTCCCCCTTTTCAGTCAGGTTTTAACGGTGGAGACATTGGTCACTTCTTCAACCTGCCGGGATCACGTTCAAATGATGTAGTGAACATTGAACAGACAACCAATGTAAATATCCCTGGGCGCTGGTTCTTCCGCATAGACACCGAACTGATAGATCCTGCCAATGGCTGCAGCTACAATGGCAAGTTCAAACACTAATACTTGTGTCCACTCAGGTTTCTCTTTTGCAAAGTAGTTTCGACAAACACTGAAAGCAGCCAGTGGAATCAAATCCTCGAGCTGCTTGCAGAACTGTACTTTTATCAACTCTGTCTTTCCTACATCCTCTTCAGGGCGTTATTACAGACGAGGGGAAATCTTTTGGCTGTCTGACCAGTGTTCACAGCGATGCCGCTGCCTGGACATTGACAACGAGGTGCACTGCCAAGAGGCTCCGTGCGGGCAGCTGGAGACCTGCGAGCAGCAGGAAGGGGCTTTTTACTGCCAGCCGACCCGCACCAGCACTTGTGTGGTATTTGGTGATCCTCATTACCACACCTTCGATGGCTTCCTCTATCACTTCCAGGGAACCTGCTCCTACCTGCTGGCTCGGCCTTGCTGGGAGGTTGCGGGGTTGCCATTCTTCAGTGTGGAGGCTAAAAATGAGAACCGTGGGGTTGCTTCTGTTTCTTGGCTTAGAGATGTCACAGTGGAGGTGTATGGTCACAGAGTCATGTTACCCAAAGGCAGTCTTGGAACAGCCCAGGTGAGAATCTGTGGATGCCTTTATATTAGAATTACCACAATATTTGCCTTGTCTGTGCTTCTTGGCACACACTTATGGTTGCATTTACACTCTGCGAGAGTGGTTTGGCAGTAAACGGAGCACTATTTATCTCTTGGATGCATCCTCCTGTTTTCTTTTTTATTGCATCCAAGTTCATGATACACATTTTGAGAGTTTTGTCATGATAAAGGGATTCTAAATTAGCATCTGTTCATAATGGACTAAGTTTTCTACCATCATCCATTCTTCCTTTCCTGATTTGTCCTCTTTATCTCCCTCTAGGTGGATGGCTTGATGAAGACTTTACCGGTCCAACTAGAGCTAGGTGCTGTCAAGGTGTACCAGTCTGGAGTTGCAGTTGCTTTAGAAACAGACTTTGGACTCTTGGTAACCTATGACGGCCAACACTACGCATCCATCTCCCTACCCAGCTCCTACTTTAACAACACTTGTGGCCTTTGCGGTAACTATAACGATGACCCCGCTGATGACCCTGTGCTTCCTGACGGCTCTCTAGCAGAAAGCGTAGTGGAGTTAGGGGGCAGCTGGCGTGCAGAGGACACAGACTGGAGGTGTACAGATGGCTGCGCCCAGAACTGCAGTGTATGTGACCCTCTTACAGAAGCCTTCTACTTTCGCTCAGACTACTGCGGGCTCATCAACAAAACCGACGGACCTTTTAGGGACTGCAGAGCCGTAGTGGACCCTACAGCCTTTGTGTATAGCTGTGTGTATGACATGTGCAGCAACAGGGATAATATCACCACACTCTGCCAGGCCATCCAGGCCTATGCTCTGGCCTGTCAGGCCCTCGGTGTCACGATACGACCCTGGAGATCTCGCACCTTCTGCGGTGAGATTCAGTTTGATTCAATTTACACAGATCATCTTACTTTAATTTACTTGTGTCATAATAATTTCTTCTCGTTTACTGGCTCTCAGCTTTGACATGTCCGGAGTTCAGCCACTACCAAGTGTGCACAAGTGCCTGCCCAGCCTCCTGCTCGGACCTCACCGCTCCGCTGTATTGTGCTCATCCTTGCACTGAGGGCTGCCAGTGTAACCAAGGCTATGTTCTCAGCGGCAGCCGTTGTGTACAGCGTGAAGACTGTGGCTGTGAGCATAACGGCCTGTATTACCCCCTTAATAACACTTTCTGGGCAGGCCCCAGCGGTGAAGAAGGTGAATGTACCCTCCGCTGCAACTGTGGGCCTGCTGGGGAAGTCTCCTGTTTCAACGAGTCCTGTAAGGAGGGTGAGGTGTGTGTGGCAGAGGTGGGCTTGCTGGGTTGCTACCCTCGGAGGGAGGGAGTGTGCTCAATCACCCAGAACTCAGTCACATCCTCCTTTGATGGCACCTTCCTGATGTTCCCAGATGACAGCTCCTACTACTTGCTGAAGCTGTGTGGTCCAGTGCCAGCTAATGGCTCAGTAGTAGAGGTGAAGATGGGTAGGCGGATGATGAACAAAGGCCCCTCATGGAAAAGACCTGTAGTTGTTACAGTGGCTAACCTTGAAGCTCAGATGGGAGGGACAGATTTTGATATAGTAAAGGTTAGTATTTTCTCTATTTTAAATCTTAGAACCCATCGGCTGTTGTCTAATGACGATTCAGCCTCTGCGGGCAACTGTCAGTGTTTTAAGTAGCAACTTGATAATAATAATAATAATAATACATATATACGAATGAAGATATGTTTTTAAAAAGCTAATAAATACCTAAATTGTTGTCAGATGGATTCTGCTTTCCGTGATTGGTCAATACTACACTTCTGATGCCAAAGTCTTGGTCCCTTGTCTACAGATTCTCCATTTATATGTCGATTTCTTTTTATAGAGATACGCTTTGACACTTCTTTGTGTTTCAGGTGAATGGTGAACCAGTGGGGCTTCCATATGTCCATCCAATGGAGACAATGATGATCTACAGAGCACCGGGCAATGCTACAGTGGTGGAGTCCCGTGGTCTGCTTCGTGTCCACTACACACGCCAGGGATCCCTCAACATCTCCCTCTCCACCATCTTCTACAATGTTACATGCGGCCTATGTGGTGTCTTCAATAGTAACTCCACTGATGACCTTCGCCTTCCAAATGGACGCCTGGCGGAGTCTACTGAACAGTTCACAGAGGGCTGGAGGTCCATTGCTGACGACCTCACCTGTAATGGTGACTGTGATGACCTGTATCGAATGTGCACGGACTTGCGTCTCTACCAGAGTCCTTGGATGTGTGGCAACATCAATGACCCGGGGAATAGTTCATTTCTGGCCTGTCATGCAGTGGTCAACCCCTCACCATTCTTCAGGAACTGCTTGTATAACATGTGTGTAAGGGAAGGGAATCGTTCAGCCCTGTGTTCTTCGCTGCAGGCTTATGCCACCGCATGTCAGGATGCTCAAGTAGGCCTCGCTTCCTGGAGGAGTGCCACCAACTGTCGTGAGTAGACACATCTTTACTTTAAAGGAGCAGGCAGATATTTTGTTTTTTATTTGGCATCAATAAGAGGAAAATATCATCTCTGTGTGTCTAGAACAGATATAAACAGTCCAAAAATGTTAAAAATAAGTCTTCAAACAACTCTAAATCTTTCTCACTGTGCTGTACCTTGTCAGCAAGCAAACTTGTTTAAAGAATTTTAAAAAAAGCTTTTCCATTTATAAACATATAAATGTGTTAAATATAATTTTAATACAAGACTTCTTTGAATTTGCTGGGAGGCACATTTCAATATGATAAAACTTAGTTTTGTCTGACAAAGGGCACACAGCTAATCCTCAAAGAAAAGCTTTGTGTTTAGTCATTATATGACAAAATAAGATACAGAATAAATGCACTGAGCATATGGACGGATATATGGTGGATTATGTTGCAGAGGGGTTTGAGAATACAGATAGTTTTACACATCTTTTGCCATAAACCTTATCACCAGTTGAATCCATTGTAACCATGGTGAATTCAAGCTTTCCTAATCTAATCCTCATCCCTTACAGTGGAGCATTTTCTAAATAAAACTTTTTTGGAGGAGTATTCTTGTAATATGGATTGGGCCGTTGTCTTTGCTTCTCTCTTGCTGTCTCATACCTCGTTCTTCTGTCTCAGCTCTTCCCTGTCCGGAGAACAGTCATTTTGATGAGTGCACCAGCGCCTGCCCTCTGACCTGTGCCAACTTGGATGAACCTGACGAGCCGTGCCCTCTGCCATGCCAGGAGGGGTGTCAGTGCGAGGAAGGCTTTGCGCTGCGCGACGGCCTGTGTGTGGCGCGCAGTGATTGTGGCTGCATAAGCCACGGGCGCCAGCTGGCCACTAATCAGACTTTCTGGACAGACTGGGAGTGCCAGGAGCGCTGCTACTGCAATGGCTCTGACAACAGTGTATACTGTCAGCTCGCACCCTGTCACCCTGAGGAGTACTGCCAGGAGAATGAAGGCCTGTATTTCTGCCAGCCGCGCACTGAGGCCCTGTGTGTGGCGGCTGGTTATGGACATTTTCTGCCATTTGGTGGCGTACCATTTGAGCTGCAGAGCTCTTGTACTCTTAGGATGGCCACCACCAACTGTGGGAGAGAGAGCAGGGACCACGCAACCGTCTCTCGAGCTTTCCCTCTATTTAAACTGGCCGCTCGTAATGAGGAAAGGGACACAGGCCAGGCAATTTGGGTGAGGGGGTTTGTACTGGAGGTGTACGAGTATGAGATTGAAGTGTCTCGAAGCTACAAAAACACTGTCACGGTGAGTGCATAAACAGGAAGAACAGTAAATGAATCAAAACCCATGGTTATATATTGTCTTCATATACCTGGCTCATAATATGAATATTTATATCTTAACACCCCTTTTACGCATTGACCCGTGAAGGTCATAGTTGTTGTATTTGTGAGGACATGTTATTTCTAATCAAGCCGATAGAATAACCAGGCAGAGGGTGAATTCCTTTTGATTGGCTTAAGGTGGATCTAATTTCAATGGGCATCTTTTATCAGGCTGGATTTGGCTCAGACAAAACCCCGACCCTGAGCGACATTTGGACCAGGTTCACAAACCGACTAAAAGATCTGAGGAGGAATAGAAATGACACACATAACCCAACGCACCCACCCACACACACATGCAGCCTCACACCCACGCACACACATTTTTCCCTCATTCTCTCTGTCACTTTCTCTCTTGTACAATTACATTATATGAGAAACACATAGAAGCTCTTTCAGTGAGTCTTAATGTTATCCATTCATCACCTGGGTTTCCCCACATACTTTGAAAACATGCAGTTGGATTGGATTGAACTATGACTTGGTGCTAAAAATGCTTCCGTAAGAATGTGTGTAATAACAGTTAAACCTGTTTAAGCAAGAGTTTTCTTTAATCTCTCCTCACTCAGGTGAATAAGGAGCGTTTGTACCTTCCTCTGAAGCTGGGTCCTGGGAAGGTCAGCATCTTCAACTTGGGCATGCAGCTCATACTGGAGACAGATTTTGGCCTGAAGGTGGCCTTCGACTGGAACACTCTGCTCCTGTTGACTTTGCCCCGCGACCTCTACAACGCCTCCTGCGGCCTCTGCCAGGGCGTGCCCTTATCCCCACCCACCCTCACCACGACTGACTGGGGCATGGCCTGGGCAGAGAGGGACACCTTCTGCCAGGTGGGCTGCGGAGACTCCTGCCCACGCTGTGGCATGGGAGAGAAAAGCGTGCTAAATGACGTCCCTCTCATGGTGGCTGATGCCAACACGAACATCGGCACAGACGACGGAGCAAATGAAGTCAACACAGGCATTCGTTTCCACATTGGAGATGGACTGTATGTGTTTGTGGAGCCTGAGGCAGTGAGGCTGTGTGGGCTAATTGTGGATCGAGGAGGTGTGTTTGCGCGTTGTCACAGTAAGGTGGCGCCAGCGTTCTTTTATCAAAGCTGCCTGCAAGACACCTGTTTGGACCAGGGAGCTCAGGATACAATCTGTAACTGGCTGCAGATATATGCCAGCACCTGTCAGACCCAAGGAGTGCCTGTTACCGGCTGGAGGAGTGACACACCGTGTGGTGAGTGCTAGTCTGAGATCCCCTGTGTAAAGAAAGTACATATTTTCTGTAGTTGTATCTGCTCATGCAGATACTTTTAGATTTATTTGTCCTGGTTTTGACACATCTTTCTCCTTCTGCATCCCCCCGAACACAGTAGGAAATTCATTTGTGGTGCTCACAGTGGTGAAAAAAATATTTCTGAATCATCAGCATATCTTTCTAGAATGCATTGGCATGTGTTCCTATGAATAATCCACTCAACACACTGTCAACTGTTATAAAAATAGGGACTATTTCTCCAGTAGAAAGTAGTTCCACTAAAAACATTTGACAGGGAGGTCTGTGGATTATTCACAGGACAATTGTTTACTGATAAATTTACATTTAATTGTAATATTTCAATGCAATGAGTACCACAAACCCAGTCCCATTTGATTCTATTGTATCAGACTGGGCACATAAAACCAAACTTATCAGCATGGCTGGATATAAGTAAGAGGATGTTATTATTTCATTTGGGTTAACAGGTGAAACAGTAGTATAAGCAGAGGTGTTCGTAGGGGTCTTCTTCCTTGGATGGAGCCTGGTTGTGTCCCCTGCTTCCAGTCTTTATGTTAGGCTAGGCTAACAAGGCCCTGGCTCCAGATCCTCTTTCAACAGAGAATTATTAGATTGATATTGATCTCACCTCGTGCTAGAAAAAGTGAATACACATGTTTCCCAAAATGATGAACTATCCCTTTAAGCAGCTGCCGTAGAGCCACATAAGCTCTAAACGTGTACACACATATCTCCAATCAACACTTGTACACAAACATATACCCCCTGAAAAATCAACACCTATTTATACTGGAGAATGTCCTATGTGAACAATGTAGTCAGTGCAATCATTTGCTAATGTCTTTGCCAACCTGCCTGCTCCCAGTCCAGAGCTGTCCACCTAACAGCCATTACTCCAGTTGTGTGTCGGTTTGCCCGCCCCAGTGCGCCCCAGCCCGCGGCCAGAGGGACTGCAGCCAGGACTGTGTGGAGGGCTGCCAGTGTGACCAGGGCTACGTGCTCAATGGCAAGAACTGCATCCTGCCTCAAAACTGTGGCTGCTACACTGATGGCAAGTACTATGAGGTCAGTCTCACATCCAGCACTAAACTCTCTGCAGCCAGAACTGACTTTTTATTAAAGTCCTCATTGGCCAGTCAGTGTCATATACATTGTTTTAAACATCAGGTTGCTATAATAAACCTGCAATGAAAGCTCAATTTTCTTTTACTTTAATGTTAATTGGGACACATTTCGCCTGAAAGTTTGAACAAATCTCTCCAGCTCATTTAGTTCAATTCAATACCAGTGCAGTATATTAAGGTAATCCTTCATGCTAGGGCTTCAACTAACAGTTATTTTCATTATATATCAGCCTGTTTATCATCTTTTTGATTAATAGATTCATTATTTAGGCTATAGAATGTCTAGAAAATATAAAAAAAATACTCCCAATTTCTTAAATCCCAATACTCAAAGAAAGAAAACTGTAACTTGATAATATTTGTATTTTTGCTTTTAAAAGTCACTATGATAATTTATCCATCATCAAAATAATAAACACTTTTATGTCCATCAACTAATTGACTAATTGTTTCAGCTCTGATTTTAACAGAAACCTCTCTTTATTTCAGCCCAAACAGCTGTTCTGGAACAGTGACTGTACCAAACGCTGCCAGTGCATTGGACGGAACCTGATCCAGTGCGACCCGAGGCGCTGTAAGGCAGAGGAAGAGTGCACCCTCCGGTATGGCGTGCGAGGCTGCTTTGCGCGGCGATCCCAGCACTGTGTGGCCTCTGGCGGTGGGGTTTTCAGGACCTTCGATGGCGCATCGCTGCGACTCCCGGCCTCCTGCTCCTTCGTCTTGTCCACAAACTGTCACAAGCTGCCTGACCTTTCCTTCCAGCTCATCGCTAACTTTGATAAATGGAGCACACCCAACCTCACCACCATCTCTCATGTCTACCTTTACATCAATGAGGAGAACATACTTATATCTGGCAGCACTGTCAAGGTGAGAGAAACGTCGAACCATTGTTGGTTTGTCAGTATATGATCCAACTGTTGGAAATTACTGACTGACCTTGTTGTGATTTCTACTTTGCAGTTTGATTACATTACATTGATGCTGAAATTGATCAGTTCCACTTCATACAACTACCTTTAACCCACTACAACAATACCTGTCTATCACCTAAGGGTTTATCAAACGGGTTGAATTGTTCACTCACACGTGGAATACCATTTTATTCCCTTGTGCAGTCTCACTCATTCTTATTTCAAGTGTGACATAGTTTGTTCCTCCAAAGCTAACTTGCATTTCAGACTGTGTTCCTGCCAAATCCTTTAAGCCACACAAATCAATATTTCATATAAACAACAGATCAATAAATTTTATTTGAAAGGTTGTTCATAGTGACAAATCTTCAGAGAGTTATAACTCTAGACTCTATATAGCCTTTTCGTTTCTTTTAACCTTTGGTAGCTAAAAACCCATTTTCTGGGAGCAAGACAAAGCTAGAAGAGTTTATATTGTACTCCCAACATTCTTCAGATGGCCAGAATGTTCCATATTAATGCTAATGTTGCTCTGTGTCTGCTGGATGTGCAAAATGGGCAATAGGTTGCTAACATTCAGTCATATTAACTTTACAAAGCCACTTCAAACATGTCTGATTTTTAGCTTGTTGTTGCCACAGGTGACAATTATTGGACAAAGGTAAATGTTAGAACATAGTTCAAGAGTGCCACAAGTAAAGAGGAGTCACAAAGTGAGCAAACTGACTCAGAAATGTCAATAATGCTGCAATATCTAGCCAGTATAAGCTAAAGCTAAGCTAAATAGTTAACTGTAGATTTGAGACAGCGTGTGGTTCATTGTCTGTTAATTCAACATTTGCTTTTTAAGAAGAAGTTTGTGTTACTTGTTAAAGGCTACACAGTATCACTTTAATGCTTTAATTGGACTATTATCTCTATTGGTTAGATTTTTTTTATATTATCAACTTACTTTCTTCTGGCTATTTTCCTTCTGCTGTCAAAGATGCCTTTATCAAACCTCTCTTAAAGACACTAAACAAACAGATCCAATTCAAATCTCCCTTTTCTTTCCAAGATACTTGAAGAGTTCTCACAGTCCAATTTACCAATTACCACTAATTGCCTGGTAGAGCTCCTCCAATTCAGGCTTTAGCCCATATCATTCCACTGAGAGTGCACTCACAGAGGTAGTTAATGACTTGCTGATTACCTTTAACTTTGGCTCTCAATGAGTCATTACCCTGCTTGATCTGAGTGAGCCAATTTTCTAAACTGTCTAAAGATCTATGTTGGTATCAGTGGTAATGCATTGAAGCGTCATATTAACCAGAACCCAGAGTAATTACAGATCATCACAATCTTTCTTTGGACTATCTCTTTTCTGTTATATACTACCCCTCAGGGATATCTTTTGTGAACATATACATGATATACATGAAATAATTTTATGCAGATGACACCCAAATCTACATTCCTCCTCCAGATGATGGAGCTTATATGTTTAAGCACAACCTTCTCAGGAAAAAAAAGTACAGTGAGCACAACAGTGTGCAAAAACCCATGGCTAGGTTTCATCTTTGATTCCCCTTACTGCCTTAAAACAAGTTCTCCCTTCTCCATCACATTGCCAAAATGTATACAAGATCACATTTAGTTAATATCTCATTCTCAGTCTTGCAACACTAAACACAAACTAAGCTATAGGATAAAACGCCATAACTTGCTGCAAACACCAGGAACTCTTCAATCATTCAAAAACATTGTTTTCTTTACTTGATACTTGATGACTTTTCTAAATTTTCTGAGAATGACTTTTATTTCTATATTCATTTCTGTTACTGGAGTTTTACAGTTAAATTCATGAGAGATCTAACAAGAAGTTAGATCTATCTGGGGTCTACTTGACCCCAAACATAAGTAACATCACCTTCATCAAATCTGCAGTTTGTCTTAAACGGATGTGTTAATGATTTAATATCAATTCACATCCAGTAAATATGTCATGAGAATTCTCCTAAGCCATGGTATACAATTTAAGTCTACCAAACTAGATTAATGTTTTGTGATGATAGTTGATACTACTTGGTAATATACCCAATCTTGCACCTTTAGGAATTTATATTGGCAGTAAAATGATAAATTGTGATTTAATCATAACATTATGTTAATGGCCATCACTTGCAGTCAGAAGAGAACTCAAACATCCACAGTCGCCAAATCTTAGATGAAAGCAGAGAAATTGTTATGATAGTTATGTGAAAATGGATGAAATAAAAGTGACTGTGTGCCCATCTAAAGATTTCCGTGTCATGTGTCTTCACAGGTCAATGGTACACCAGTATCAGTACCATTTCTAACTGGGCTGATGACACGTCTGTCCTCATCCGAAGGTTTCATAGTCATCGACACACCCCAGGACATCCAGGTCCGATACAACCACTTTAACACCCTTAGTATCACAATGGGCCAGCGGCTTCAGAACAAGGTGTGTGGCCTCTGTGGGAATTTCAACGGGGACCCCAGTGACGACTACATCACCTCCAGGGGCAAACCGGCTGTTAGCGCGCTGGAGCTGGCCCAGAGCTGGAAGACCAACGGTATGCAGAACAGGTGGGTGAGGATTACAGACGCCACTTAAATTTGTCAGGTGCACAGAAACATGACTCCTTATGAATGCTAATAGAGCTTTTTCACAGCAGCCACTTTAACGTAATATAGTAGGTTAAACACAGGTGTTACCAATGATACTAATAAAAATGTCAAAAATGTATCATTGGTTACACCTGTGTTTAATCTAATATTTCATGTCAAAGTGGCTGCTGTGAAAATGGTCTATGTTGACATTTGGGGGTTTGTTTAATGTGGGACTATCTGCACCGGATCTAGGCTAAAATACAATGCCATTGGAGACTTGTGAAAAGTTTATGGACTGCTTTAAATTACTAAAGTTAGTCTAAGTTCATCACCAACAGTCTTTTTATGAGTTTGTGCCCTTTGAGCTAACACTGTTCTTCATAACTTTTAATTAATTCACCCATCGATCAAATGACTGGCACGGACCCAACCAGGCCCATCTGTTAAATAGGTATTTCTCATTGTTTTTACCATTTGGTGACTTTGAATCAGTTGAGTCTATGCTCACTGTAGGTGTGTAGCAGTATGTACCGTGCAGTATTTGCAGATACAAAGAAAATCTGGCACAGGAAAATTTAAATAATATTGAATAATAAAATACAGTAACTTTGACAGTTGGATGTTGATCTTTCACCTTTAGCTGTGACGAAACCCAGTACGTGGCTCTGGCTCAGTCCTGTGACAACTCGGCGGTGGCGGCGCTGCAAGGTGAAGATGCCTGTCAGAAGCTCACCCAGCTGAAGGGCTTCTTCCAGCCTTGCCACGGCCTGCTGGATCCCCGGCCCTTCTACCAGTCCTGCTACCTGGACGGCTGCTACAATCACCGCAAGGCTCAGGTCTGTGGCTCGCTGGCAGCCTATGCAGAGGCCTGCCGCTCCCTGGGCACCCTCACCACCAAGTGGATCACCCAAGAGAACTGCTGTAAGGGCACCGCGAGGCACCAGCCTCCCTCAGACACATGGCTCTACATGTCTCTGTGCTGTCACATCTTTAAAGCTACAATTAGAAAAAAAACTTACTGTAAGGCCCAATGTGTTTGTAATAACACTTAATTTAAGGTGCAATCTCATGCATTACAAACAACAAAAATACAAATCTTATTTATCTTAAGATACAAAGAATTTGTGGCATCATTCAAATGATGTCTTCAATGAGGTCCATTAGAGGATTTCCAGTATAATGCCAATGACAATATAAAGCAAAAGGAGAAGCAAAGCAACTATCAATGCTTTTATATTAACAAGGACTACAGCGAAAGGTGAAGGTCAAGAATTATGACCCAAATCTGTAATTTACCTCTACAGAGATTTATAGTGTCTTTCAGCTCATTGTTTTGGTTTACCAGTCTTTAGTGTTTGCTCGTTTCAGCAAAAAGGCTCTAAAAATCAGCTGTAAGGTAACCGTCCAGAACCAAACAGCAGACGGACAAAGTTAACAATTAGCTGGTGAACATACAGAAACATGAGTCCAAATGAATGCTAATATTGTTCTGTACCTGCTGGATGTACAAAAGGCAGCTGTTTGCTAGCCTGGTTGCCATATGAACTTGATAAGGTAAACAATATGTCAGTATTGTTTACAGCTTGTTTCCGCTACCCTGAAGTAGAAAAAAAACCTGATATTAAAGGTTTAATGTAACAACAAAGTCTATTTTGTTAATAAGTAGAAGGGAGTATTCATTTAATTTGCTGATTAATTCATTTGACATGATGAACACACATGTTTAAGTCAAGGTAACGTTGTGTGTGACAGCTAACATTGTGTGTGGACGTGTCTTTAGCAGAATGGATCTACGACCCCTGTGCAGGAGAGATCTGCACAAACTTCACCTGTGAGCTGGAGAACGGAGGCGACCTGTGTGGCTGTCCAGAGTTACCCACCACCACTGGAGGTAAGTGCTTCATAGGACAATAAGGTGATATCACCCACCCCCAGTTTTAATCCAATCCCAGTATTCTGTAAATTATACTATGATATACTATTAAAACTAAACTACCCATTCTTAAACATATATTCCTGTGCAGAAAGTTCCCTTACTATGAATGGAAAAGGCCTTTAGGCAGCAGTATAAAGGGCCACACTTTCCAGGAATAATAATACCGGTGAACAGTACCTGACGTGTGCCTGTGTGTGTGGCAGGTGAGGATGACATCATCCAGGCGGAGGTGACCTGTAAGCACGCTCAGATGGAGGTTTCCATCTCCAAGTGTAAACTCTTCCAGCTGGGCTTCGAACGGGAGGACGTGAGGATCAACGATGAGCACTGCGCCGGCATCGAGGGAGAGGACTTCATCTCCTTCCTCATCAACAACACTAAGGGGCACTGCGGCTCCATCGTACAGGTCGGTTTAAGTTCATTCGTGTTCTTACTTACTTTATGAGTCTTCACTGTTCTCATTACTTTGCTTACTAGCTTTCTCTGCATCCCCCACTTGGTGTTTAACAGTTTACAACCTTTAATGACTCCTCCAATTTTAGGCATGTCACCCAAAGGCCTTGTTTAACTTCAGTGCAGTCTTGCATATTTTTAAAGGTGCTACATTATGTATGTTACATAATGCCATAACTGGTTGTTGCATTCATTTTGAAACATTCATATAACTATAACTAGCCATTAGTGTGAAGACTGTCAACCTTTTTATGTCTCCACACTGCATTTTACTTTGTGTTCCACTTTGTTAAACTTGCTGTAAAATCTGCTTCTACTTTACCTCCAGTCTAAGTCGAGGAATATACTGCCCTAACTTGTACACGACGCTCAATAAACAGGAGTGGAAGGAAAAGCTTATTTGCTTTCTTTCTGAGAGTGAGATGAGAAGATCAATATCATTCTCATGCCTGTGTGCAGAGTACAGACCTGGAGTTGGAATATGGTTCGCCTAGCTTAGGATAAAGACTGCAAGCAGAGGGTCTAAAAGGAAAAAGCGTTTGTAGCATTGTGCCTCCGTGTGATCGGCCCCCTCACTGAATCAGGTTTATATGATACATAATCAAAAAATTATATATCTTGGCAAACAACAGCTGATAATGCTCATCTCCAAGATTAAATGAAGAAGCATATTTCCCAAAATGTTGAACTTTCCCTTCAAGACAGAAAACGCTGGACTAGCTGTCCTTTAACTATTAACAGTGAAATATCAAATTATAATCAGGCAGCAGAACGGATGTATCAGCTGTTTTCCAGTATTTCCTGATGAATCCTCTAAACATCTCTGACAGTCGAATGGCACACACATCATGTATAAGAACACTGTATGGATTGAGAGCGTCAACAACACCGGGAACGTCATCACCAGAGACAAGACCATCAATGTGGAGTTCTCCTGCGCCTACGAGCTGGACCTGAAGATCTCGCTGGAGACTGTCCTCAAACCAATGCTCAGGTGAGATAGACAACGAGGGAGGAAGTATTCAGATTCAGTAAAAATATCATCAGAAAAAAAGCTAAATTTCTCCTCGTTTTTTCCTCCAGCGTGATAAACCTCACCTTACCGACCCAGGAAGGAAACTTCATCACCAAGATGGCTCTATATAAGAACTCCTCGTACCGCCATCCATACAGGGAGGGGGAGGTGGTGCTCAGCACACGGGACATCCTCTTCGTGGGCGTCTTTGTGGAGGGGGCAGATGAAAACCAGCTCATCCTCATAGTTAACATGTGCTGGGCAACGCCGACCCGCTACAGCAGCGACCGACTCCGCTACATCATCATAGAGCGAGGGTGAGGCTGGAGGAACATCCCACACACACAAAGAAACACAAAGAATTGAATGATGGTGAAATTTATAAAGCAGTTATTTTTATATCAGATATTTTGTGATCACAACTGATTATTGAATGTTGCATCAAGCATCTGTGTTTCTGTGAGTCAGGTGCAGCCCACAGTTCATTCATCAGCTGAAAACTCATTTACTCATTCATTATTTGATGTCTTCATTAGCAAATGGAGTTCAAGAACTAACTTTAACACATTTCTTAACTGAATTAAGGCCCATAGTGTCCCATCAACATGTTTTTCCCCTCGAACAGTGACACTTCTGTTCATTCATATGCAGATATTTACTGTTTGTTGAAAACAGCTATTTAGTTTTCCCTCTTCCCATTAATTTTGGCTCAATGTTAATGTTCCTCTGGGTTTAGTTTAAAAATTTTTTTTTGGGGGGGGGGGGGGTTGTTTCTTTAATAGTTTTTGAGGGGGGTTTTTTTTTTTTTCCCTCCCAAAAGGGTTGGGGGGTGTCCATTTTTTTTTTTAAAAAAGGGAAAGGGGGGGAGAAATAAAAAATTTAGAGTTTTTTTTTTTTTTTAATTTAAAGTTTTTTTTTTTTTTTGTTTTTTTTTTTTTTTTTAAAAAAAAGTTTTTTTTTTGGAAAAAAAACCTAAAGAAAAAGTAAGCCCTTTTTTACCTAAAAAGGGGGGATTCCTAAAAATTAGGGAATTTGTCCTGACATATTCTGAAAATAAAAATATATGGCATTCCTTGGTAACACCTTTCATTGTAACTTAAAGCTGCAAGCAGTGACGATCATGCCCTCGCAGTCCATGTGTGTTGCGAGCGCCAACATGTGTAGACCACACTGAAAGTTTCACGTAAATCATAAGATTGCCACACAAGCCTTACTTACGGTTTCCAGTAGGTGGCGCTATGACTGACTGACTGACTGAATATTGGCATTTAGATGTGTTCAAACTAAGTCATTTTTAATGTCTGAAGCTAAACCTGGAAGTAGCTGGAACTATTGTTTGCCGTATGAAGTGAAGGTGGTGACTGTGGACTGTACAGTAGATAATAATCTTCTTCCTTTTGATACATCAACACTGAACCGAACAGTCTTTCGTCAACAATCCTTTCCTTTTAATATCTATCTCTCCCTAGGTGTCCCAACATTAAGGACAACACCATCGGCATGGCGGAGAACGGCGTGTCGCTCACCTGTCGCTTCCACGTCACCGTCTTCAAGTTCATCGGGGATTATGATGAGGTCCACCTCCACTGTGACGTTTCCCTGTGCGACTCCGAGACCAACGCCTGCAAAGTGGTGAGAACAAAGTTCCACCTTAAATTAAAGTGATGATGAAACAATTGCTGTATTAATGTGTGCGTACTGTGCATCCAGAACTGTCCACACAAGAGAAGAATGTACTCGGAGGACAGCGACCACAAAGAGCATATACTGAGTGTGGGACCCATAAGAAGGAGAGGTAAGGAAGAGCTCACTGAAGGTTTAAAGAGATAACCTGGCTTTTTCTTCCTGTTTAGAAATGTGTAAAAACACAAGTTCACACAAATTATATCAAATAGTTTCCAGCACTTTCCTCCGCTATTCAAACTCCAAAGCTTTTGACTCCCCTGTGACGTCTCCTCAGAGTCCGACTGGTGCGAGGATAGCAACGGAGGCTGCGAGCAGATCTGCACCAGTAAGACGACCGGACCGGTCTGCAGTTGTGTGACTGGGATGCTGCAGCGAGATGGGAAAAGCTGCCGGAGTAAGGACCAGAAACGCACACATACACACACTGTTTTCAGCTAAAAAGCTCTAAAAACTCACTGTACACTACCTCTGTGTACCAAAGACAAACAGGTACAGCAACTGGCTGCTGAACATAATGGAGTAATTGGCAGCCAAAGAGCTGGGTATTGGACTTATATATTGGACTTATATTTGCCAGCCGGCCCAGAAACACAACACCAAATAAATGAACTGTTTGCTAACAAGTTCAACATTTCAACTTGAAAGCTGATAATATGTCAGTTCACAGATGTTTATGCTGCCCACAAGTGGCCAAACAAATCTGTTTAATGCAGGTTTTAAGTGAAGCGAATCAATCATAAATTGACCTATAAGCATAGCCTGACAGTGAAAGCAACATTTTTTTACTATCTGATGTAAATAAATTAAAAGCATGAAACATCCACCTAAAAAGTACGGATGTTTTTATGAAGGGTTGACAGCCTGAGGTGTATTTCAGCAGCAATCTCCACTAACGGAACTTTAGTTTCTAGACGTTGACGTCATGTTACGTCCTAGCACAGGTGATAAGGGTCATTAATACTGGACTTGAACACAAGATGGCGTGATTACAACTGCAACAATATGAGAACCTGAATGTGCCGCCTCTATTAACTCTGCCCTGGATATTTCACAGGAGCAGGCTGTACAACTTTACCTGACATTGGTTGATTAATAAGTAACACAAGCTGGATATTTGATGCAGAAAGGAGGAATTAAGAATCTACTGCCTGCGTCACTACACACTACTTGGATATTGATAAAGACATTAGCTTAATAGCCTTTATGGTTTATCTCATTTACCTCAGCCATTATCATTGTGGACACGGCCTCTTGTGCTGTCTGTCTGCCAGCTACTGTTTGGGTTTGGCTGCATTAGGGAGAGTTCATTTAAATATTGTATGCTTAAAATCTTTAATCAGGTGGGAATGAGCGAACAATTCACTACTGGTTTACAATGAATGAGTGGAAGATGCTAAATGGTGGTAGTCACACTCTTTGTGCATGTCTTTGTCATTCATACAATATGTAAATATCATTATTTTTGCTGTTCAGTTTAAATCTTCTTAATGCCATAAAGTATACAAACATATTGGTGTATTCTGGGGGGCGGTTATTGATGAAACAGGCATCCACAGCAAGTCAGTAAGCAGGGCAAAGAGTTTCCATTTGTATTTTTATTTATAAAGGGAATAAATTGCTAAACTATTAGTGAGTGACCTCATCTGGACCCCATGTGCATTACCTGCTTGCACATACAGTAGGTGACAAACATCTGGGTTACTGGGTTATTTATTATTATTTAGTTTTGTTATAGACTTTGACTAGTGTCAAAATATTATTGTATAATTGTTATAATAAATATTTAGCCTCTTATCAAAAAACATCCATACATTACAATAGCAATTACAAAGATCTATTAACTCAACAGAAGAAACAACATTTAACAGATTTTGTAACACAAGAAAAAGTGCCTCAGTTTCCTCTATAATTAATGTTTTCTTCTTTTCCCAGCTGTGAGCTCGAGCTGTAACCTGACGCCTGCGGTTTCTCTGCTGAGCGTCAGCGCTGTGATCTCCATGCTCCTGGCTCGTATTCATACTCTCCTCTCCTAACACCCTGTGAGCAAAGCGAGTCAACAAATGAAAAAATATGCAAACACAGAACACTTGAAAATGCACAAAGAAACAGAGTTGATTAGCCAGTAGATCAGCTGTGTACCAGACAATCTAGACAGAATACGTTCACACTATTACTGATGCAACTGAAGGTACGTTACCAAACAGGAAAAGTAAGTCAGCTTTCTAGACATGTGGACAAGTGATCCTTCCGAAACTCTTAGGTTTCACCCCTCCACTTCACATTGTGTAATTCACCTCCACCTCCTGCATTATTCACATATATCAGGACGCCTCACTGTGTGTTTTCATTCACTTAAAGCCACTACATGCGTATATTTTTAATGCAATTATAACATTTATCAAATGTCTGCCACAGTATCTTTCAATGTCAGACTTTTTCCAATTGTACACATATGGGGTATGGCCAAAGTTGGTCAGCTAGTTAACTAACATTTTGATAACATTAGCTAACAATTGATGTAGATCATCAGCATACATAAAAATGCACGACATGACAGCTTCTCCAGAAGTGAAGCCAAAACATCTCTTTCGCCCCCTGGTGGTGACTGCTGTATAGGTCTTAAAGCCCACTGCTTCCATGTTTGCAGAATGGCCAAACTTAAATTTGTCAAAGTACATATTAAATAACTTTTTCCCAAAGATGTTCTGCCATTTTAGATCAAGTGTTAATTTTGCTGATAAGTTTGGTTTTAATTAGTTATTTGAAGCTATAAAAAGGGCATTTCACGTCATGATTGACAGCTGAGCCCTGAGTCAGTTTGGCGTATGGGCGAGACTTTGATACTGCGGCGCCAACCCCGATCACTACTGCACAGACTCTGGCTCCAAATGACGTCACTGGCACAAGATGGCAGCAGCTGTATCCGGGATATTTTGGCTTCATTTTTATATAGTGGGAGGAATTGGAGACATGAAGTCCATCTTTTATATGTTGATGATGTAGATTAGATAGTTAGCAAGTGTTTTGATAACATCCAGCCAGTTAGCTTAAGATGTGAATATGACACATTTTTCCATTCATCAGCTAAGATCCAATCACAATTCAAGCCAGACCACCTCCACATGTGTCTGGCCGATCTCTGGTAGCGTTAACTTGCATTAACACTATTTTACCTTATCAAGATAAGAGACCCAGATACAGATCATATGTTGATGCACATGGGCTTTATGGGTCTGGAATTAAAAATTGCATGGATATAAATTCTCTGTCTGACAGTAGATCTACTGGCTAGCTTTAACCACAGTAGAGCTGATCTTTTTTGACCTCCAGATCAACTAATGTAATCAGTGTTTATCCCTCTAAACCAACTAAATGTACACCAGCTTGTGGCTGCAGAAAGGTGATTTTAAGAAGAAAACTGGATGATCTATTTTGTGATGGTGGAAGAGTACATTGTAAATGGGTGGCCCACATTTATCTTGGATGTCACAGTGGAGTTTATGAATGAAGTAAGTATTTATGTGTGAGGAGAGCACCTTGTGAAATGAATACTCGTATATATTTCACTCAAATTTTGGTCTCATAGATTAGCGTCCAGGTTGTGTTTCGGCTGTAAGATATGCAATCAGTTTGTGCCAGTCAAACATTTCACTTCTATCATTTCTTGTCTTAATCAGTTATAGTGTTGTAACACTCCTGCCATAAATATTGACTGATTATTGATTCAGAACAGTTTGCATTTTAGGAAAGATATGTGACGACGTACTGTAATACTGTTAATAGAGTAAGGTTCTCCAAGTACGGTCCCTGGTCAATGTATTCTATTTGGCACCTTATGCGTTATAAATGTCAATACATGTCACCACACAACTTATGTAAACCTTCAGTGTTCTTTACTGAAGCCAATTGTAATTCTCAGTTTTTGGTTAGTTATGCAGTCAGTAGCAGTTTTTCATAGGTAGACTTGTTTTGCTACCTTCTATGTACAAATGTACAGTCCTTGTCAGTTTGGTGGTGAATGTCATAACTTTGTTTTAATAATCAGTTTCTTTTTTTGATGTTTAAAAACATGACCAAAAGATGTTTTATTATTTGAGAGCAGCACCTCCACCACCTTTTAATAAATGAACAAGTTCTCAAAGTCGGTGTGAGTCAAGTTTATTTGATGCAAAACATGCAGGCATGCATTCAGGGGCTACAAGACTGCGTCAACCCAGTCTATGTACATATTTTATTCACCAAAAAGATCACTGTTTGGTATGAATTGCATTTAATGGTGAACATTCAAAGTTTTGTCCTCCTGTAGTGTTTCAGTAGCTGACAGGAAGTAAACTTGGATCAGTTCTTCAGTCTCCCAGCAACGTAGTTACAATCAAACGATCTGTGTCATTCACTCCACACCTTGCAATTGTGTTCAGTTACTTGAAAGTTGCAAAATCAATTAGTTAAATTCTTTCCACAATGAAACATGCACTGAGTGCGTGCCCTGCCTCCGAGGCATTTATGTACACTCTCGTCATCCATCAACTATCAGTGACATTTAATAGTAACTGAAAGGTACAAGAAAGTAGGTTGGGCAGCACTGATCAAACAAGGTGGACAGAAAATACACAAATACTTGAATGAATGTGTCATTTATTACTTTTGTTTTCAGGCTTCCTTTATAAGCCCTCGATGTGCATGTAGGTGCAGAGCTATAGTATGCAGTGGGCTGAACACACTCCCAATAAAGGTTGAGAGCCTTTTGAGGTTTTGATGATTCAGAAAACGAGATTCTATAAACTAAAGTTAGTTAGCTAGTACAGTGACAAGAAACTGGATTCACAAAAGTGACTCTTAATTAGCTGTCAAATTAGCTCATACTTAAAGAACAGACTTTGGGATGGATCACAGAGGATTCTGTTACTGGTCATATAGAGACTGGATATTATGATGATCTTTCTTACCTGATTTTCATTACACTCTGAACCAAATAAAACTTTTGATTTTAATGACACAGGAAGGTTTGCAAACCAATAAGTAATTACTTAATTATAAATAACACTCTCCAAAACCGGCTGATAAATAAAAAACATAATTTTCTGTTTGACTCCATACAGACGCGGCTGTTGCAGCAGCAAGAGACTGGGTCGCCAGCAGAGCAGTTTGAAGCATTAATTTGCCTAATGAGTTAACATTTTTGTTACTAACATAGATTCAAAAGGTTCCATTTAATGTGGAAGGGCTGTTTATAGTGGTGAACCCACTGATGATCAACAATCCACTCTAAACTTAGCTTCTTTTAATTCTCCTTCTGCATGCTAGAGTCTCATAACCCTCATTAACAACACACATTATATCATACGCAGATTCAAACAATCACTAATACAGCTACTGTATAGTTCAAGGAGCACTTTTTCAGTTTTCAATTATGTTTATCAGAATTTTTACCTTTTTTGCTGCATTTATCGTATTATATAGATTATTTATTGTAAAAGAAGGTGTGTTGACTGAAGGTGGAGTTTTAAAAAAATCTAAAATCATGAATGACTTGTTTTGTCTGTGAGTGTGGTAGCTTTTATGTGTTACACATGTGGGGTGGGGGGGTCAGGAACACCTACCTGATTATTCTGAAAGGTTGAGAACCACTGGCCTATTAGATATAAATTTGTGGTTTAACAAATACATCAACATTTATTTGCACAGAATTATTATAAAATGTTCAGAATGTATTTTTTGAGTGTTAAAATCAATGATTTGAAATACAAATGTATTTAATTACAAGGATAATGCTTGAATTAACAATTGAACTGTGAGTTTGAAGGTTTTCCAACAAAACTTGAGGGGGTGGCAAAGGCTTTGTATTCACACCAACACATGCACAACTTAGACTATTATAGCTGAGTAAAATGCACAAAGTAAGGGGAGAAGGTTCAGCCGCAGCCGCTCACTACAAGGACAAAATATTTCAGTTTAAGGCAAAAATGTTCTTACACAAGCAACTGGCAATACTTTTATCCCATCCACACACAAGAAACAGTTTAGCAGTCCTCCAAAAGCTATTATTACACCTTCATCTAATCAGAAATGCTATTATTAACTGCAGTTTACAGCAGATTATGAAAGTTGACCCTCTTTTTTATCACTTTAATGAAGAGTAGCTTTAAGTGCATTACTGTCTAAACACAAAATACATGTTGACCTAGTAAACACTGAAAATAAACCTTACTGATAAAACTTCATGAATAAATGAAAAACAATAAACAATATTAAAGCTATTTAAACCATGTCAGTCATGTTCTGTCATATGTAGGGCAGTCACACCACTGATTATTTCCATGCCCTTCAAATGATCTGTTTACATGTTAGTATTGGAAACACTGTTCAAGAAGAAGGCTGTCTCTCTCTTGTTCTCGATTCCCTCCCTTAGTAATGACCGTTGAGCTGTCTGTGTATCTGTGGTTACATAAGTTTGCAGGTGTGTGTATTTAAGGGTGTGTATCAGACTCTCTTTTATGTATCTGTTGGTCACTGTGACTTATTGCATATCTTAAATATCTGTTACACTAAAATGTTTGTTGTAATTCTTATGTTAGATTTTCTTACTGCCATTACTTCAGTTTTTTTTCCACGTTGAAGTGAGATAATTATATATTCTAAAAACAAAGACAAAGGCAGTATGGATAAGTTAGTAAAATAAGTCAAAAGATCATCTGCAAATGTGTTTATATTAATGTTTACTTATACCAACATTTGTCAAATTTAACTCTCGATTTGTCATTTAACTCCCACATAAAGCAGACCTCTAGGACTGCCTTCTTTCATTTACGTAATATTAGAAAAATTAGACACATACTATCACAGACAGATGCAGAAAAACTAATCCATGCATTTGTTACTTCAAGGCTGGATTACTGCAACTCTTTATTATCAGGTTGCCCCAATAAGTCCATTAAAACGCTCCAATTAATTCAGAACGCTGCAGCACGAGTACTGACAGGAACTAGAAAAAGAGATCACATCTCTCCTGTACTAGCTACTCTGCATTGGCTCCCTATAAAATGTAGAATTGAATTTAAAATACTCCTCCTCACCTATAAAGCTCTTCATGGTCAGGCCCCTTCATATCTTAAAGAGCTCATAGTACCCTATTACCCCACTAGAACACTACGTTCTCTGAATGCTGGGCTACTTGTGGTTCCTATAGTCTCTAAAAGTAGAACAGGAGCCAGAGCCTTCAGTTACCAAGCTCCTCTCCTGTGGAACCAGCTTCCAGTTGTGGTTCGGGAGGCAGACACCCTCACCACTTTCAAGAGTAGGCTTAAGACATTCCTCTTTGATAAAGCTTATAGTTAGGGCTGGATCAGGTGAGTCCTGAACCATCCCTTAGTTATGCTGCTATAGGCCTAGACTATCGGGGGATTTCCCATGGTGCACTGAGCTACTCTCTTCCTCTCTCTTTCTGCACTCATTCATGTCCCTTTAATGCATGTTACTAACTCCACTTCTTCCCCGGAGTTCTTGTGCTTTCTCGTCTCGCAGGTTCTCATGGATCCTGGTGGAGCCTCCTGCCATGGTCCTGCTTGACTGCCATTGCCAATACTGTTGTTGCTGTGCACCTGTCTGTCTGTCTGTCGCTCTCTCTCTCTCTCTCTCTCTCTCTCTCTCTCTCTCTCTCACCCCAACTGGTCGAGACAGACGACCACCCACCTAGAGCCGGAGGATCTGTCCTAGGTTTCTGCCTTTTAACAGGCAGTTTTTCCTTGCCCTTGTCGCCAAGTGCTTGCTCATGGTGGTACTGTTGGGTCTCTGTAATTAATGTTAAAGAGTTCGGTCTAGACCTGCTCTATTTGAAAAGTGTCCTGAGATAACTTCTGTTATGAATTGGCGCTATACAAATAAAATTGAATTGAATTGAATTGAATTGATTATAATTTGTGCAAGCAGATATATTGCTAATGCAAAAGGGAATGGGGAAAGCGGGCAACTCAGTATTGTACTTGATTTTACTTGAAGGGCACTTCTATTCCGTCTTTTGTAGTTTGTCACCTGTTGATGATCTCTTTTGAAAAATACTAAATATCTACACTTTAATACGAAATGGATTACATCCAAAATGTTAAGTAACACAAACTCAAGTTAGAAATATTCTTGATTAGGCAACTTTTAATAGTTTTAAGTGACATTAACTTAGTTTTGTGAGGTAAAGAAACATTCTTGACTAAGTAGGCCTACTTTTTTTACTTAATTACTTTAAGAAGCTGCTCGGTCCACACATAAAGTTGTTCCTATGCATCTGTAACTTGTTTTGTCATGTTTGCTGGTATTAGATTGTGCGTGATTCACTTCTCTTTGAGTGGGTGACTCACTTAGTTTAAGTAACCACCAAGTTTATTGAGTAGGATTCCCTGGGTTTGCTCAAACATGAGTACAGCCCGAGGTATTCCCTCACTGACGTGCATGCATTCAGGATGTACGGCTCGCCTCGGAGTGGAGGAACAAAGTGGAAGTGCATGTTTGCATGATTGAATGAAGGGATTGGCCTTGCTACAATGGGAAGTGTGTGTTTAAAGCTGGAATTATTGTAATTATTTGGGAGAATGCTTTCACAGTGAATTTCTGTCTTGCTGTGAACAGTAGCAATCTCAAAACTGCCTATCTGTGAGATAATAAATTTTTATTGCATGCATGTACTTGTTACATAACATCCATTCAGAGGTGAATAGTTTTTATCATAGTGTGCGGTTACATCAGTTAATAATCAAGTCCATAAATTCAAGCAAATGTCAATTTTACCACATTATATTGGTATCAAATGTTAATGATTCAGTAGAGTTTGTCTTCAGAGTTTTGTTAAAACAAAAGGCCACAGGGGGTCATTTAATAAAGTCAAGCGGGTTAATCAAACTTAAGATATGAGTGTGCTCAGCAACATTTTGAGATATTGATCAGAGTTAACATTTTTGTTTTACGGTAGCGACCCATCTGGGAAGTGGTTGATGAAAAGTGTTGCAAGAAAGAAGAAATACACTGCAGTTCGGCTATAACTGATGCAGCATCCAAGACGACCTCTTTAGCAGCCACCAGTTTTGTTTCTCTATACAATAGCTGCCAGTAGTTGCTCATAAAACACTGATTGGTGCCAACAACGGTGGTTGGACAAGATGGATTCCTGCGTTATTTCATGACCTTCCAAAACTAGCTACCTCGCAAGGTTGTCCAAATTGTACACTATTCAACCTCTGCGAGAATGCTGGGTTTAGTAAATTGTGTAGATTAGTGCAGTCTGCACTGTTGTCTGCTGTCTTTTTTTATTTTACCACTGGCAGGCCTTTGCTGGATATTTTCAAATCATACACAGCCTACTGGATTTTACATTTCCTGTGAAAAAATACAAATCTCTGCCTGATTTCTATGATTTTTTTTAGCTGGTTGGGCTTCAAGAAAGTCTGTTCTGTACTCGTGCTCAACGCTGGCCTGATTGCTTGCTTCATTGTCCTCGTATGTAATATAAAAAATAAACTTAACACAACACAACTTAAAGTCGGATATCTCAATCGATTTATTTCTTAAATTAAAACAAAACCAATCTCTTACAATAAAACGAAACAACAGCCAACGTAGGCAAGTTCAAAATTGATTAATTCATTCATTCACCATTGATTCACCGTCAAGCTTCATCAGCAGCTCCCAGGCTTGGTGCAGTCACCGTGAGCTCTAAAACAAGTTGTACCTGATGTATCAAACCTGGAATGTGATCTTATTAAAAGCGCTATGCTGTTGAACCTGCAGTGAGAATCTGCCGTAACTGGAATATGTCAAAGTTTTCGGGTCACATTCTTCTCCTGTACATGTGGGCGATTAATTATAAGGTTTATAGAAAGGGATTCCCTCTCTCTTCAGATGGGTTCGCTTGAATGTGACTGAGATGTTTCCTCACTGATGCACTGTATACACATTAATTAATTAATTAATTAATCTATGGTGTGGCAGTCAAGTGTGAATGGGATTGCATGTTTAAATAGTATGTCCCACTACTGGTCAGATTGATATAAAATGTAATGTTAATGTTCACAATCTCCGGAGGATAGATCCTAATATTATTGGTTAACTTTCTTGTAGTGCCCCAATCGAACCAAAATATCCCCTTGTACACAAGAAATATGAAAATATAATCAATAAATTCAAGTAAATTTAAGGTAATTTAAGCTCCATTACTAATGAGGCTCAAAAACATCAGTCTGTCATTCAGTCCACCCAACAACCTTGTGTTTTTGTTTGAGCCATATTCTGTGGTTTCACCCCTCCCCGTATACAACCATATACATGAGTATAAAACCTGATTCATCAGCTGAATATGGGGTGTTGCGTGACGTGAAAGCAATGGCCTCTTTGATTTTAATGTTCTGTCTGCCACAGCTTAAAGATTAAAGTGAATGCAGAAGGTTAAATGACCTGTAAAGGTTTACAAGGCAGCTATCAAGCTTCTTATCTGACTGTGTTAAGTCAGAACCACAGTCCAAAGATCAAAGTCAAGGTCAGCCAGTCTCTGTGCTACAGTCTGAGGTTTTGGGGGGTGGAATAAAGCTGATGAGAGCTTGAATTTTCTGCCAACACATGGTACTTGTTCTACCTTTTTTGTTAAGCACCCACATATTTAGTGTAAGCTACACAAAAGGTTTTATTCCAGATAAGAACAGACAAGAAATAACTACCATTTAAAACATCTTCTTTTTGCTGTAATAGTATAAACTGCAAGGGCTTACTGTACCCTGTTCTTAACACCATCTTGTCAATGAGATGTCTATAAGCTCATATGGTCCTTCAGCTAAAGTGCTTCTCTTATACTGTTTCTCCATTATCAACACTTCTGTCAACAATATGTTGACTGAAGAGGTGAGTAAGAGCGGTTTTACACAATACAAAACTCAAAAAGAGAAAAGAAAAGCCCTTAAAAACTAGTATCCTTACGATGGATAGATAGATAGATACTCTTCCTACAATAGCCCGTCAGTAATATTGTACTTTCTACTCGCCTACCTTTCACAGTTTTAGTTACTGGTTGCTTTTCAGATTCTAATAATGAATACAAAATGTAATCAGTAACTAAATCCTAATAGTCATTGTATAGATTAAGCTACCCAACAGTAGCTATATAAGTTAGCCACGTACACCAGCTGCAACATTAAAGTGATGTACATATTAATGCATCAATAATTATGATCCAGTAATATGATGTTATTCTGAAATTGGGCCATTCTGCATAATGAGTACTTTTACTTTCAGTGTGTTAATTATATTCTGGTTACGGTGTAAAAGTTTCTATCTGCAAGCCAGTGAAAACATACCTATGAATATTATATTCAATTTCTGACAATAGATCCTCCTAAATGTTATACACTGGACCCAGCAGAGTCCCAGTTAGAAGCAGGTCTCCTTTAAAAGCCTGTTCTGGATTTTATAGAAATTCTTTGGATGTATAAAACCTCAGATCACCTGTTCTAATGAGATCAGCTACACACACATAAATGTTTAAACTTTTGTCAATATGGACACATTGTTAGATCAGTTAGGCTACGTTCACACTGCAAGCCTCAGTTCGGATCACTTAATATGTTAAATTTGACCCATATCACATTCCAATGTGAAGAGGTCACAGTCCCGAATCGACCCGCATGACAAATGTTAATCTAAAATGACATAAAAGTCACATACATTTGGATGTGACTGTTCACACTGAGGCCACATTGCAAAAGGATCAGACCTGAATCTGATTTGGACTACATCAGAATCAAAGAGATCTGATTCAATGTGGTTTATACTGTTCACACTCTCATTAAAAAGTATCAAATAATCCAACAAATGATTCATAATTGATGTTATTTGATACGAGGAATATTCATATAGGTTTAAATAAACAATGTGATAGTATTTCCCATCTTTGCTCAACAATACTTTTGTGCAAAAGGAAATAAAGGCCTTCTCATACAGAGTTCAGTCATTAAAGCAAATAAAAGTACAATTTTGAATGCATGACTTTCATATATGAATATAATATATAAATACAGAGTAAATATTCCACACCAGCTGACTCTCTAGAGCAAAAGTTGTCTCAGTTTTGCTATTTCCTACAGCCCTTGAAGGCAGCGTCAGTCTCACAGGGTGGGAGGGGGCGTTCACAGCACGCAGTAAAAACTCCGACACACGCCAGCTCAGTGTTACTGTCTAACACAGGGAAGGTTGCGTGCAGGTGCGGGGGTACAGGAGAGAGAGAGAACCGACAACCCGCAGAGACAACCGGGAAGATAAACCGCAGCCTGTCGGTTGATTGCGAGCCCGAGGACCGACTCCAGCCCGCCGGTGGGGATTTTCACTGTCTCCAGCTGCATTGGATGACGCTTCCATCCTGGTGTCGGACTACGTTCAGCAGCGCTACCATGCCGTCTCTGCGACACTCCTACACGGTCACAGTACCGGAGGAACCGGCCGCGTTCATCCCCTCAGACAAACCCGAGCTGCGGCGAAAGAGTCCGTCGTTGTCCCGGTCCAAGCTGGTGTCCACATTCATGGGTCTGATCATCAACCAGGCCAAGGTGAGTCCACCGCCGCTGCACCTTCTGGCTCACCTTTTCCAAAAGTATCCGGATTACTCTCTCAGTGAAGTATTTTTACTTAAGTAAAAGTGGTAATACCACAGTGTGCAAATACTCCTGCGCTCAAAATCTTTCTTAAAAGTTCCAGTAAAAGTATTTATTATGCACAATTTCAGAATGTGTATTATAGTATCAGATCATAATTATTGATTACTTAATGAGTAAATTACTTTAATGTTTAAGAGTTGAATGACTCTACTAGGTATCTTAGTCTATAATAATATATCATCATTAACTAGTTTATTTTATGTTTTGTATTAATAATTTAAATCTGCAAAGTAATTAAAGCTATCAAATACACAGTGGAGTAAAAAAAGTACAATATGTGCTTCCAAAATGTTGTCTGGTGTAGAAGTCAAATACCTCAAAATAGTACTTAGTTACTTCCCACTGCTGGCACTCACAGACTTTAAAGTTCATGTACTTGCGTGTATTAAACTGCAGAAGTATGAGCAGTTAATACATTAATATTAAACAATATGATGAGAGATTTAGATTTTTTACTGTTTTAAGAAACTGGGAAACAACTTGTTTTCCTAAATTTCTTTCAAATGTGGCTGCAAAATGATACTTCACTGGAACATATTTAAATGTTTGTGCACATTTGTCTCTTAATAAGAGAATTATTAAAAAATGGATTTTTTCACTTAACTTTTGTAACGTTCGTGCAAGTTTGGTTTTAGGCCTGCAGATCACCCATAAAGTAGATCCAAGAATGCAGATTATAACTGACTGTAATATATAATATACTACATAATAGTAAAACTATAAACAATTATTCATATCCAGTAAAAAATATCATGGTGACACTCACATAAAGTTAGAATAAACACCAGTACAGTCACTTTAAGATCATTACTATCTGAAAACCAGTTGAATGTATGTAGAATATTTTCAGATCACAGCAATCTTTAAATCACTTTCTCAACACCTTCTTCTACTTTGACCCCACGGGGAGCTTTGTGGAGGTCCAGCTCTGACCTTTTGGGCCCTTATCAGACCCTGTGTGGAGGTCCAGCACACCGCGGGCTGCCCGCATCAAAGCAACAATTACAGTGTGACGTTAGTTGCATAATAGGAAAGGGCGCTGCTGATAAGGAGTGTGTTCAGACTGTCACCTTATCAACTGCACAGAACATTGTGTTAAGCCACAGAGCGCACGCACATCTGCGTCCGTGTGGGTTTGGTGTGTTTACGGGCGCGTGGAAGAGTTAGCCAGCTGCCCCTCAAGTGTCCTTGTTCGTCCTGTGGGGGTGTTATTAGTCTCTCATGCTTGTGTTTACACTGAACATACAGTCTCTCACTGCAACTTTTCTTAATGCAACTGAAGAGGTTTTGAGGTGAGCCCTTTAAGACATGCTGGTTGGTTGGCTTGTTGGTTCACCACTTTGGTCTGGACTGAAATATCTCCACAACAATTGGATGGATTGCCATGAAACTTGGTGTAGACATTCATGGTGTTCAGAGGATTAATCCGAATGACTTTAGTGATCCTGTGACTTTTCATTGAGCGCCACCATCAGGTCAAGATTTCAAATAATGATTGTTTTTATTATTAATGAATCTACAGTTCGTTTTGGTTTTAAAAAAAAACCCAAAGTGATGTTGTCCGATTGCTTGTTTGGGCTGACCATCAGTCCTACATCCAAAGATATTCAGTTTACCATCACATAAGATGAAGAAAACCAGCAACTCCTCACACTTCAGCCAACTTCGGCATTTTTGCTTGAAAAAAAAAAAAAAGAAACGATTAATAAACTACCAAAATTGTTGCAGCTCTATAAATTTGCGTCCATCAATTTGACCAGACACCTGCAAAACTAATGGCCTTCCCATCAGCCTCAGCTGCACTTTGTGTTTACTTTTAATTAACAAAATGTTTGCATGCTAACAGATAACCATTACCTCCTAATTACATCAGTATCTGAGGTAGTATCTGAGCATGCTGACGGTAGCATTCAGCTTTCACAGAGCTGCTAGCGAGGCTGCAGACTCATACATGAGAAACTGAGAACTGGCTTTTCTAACTGTATAAACACTGGCAGTGTTTTAAAGATTACCACCATAACTTTACTCGCAGTGCACTTTAAGAAACTGCACCAAGTAGAGAAAATAACACTGACTCATTCGACTCATTTAAAGTAACCAATATTTCAACGTGACTCTGGTACTGTGGGACTTTTCCCAGCCCTGCTGTTCTCTAGCAGAGCTTTATGTTTATGCTGTTGTGAAGGGAGTGGCGTAGCTGGCAGTGTGTGTGTGTGTGTGTCTGTTGCCTCCTTCGTCACATGTTACGGCCTTGACCGGGCTTGCATAGTTGTGTTTTAGGACATTATGTTCTGCAGCTCTCTCCTCCTCTTTGAAGTCGTGCCAACCAGTTGAGAGCGTTCAGAGATTACCTGAACGCATCACTTCCTCCGTTTTTGGACGGGTCTTTTAAATCACAAGCCGCCTGCTGAGCGTGCCGAGCCCCGCTGGTCAGTGTTCACAGCAGCGCAGCAGACTGGGACTCGCACCATATGGTCACCTTCAAATGCTGCAGAGAGGAAGAGAAACACAAAGTGGGAAAGAAATCTACGAGATTTCAGCCAACCGAGCTCTCGGTGGCTTATGTTTTCACAGTTCTATTTTCGGTTGTTGGAAAAGCTTTTGGAACAACATGACGACCATCATGAGGCACTAAACCTCTCCACTGCAAGGCCTGATAAGGATAACACTTTACAACACGCTAACTTCATATTTACTTAAAATGCCTGATGTGAAGTGTAAGCAAGCTGTTATCAAAAGGCTCCAAATCACACCTCATATCTGCAACCACCGATATAAACTACAGTAGATTAACAAAGCTGACGTTCCTGCTCCGTTCACAGCCCGTGTGCGTCCGTGTTTGTGACCTCATGCAAGCTTCCGTCAGCGTGCTGCTGCCTTGATGCTGTTCTTTCCACCAGCAGCTCCTCGGCCGTCAGCAGAGGCGTCGATGCGTGGCGCTGCTGACTCGCTTTGAGTCATCATGTTACACTGTTACTATGTTCCCTCATTCAGGATGAGCTACAGGTCACGAGGCCAATAATATGCCACCTGTTAATATTCTGGATTCTGGCATGGCTATAGGAACAAAAGCTGAAAAGTATTTACAGTTATTCAGCTCGGTGTTCGAGGTTGACCTTGTTCAGGTCGGACTCTAAACCATCTGCAGGGAACAAATTTGAGGATGATATTGGTTGTTTTTGCTGTCTGGTATCTGAATATTTAATAAACAACAGGACAACAACATTAAAAACTATATGAAATGCAGCCAATTATCTTTTTAACTGTAAATTGGTTCCAGTTGCTACAGTTCTGCAGGGGGCTTAAATTCATTCATTCTATCTGAAACTGTATTTTTACTGCTTTTATGTTTTCATAAAAGCTCTTCTGGGACGGGTGTTTGCGAGTTAGCATCCTCTATAAACACTGTGATACTTGCATCAGATAGCTGTTTTCAGCCTGCCACTGGGTCCCTGCTAGACTTTTATAAAGGGCCCAAAACTCAGAGGCAAAAGACCCGAAACCCGACCCGACCATATCTGCAATTATATTTTAGCTTTATGTGTATTTTTGCAGTCATATGGAGGAAAAGGAGGTTTTCTTCTTGAACTGTTGAGCCTTGGCAAATCCCAACCTGAAACACTTGTTGTGGAAACGTCGGGTAGCAGACTCTTCTGCTGCTGTTCTACCTTTTTTCTGTGCTGTCTGTACTAAGAAATAGAATTTTTGGTTGTGACTAGATCACGTTTGACATTTTAATACTCTGCCTAATTTATAATTTACGTAACTTGATTAATCCAGACACTTTATATATTAGCTTTCTAATTATAAGATATTGGCAATTGTTGAAGCAGTCCAGGATGGGATTATTTCTGATCTGCAGGTCAAAAGATCTCTAAAGATTTCTGTTGTCCCAATAGCAAGCTTCATGACAATTAGTTCATTTTAAACTTGATTTCTGCACATATTTTCATCTGCAAGTCAAATCTGCTATCAATAAAGGCATTCTTTTATCCAAATTTCACATTTACCACTGCAAATCCATTACCTAGTCAGCCCCTTCAGCCTGAAAGCATATGACTGAGACTGCAATTTCTCAGTCAAACATACATCAGCAGCCTCGATTTAAAAGAAACCACTATCAGCAGATTTATGGTGGCTTACAGACCCCTGCATCCGTCCGCCCTGCAGATGATTAACACCACGCTGCCACTGGCACCACATATGTCAGAAACTGAACTAGCTGATCCTTGACTCGGGCAGCGATGTGAAACTCCCCACACCCGACACCACGCTGCAGATTCTCAGTAGAGCTTTTCTCTTCTGTCTGCATCACATGCTTGTTGTGATGTCACCGTGGTGTGAGCGGTGGCCGGCGGGGCTCATCAGTCTCGTCAGGTCAGGACACACTGTGGTATTTCATTCAAGCATGTGGAACAGTAGCTGATATATCCGCAGCGCACCGCGGCCACGTTGCCAACAATGTGACCATCAGCTGGTATGCATTTAATGAATGCCACGCAGTCCTTTGGGGCTTATTCACACTGGAGGTATGTCACAGGGTTGCTATCATACAGTAGTTTCATCATACTGACAGCGTGTGCAAGCTGATCTGATGGGATGTACAGAAGGCTGCACTGACAGAGGGCAACAACAATACATATCTGCTCTACGAATACTGCTCAATAAAACCACGCATTATATGAATAACAAATAACAGAGGCAGCAAATAGCAAGAACAGCTATGCAAAGAAGAATAAAATATGTGAAAGATGTCATGTGATGATTGAACATATCCCATTTAGGGCTCAGTTTTGCTCGTAAAGACCCCAACTCTAGATCACCTTGGCCCAAACATCAGCCTATATATATTGTAAGTGGACCAAAAAAGGGGCCCACAAGTGGTTACTCACGTTGACCAATCATGAGCCCAGGAAAGTCGATAACAAAAACAAACTTGTAGCCCATTTTTGGCCATGTTAATGACCCAGATGTACACATATTAGACCTATGTGAAGCCAACTGAGACATTTTCTATGATTCATTCCCATTTAGGGTTCCATGTCCATGTTTGCAATGTTGTTTTTGCAGGATTTGTGGGTATTTTTGTCAATAAAGTGGCAAAAAAATGGCTTGAGAATTGTGTTAATAGCAAACATGTATGTTACCTTTATGTGCTGTCTGTTAGTAAACTAAAATCTTTTTTCTTTCTATTTGAATAGAACAAGAGTCCTCAAGGCCTGGTGGGACTGAGGAACCTGGGCAACACGGTAAGTGTTTCTGCTTCACTTTGTGTGTCCAATGTGCAACACTTTGATCACCGACTGAGTCTGAGTCTTTTTGCTTTTGGTGATTTCCAGTGTTTCATGAACTCCATCCTACAATGTCTGAGCAACACTCCCGAGCTGAGAGACTACTGCCTGAGAAACGTCCATCGCACAGACCTCAACAACAACTGCAGGACTAACGCCGCTCTCATGGAAGGTAGGACCAGAGTCTGAGCTATTAAACCACATGTTGGCTGCATAATGAAGAACATTTGAGCCATAAAGTCACTCAACACTGACAAGGCACTACAGGTCTAAAGAGTAGGACACATATTGTTAGTTAAGTTTAACTCAGCGCTACAGGTCTGACAACTTTACATCCTGATCAGTTAAAGGCTCGCTCACACCAGGAAGAGTGGCCACACCAAAGTTATATAACTGTACTCAGATCAGATTCCTGTAATTAAACCAGTCGAATTGCAATCAGCAGCCAGCACATCGCACAAGACTGACAGGTGGAATTTGTTCTTGCACGAAATGAAAGTGATTTCTTTCACTCTGACAGGGCTTTTAGAGGGTGTGTTTGTGCAGCAAGTTCTCACAGGTTACTAAATTCAGTGTGCAGAGCCTAATAAAACATGTTTATTTCCCAAAGTTAAGTACAAAACAAATCTTTTCTGTGTCATGATTTGTATAATGTCTCTGTAATCAGTACAAAAAGCTGCCTCACCTATTTGTTTTCCGTTTTCTATTCAGTTACTGAAATTTCTCAGTCAAGGTCAGAGCTCTGCATCCTTAGCTCAGGCAAGCCAGCCTGAAAGAATGCAGATTTCTCTCAAAATGCAGAGAAATACCAGTCTGTGTCGTCATTTTCTCAATAAAACAACAAATTACAGATGTTTTTTTCATGATTACGTCTCATTTTCTGTCTTTTTTTCTCCCTTCTTTCCTCCATCTGCTCGCTCAGAGTTTGCAAAGCTGACTCAGAGCCTGTGGACTTCTGTGACCAACGAGGCCATCAGTCCCTCTGACTTCAGGAGCCAGATCCAGAGATACGCTCCGAAATTCGTGGGCTGCAAGTAAGTCTTCGCTCCTCCTGCTTGTAAGCCTCTTCACTCAATCCCTTTCAAGAAACTCATCAGGTATACTGATAAATAAAAATGAGTGTAAATGCCAGTTAAAGTAACAGTTTGTCTCTCTCTGCAGTCAGCAGGACGCCCAGGAGTTCCTTCGCTTTTTATTGGACGGTCTCCATAATGAGGTGAACAGAGTGACTGTTCGTCCGAAGGTGTCTGTCGAGGACTTTGACCACCTCTCGTAAGTCAGCAGACCTAACCTCACACCACCTCTCACCTCTGCTCCCAATAAGTCACTCATAACCTGACCCGACACCTCGCACTGCCAAAAACACTGCAGCACGCCCGATTGAACCGCAACGCTCATATGGAAAATAATCTGTGTAATTATTTATAATTAATAGGTAATTAATTAAAAATTAATTAATGAGTTATGTTGCCTTTTCGAAACATTATATTAAGAACAAAGATACCAAATATGACAAATCCCAGACCTGATTAAGCACCTTTTATAATGCCTTAAAGTGGCTTGTATCCAGAGAAAAACATGCACTTTCCATTGGATTTTAAGTTATAATACACATTTCAGTTGTCAGTAAGTGAGACTGTTTGGTTTCATTCACAGGGATGATGAAAAAGGCAAGCGGATGTGGAATATGTACTTGGAGAGGGAGGACAGCAAAGTAGTGGGTAAGAGGTTTTCTTTCACAGGCTGCATAATTACCTCAAACCATCCTTGAATTTATATTAATGTAAATCTCTTGTTTCTGCCTTTTTAGACCTGTTTGTCGGACAGCTGAAGAGCTCTGTGACCTGCACCGTCTGTGGCTTCCGCTCCACCGTGTTTGATCCATTCTGGGACCTATCGATACCTGTTGCACAGGTCAGGACGCACAGATACACTACATGCAACAGACAAGTCGTTACTTGTGTGTAATTGTCATATTCTGATCATGAACAGACAAAGATGACAGTTTGTAAAGCTGTATCATACCATAAATACAGTATAACATACTGTGCCAGGTTTCACTTCACAATTGAGCCCTCTTAAGTTCTGCCCCTTTTTGGTGTGTTCTCCAAAATAACCTAGACTTCCACCTGTAATTTACTGTATGTGATCATATTTTGACCTCATAAGAGATCCTTCAGGTAAATATCAGCTGTAAAGGGGTTTTCATGTAGCTGTTTTCTGACTGGACCTCCTCTGTGTCTCCTCAGAAGAGCTCAGGCGAAGTGACTCTCAAAGACTGCTTGAGACTCTTCACGAAAGAGGATGTGCTGGACGGAGAAGAGAGACCGGTGAGAATCCTTGAATAGCACAGCACACTGCACATTCCTTTGTAAAGATAATATTGATTATACAGCAGCAGTATCTCACTGCCTTATTTGTGTTTCTCTCTCAGACCTGCAACAGATGCAAAGCCAGAAGGAAATGCACCAAAAGATTCAGCATTCAGAAGTTCCCTCAGATCCTCGTGCTTCGTATCCTTTCCCCACATTTGTTTAATTCTTACAGCGTGTGGATGCATTTAAATGATGAGTGATAGGCCAGAAATATGTGGATGATTCAGTGTGCCAGCGGCCAGTTCGGTGACGAAGCTGTGTATGCATCATCTTTTTGAATAAATATTATGACGCACTTACTGGTAACAGCAAAGACAAGATACCTGCAGCCAGTCTCCCAGTAAATATATAACACTTAAAGCTGCATTAATCTGTATTCATTATATTAACAGTGGCTCTAATCACAGTGTATAATGTGGAAGATGTCGCTGATAGTGATGAGAAATATTCCTGCAGTTCCCCTCGGGAGCTTTTCAGTCTCTCTTAGCTCCAGCAGCAGCAGGCAGCCGTTTTCAGCCAAAAAGTTGTTTATAAACCCACTGTACTCTACCCGGCCAGCACCAGACAGACACAGTTGGCGACTATATAATGAATAAAGGAACCTTTAGCAGCTGAAGAGCCAGATGTTTCACTCAGGAGTTGGTGAATATTAGACTTACATTCACTGGGTGGCCGCAAAAACAACTCTAAATGAATTATAATGTTGATTTGTGTTTTGCTGGATGTATAAAAAGGGCAAAACTATTTATAAGATGATTTTTATCTTGTTCTGATGCCCCAAAGTGGCCACAGAAATGAACATAATGGCTACTTCCAGAGTTCAGAGTGTTGAATTGTTGTTCAGTTAAAGTAGAGGCAGCATTCAAGTGTTTAAATCTAACTACTCTACTGCTAAACTACAAACTGTTTGCAGTATGTTTTATATGTGGCATGTGTGAAGTAACTAGGAAATAAAGCAAATAGCTGCTGTGGAGTAAAAATGACTACGCACTTAATTCCCTCTGAAAAGCACTGGAAGTGCAAAAGTATCACAGAATTGCTCAGTATCGGCTCCTTGACTCAACGTCCTCTCTCAGATCTGAAGCGGTTTTCAGACTCCAATATCCGAGCCAGCAAACTCTCCACTTATGTCAACTTCCCTCTCAAAGAGCTGGACCTGCGGGAGTTCGCCTCGGAGAGCAGCGGTAAGTACGAGCCAGAGGAGAGGAGAGTTCATGCACTTTCCAAGGTCGGCTGGGTTTGATGAGTACAGAGTGCGCTGGCGTTGACTGACAGTGTTTGTCTCTCCCTGCAGAGCGCGCCGTGTACAACCTGTATGCGGTGTCCAACCACTCGGGGAACGCCTTGGGAGGCCATTACACGGCCTACTGCAGGAACCCGGCGCTGGGGGAGTGGTACAGCTACAACGACACCAGGTATAATCCCATTACCTCACACAACGTGTTATCAGAAAGCTGTGCACCTCATGCTGCCTGTACAAAGGTGTGTCAGCTGATTGGGTGTATGTGTAAGTGCCTGTGTTTGGGAGTGACTGCTGTGTACTGTAGTTTCTGTGCCCATATTTAATTAAAGTAATATGCAAATAGGGGCAAATTGCTACTGCAAGCACATGTTCTGATAGAAACAATCCTCCAGTATAATAACCACAGTGTGCTCTGTGTGTTGTGTGCAGGGTGAGCCCGGTGTCCTCCAGCCAGGTTCGCAGCAGCAACGCCTACGTCCTCTTCTATGAACTCGCCCCCTACCCACACAGCAAATATCAGACGTGCCGGCTTTAGACGCTGCGGAGGAGTGATAAGCTGCACTAAACTAGGGGCCTAAACATGGAGTCAGAAGACACTGCCTGCTGTGAGACAGCTCCATCTAGTGGAGAGAGTACTGCCATTACATTACAGACTGTGAATGTGGAGCACAAAGACATGTTGCAGAGAGAGAGAGAGAGAGAGAGAACGCCCTCTGACCTTCCTCTTGGCGTGTTTTTGAGGGAGAAGGGTGGATGTGGAAGCACATTTGCACTTCGGGATTTCAAGCTGAGCTCAGATGTTGGGTGGAAACTGAAGTGACGCTGAGAAGATAAGACCTCCGTTGTCAAAAAGTGCAGAGATTCAGCTCAAGGCACAGCTGCAAGTCAAATTTAGAATGCAGAGTATAAGAAAACTCTTTAAAAAAAAAGACATTTTACAGCTGTGTCTGGACTTGACTCTATACCCACTCGAGTGGATTTGTCTCCTTTTTTTTTTGCACTTTGAACATGGACTATTAACCTTAAGGACATTATTATTATTATTATTATTATTATTATTATTATTATTACGTGAGGACATTACAGAGATTTGACTTCACACACTGCAAGATATAATTTATTCTATTTAACATAATGCCAGTAACTGAAAGTGCATACTGTAAATGTCATTTAACAAAGCCTTATGGTTTCCTCTTAGAACAGTGGAAATCCACTAATGTAGCGAGGAAGTTTTGTGTCGAAGCACATTTTATTTTTGTACAGTATTTATGGACAGCGCAGTGAATGTAACTGTACTGTGGGAAAGCCAGACAAACCAAAGCAAGCTGTGTAAAATTGCATCAACAATACTTCTTCCAGCAATAATGTTGCTGACTTTGCATCCAAGTCAGTTCCCAGTCTATGAATGATTAAAATTCAATGTTAACTTGAACTGCCTCCTGTTTGTTTTTTATTTAACCCTCATTTATCCGGCCAGAAAAATGGAAGTTGAGGAATGATTCATGAGTGTAAGAGTAGTGTATTGTAGGTTGTATACAGATGGGTGACAAAAATGTAAAGGAAAAACCTCAATAAACAGACATGGAAACACTTGGAAATTGATTTAAAATGAGCAAATATCCTGGAAATAATCGATGTTGTCCTGGAAAGTTTTAATTGTTTTTTAGACCCTCAGACTCAATCACTGGAGACGCTGCAGAAAAACGTGTCAATACTAGGTCTTCCTGTAATTTATATGACTGTTTGTGAGCAAGCACTGTGCTGTATTATCAAGATAACTCCTGGAAAATGTGAGTGTGACCCCTGATGAATGTGTGGAGAAACATACCGAGATGATGCGGATGCTTCCACGCACGGTACGGTACAATTAAGAGATTAACATCTGATCATGCTCCGTGACATGTGAGCATCCCCAGCTGATTCTGATTTCATTGGAGGAAGATTATAATAGGATTGCAGTGCATAAACTCCTCATTTAAAGATGATGCACATCTGACAGTTCAGTGGTGTAAAACAGGCTCTGGTCTACAGAGATGTGGAGAAACAGTCAGATGACTCATCTTTCGCCATATTCTCAGAAGGCTTCACCCCATACTGCCCTACAAAGGCAAACTGCGGTAACTACAAGTTTGGTCAAAATTGAACTCAGAGTGAAATTGAACATTTAAATTCTAAGTTCAGTTCAGTTTTGCTCCGTCTTATAGAGGAAACACAATGTAAGAATTGCAGTAAATATGATGGAAATCTTCATGTTCTCTGCTGGGAACTCTTACTGACTTCATATTCTTTCTCAATACTTTATTCAATTTAAACATTTTACTCATGAAACAATAAGAAATACAGATTTAATGTGATAAAACATCAAACACTCAGACACTGTAGTTAGTGCACTCTGCACATCTGCATTTTTGGAGTCAGAGGTCAAATAATTGGTCATGATTTTTAAGCCATGAAAATTACTTAGGGAATAGAATAATTAATAAGGCCATAACTGCTGGTCCACCTTAAACGACTTTGACTGGACAGTCAGAAAACTTGGTGTAGTTACTGCAGTTAGCCTCTGGAGGGCAGTACAGCGAGTGGATCCTCAAACAGTTAAGAGATTCTTGAGCAGCTTTTACTAGTAATTTCAAGTGACAGTAATTTAGTTTTGTTTCAGAAACATTCAAGTACTTTGTTGTTTTCACAGTACAAATAAAAAATACATTAAGTCAGTGTCACTTCATATTACTGAAAGCTAAAAAGATCAAGAATGTTTTTTCAACTTACCAAATTGAGTTAGTTGTACTTAAAATGTTCAAGTGTTTCAACAGTGTTTTGCTTATTAACTGATTTGGTTTTACAGTGTAATAACAAAGGATCTAAGTGGAATTTTAGTGAAATAAAAGTCAGCATCAGCAAACTCTTGTCTATTTTACCTACATAAATCAGTATTCAGTATTTATTCAGTTTTGTTCCACTCCATATTTTTCCTGTGATGAAACATTTCTCTCCTGACGGGGGTCGAGTTTCCTCCAGGACGACAGTGCACCCGTCCCCGCAGGGCACGAGGGCTCAGCGAGTGGTTTGATGCTTCTATTAAACACCTGTGGGAGACTTTGTGCCAAATGAGGGAAGATCTTTTGGAAGAATAGTAAGGCCCAGCACCTTACTAGGACACTTTATGTTGTTTTTTTCCTTTGAACAGAAATCCACACACAATAAATGACTCACGAGCCACAGATCATTGCTAAACCAAATAAAGCAACAATAATGGATTTTGATTTTTGTCGGTCCAGGTGCAGCAGACAAACTGAAAACACAACATTTGACATATTAAAGCTAAATGGTTGCCGATTTATAAAACCAGCAGACGCAGAGCAAAAAAATATTTAATGAAAGTTGTGTTTCTGGCCACAAGGTGGACTTTATATCTATTTTCTCTCTTCTTTTAGCTCTTTTTGGTCTCAAACAGCTCCTGAGGGAAATATCCAGCTCTTTAGCAGCTAAACACAGCTGTTAGTGGTAGTGTACAGTGTGTTAGAGCTTTTTAGCTATAAAAGCTGCCTGCTGTAGCTGGAGATGAGGTTGATTGACAGCGCAGGATGTAAACATTAATGGCGTCCTCCTTGGCTGAGCTGTAACGTTAGATAGCTGTGACACATTTGGTGGGTGTAGTGTGGAAGAAAGAAACTAGTTCCTCTATCTACAGGCTTGCATGCTAGTCTCTGCCATCAATGTATGAATGTGTGTGAATGGGTGAATATGACTCGTAAGTAAAGCGTTTTGAGAGCTCCGAAGACTAGAAAGACGTCACATGAGTGCAGCCCATTTACCATGAAACTGCTCACAACGAAGTCTGTGGATTATCTTGAGTATCTGGGTCGTGATTTCTTAAGAGACGTTGCTGTTGCCATCTGGTTCCATTATACGATCTCTACGGCCGATGTCTCAACAACTCACACCAAAACACTGCAGATAGATTAAAAGCCCTACAGGTGAAAGGAAAAATATCTGTTTTTGATTTTGGGATGAACTGGTCCTTTAAGTCAGTGGTTCCTAAACTTTTTTATTTTCTATCACTGAGTTAAGTGACGACCACTGACTGACATATTTTATGTTTATTTCATATTATTTTCAAAACTGTACAATGAACCCAAACAGTGAACTCAGTAACTGCATGAAGTTTATGTAAAATGAGATTTGGAGGAATTTTGAGCAGATTATTTCCACTTTTTTTTACAGTCTGTCTGCATTTTATGCTTTATGTTTTAATTTAAAGTGCTTATAAGGCTTAATAAGGTATTTAAATCCTAATGTAGTCGTAAGTTGTGCAACCTGATATTGGATAGTGTAATTACAGAGTTATGTAATCAGGATACCAAAAACAAGGTTTAATCCATTACAAAAAAAAAAAATTATATTTGGTAAAAAAAAATTGGGATTAATAACAGGATTAAAGTTTAAAATAGGTCAGTTTTTCTTCAAATACATAGCTTTGATGCTAAAAATCTTACATTACACATACAACAACAATTACATTGTTCTATAAAACACATTATATTTATTTCTCTTGTTTTTATTTACATATTTGGTGTTAAGGTAATCCACAACTACTTCAAAGTAATCAAGTTTAATTTTGTGATGCTTTATATATATATATATATATATATATATATATATATATATATTTAAAGTAACCCTAATAATATTGGCTCCTATGTGACAGGTTATTTGTGCAGTGTTACCAATACATTGGAAGCTTAAAATGTGTAATTTCCCTCCTCTGCGTTACATAACAGGCAGAGGTCAGCGAGTGTGCAGTGCCTGCTGTGAACTTCCAGCCTAAATGAGCAGATTATGGTGAGATTGGATTTGTCAGAAACACCTTTGACCCAGATAAAAACAAAGCCATCTGACAGAGGTGCTTGTTTCACACTCCGTCCACCAGAGGGAGCCGTGTGCAGTGGGGATGAGTTTTTATTATACCAGTGGTTCCCAACCTTTTTTCTTAAGGTATTCCTTAAATTTGTGTAAAAATGAGGGATTTGGATGAATTTTGAGCAGATTATTTCCTGTTTATGGAACTTTTTATCCAACTCTCTGTCAGTATTTTGTATTTTTGTATAATTCTTAACAATCTTACAGGCCTAATAGGCTTATTTTTCAACAAATTCAGTGTTTTCTTGTCCCTGGTGCTTGGCCATTGAGCTATTAGATAACTTATTTAACAATTTACTTTACTTTACATTTACATTTCTTCACAGAAGTTAACCAAATGCTGAGATATATCAGAATCAGAATCAGAATCAGAAATACTTTAATAATCCCAGGGGGAAATTACTGTGTGACTTTTCTCACATGCCTAAAAATCCAGATTAATTTTTGGCGACCCCTACTGGGGGCCCCGACCCCTATAGTTTAGGAACCACTGTATTAGACCAATGCTGCCATTTGTAAAAGCTATCAAAAGCTGCTATTTTAGAGTTGATACCTCGACATGAATCCCTTGGATTGTCAGACAAACTGACTCTCAGATACATATTCTGTTTAGCAGGAAGAATGATTTTCAGAAAGATGAATCAGTCAGAAAATGTTCACACCGGCTCCATAAATCATCAGACCAACACATCAGTAAACTCGTATCCTTGAGCCACTGAGCTTGTTAACGCCGGAGGGAAAAGAAATGTGTGTGTGTGTGTGTGTGTGTGTGTGTGTGTGTGTGTGTGTGTGTGTGTGTGTGTGTGTGTGATTAGGTTTCTGAGGCTCAGACAGACGATCTGTTTGCGAGGAGGCCAATTTGTGTGGAGAAAAGATAAAGTTATCGGAACAGCGCCGAGTGTTGTTGCAGCTGTAACACTAACTGTGACTCTCCCACAACACGGGATAGTTTAGATACACACAGCCAGTGGCATCAGTTCCATGTTAGCACTGGCAGACGAGGGTTGTGGATACATATTTATCAACTTATTATAAGTCAGACATGACAATAAAAATGCAGTTTGATTGGTTTATTGATTTATTGTGGAATTGTTATACCGAGACTGAGATTCCTATATATCACATATCTCATAATAATCTCTGTTTCTATGTTTTCCATGTGCATATAACAAGAAATGAATGTACTTTATCATATCTTACTGATAGGAAATGACCAGACATGTGCTAACAGCAACACTCAGAAATGTGTTTTGCATATTTTAACATTATAAAGCTGTTTTAAATTAATTTGATCAGGAGGGAAATTTTTTCTTAAACAAGTTTAAAGCAGCATTATGTAAGAATTTGCTTTTTTTTGCAATTCGGCACCCCAGGTTTCAGAGCACTTCGCTCCCAGTTCGGTTAACTGAGACTATTACTATCTAATAGCAGCTAGTTATTAGCAACAGGCTGAGCAGCATATGAAAAACATTATTATCAAAAAAAATTAGAGGAGGTCCTTATTAGTCAAACTAAAGAGCAAATAAATACTGTGTGAAATCTATTTCAATAACATTTTTATTTCATTTTCATCCTTGCAGATACCCCAAGGACATTCCCTTCCCCCAACATGAATGTGCACACTCATGCACACACACACACACACACATGCACACGCACAGGGACGCTCTGGCTCCCATGCACACCATATGGGATGATCACATGGCTCAAGGTATTAGCAGTAATTTGCCTGCATGGGAGCAGTGTTATTTTCAGTTGCTCTCCATGTTGACACTTCCACAGCTAATGACCAGTAGGCCCACAATAAAACAGTGAAGGGCTAAAGTCCACTTTAAAGTGCATTTGTGACATAACAGGAGTTTGGTCAAATGAATGGATTGCCACTAAAATCTTTGTCTTTAGTAGACATTACAGGCATTATGTGCCAGCCATCATGATTTCCATGATGTGGACAACAGCTACTTTCTTGTCTTCACAACGACTCCGCCCCCTTTTTGGGTGAAACTAGTGCTGTAAAAGTGCCTCACTTGTGCACATCAAATGATTTAAAAAAAAGCCAGTTTAGGATTTTATTTACTTTCCTAATCATCGAAGGACAGTAAAAGAAAAGATCTGTGGCTTTAGGTGATCCACAGAGAGGATAGAAATGGTTAACTGAGGGACAAAGACAGTCAATATGTGTTTATCTGTGGCAAACACTTCATCACTGGTTAGTTAATGATGTTATTGAGTAAATGACGTGTGTGCCGATTCTGTCTTTAGATTGAAGAGAATCAGAAAAGAGTCTCACTGATGGTGGAAATAAAGTTTTTACTGTGAAAAAATACGATTCTACCTTAAAACAGCTGCTTTTTGAATGGAGTTTGGTCTGAGGGTGTGGCGCAGAGGGTCTTTTAACCTTATTAATTTACATAAACTGAGCTGACTTACCTTCTAATAATGAACCTTATAAACAGCAAAAGGAAAAGCAAGAAGTGGAGATAAAACTGGAAAAGACCTCGAAATTTATATTTGCCGCCAGTCAAATAAGACACACACTCAAACAGGGGCGTGGCCAAAGTACTGAGATGGGCTGCTCTCATCTATGTCAGTTGGGAGTTTGGCAGAAAAATCAGTCAGCATTAATTAGCTGATGGCCTCTTACACCATGAGGGGTGTGAGCAGTGGGCTGACTTCACTTCACTGTTGTCATGGTTCGTTATTGTAGTGACTAACGTTATGGATTTGGCCTTTTTGATAACTGGCCTTCTTTCTGTGGTTGCTGGAACCGGCATTTTATCTAAGGTTGAAGGTGTTTACGTCAATTTTGACATTAGACTTAACGCTCAGCGGGTCGAGGCTGTTAAGAGAGCCTGTTAGGTTTGTTAGTGCAGATTTAGTCCACTATCTTACATGTCCAGTCAGGGAAATCTTCACAGTGCAGACTGATAGCCCCGTCTACATCACTGAGACTGTTTTTTGTCTACAAATCCTTACTGATGACCAGTTTCATTCTTCTCTAAAATATTTGTTTTCCTTACCTTAAATGATGTTTCCCCACCTGATTATTCCCCTACATTTAAGTTGCTACTTCTACTAAACACAGTGGGGATGCTGCCTCTATAAGTCTATTTTCAATTTAACCTCCAAAACTTGGTTTAACTAATTTGAGGTCTTGTGTTAAAACCATCTCCACCAATTTTTAGATGATTTTTGGAAAATGTTTTAAGTGAAGTGTCTCTACCACTTCAGTTTGTTTAATAACCGGGTTAACACCCTTTCTTATTCAATTTGAAGCAAGTACAGTCTAGTGTCTATAGTCTATAGTATCGGTGCTTCTACGGATCATACTCCTAGACTGACTGGAAATCCAATTTGGCTTATCTGGCATGGTTAAAGTCTTACTTATCTGAAAGAACACAACATGTTTCCTATAATAACAATACAAACTATTCTGATGTAAAATATGGAGTACCTCAGGGCTCTATGCTTAGCCCACTGTTTTTCTCCTTAAACTATACACAGCCAGATCCAACTCCTGCTCATAAATTCTGATAAATTCTGATGCCCTGTTTGACATGGAAACAAGTTTAATCAAGTATAACTCCCGACACTTGTTCTTTAACGGCATTGTAAAGAAATCGCCATCACTGCAGCACAGCTAACATTTGGTCTTTTCTGTGCATTGCTCATGCAGAGACTTTAATCAATGCCTTAGTTTCACCCACATTATTATATTCTAAGTCTTCAAATAGTTCAGAAAGCTGCAGCTATAATCTTAACTAAAACTTGATCACATTATACCAATCTTAGCTTCCCTTCATTGGCTCCCTATCCATCAGATCAGACTTTAAAGTGCTTCTAAAGACTTCTAAAGTGCTCCATATCTGTCAGATCTGTATGTGTGTTTCCTTTCTCCTATCTGTGTGAACGGTGTGCTTGAGCTTTGCCTCTTGTGTGTTTGTTTAGTCTGTCCTCTTTCCAGTCTCCATGGCGGAGAGGAGATCATGTGGCTCAGTTCTTATCTTTCTGGCGACACCTGACATCTTCCCGGATCTATGTTCTTCATGTATGTTCACAGGAAGACAAATTTTGTCTTCCTGATTGTCCATACTGTACTGCCGTCCAGGTTGTGATTGGGCTATAAATAAAATTATGAATGACCTACAATTATCACAAACTAGCAGTGAATCAATGTCACTTGTGTTTTGTAACAGCATGTTACACCCAGAACTCTGATAAAGGGATCCTTTATAAGGTTACAAGTTATATTATACCTTTACTCGTTTATATATTATGTCACAAATTATATTGCACCATACTCTAAGAAATGTATTACAACAAATAACAAGCCTTTGCTCATTTAAAGGTCTACTGGAAGAAATGGAACATAATATCTATCTCTATTAGAAACTATTGTTATGATTTGGCACTATACAATATACAATATACAATTGTAATTGCAATTCACAACTTTGCGTCTAGATGCCACTGAATCCTACACTTACTGGTCCTTTAATTCACCACCCAATATTATAGGTAGCTACTACAACTGTTTCCAGCCTTTTGTGGCTGGGGTGCAGCATTGACTTATGCAGGGGTGGCATGCAGCTTTCTAGTCCTTTCCAACGTATGCAATTCCAATAATGTTAATGGACCACAGTCTGCAGAAATATTCAAATACACTAGACAAAAATAACCTTTGAAAATGGCCATGCCTGTTTTTCCATCACCAACATTTAGCCTAACTCTGGAGCATTATTTAGCCTTCTTCCCTAGATGCTAGCATGAAATGGTTCAATGGATGCGTTAGGTCATCTAGTTTCATATGATACCAGTATCTTCGGAGCCCACTACAGCCTCTGAAAGACGAAGTGGATGAGGTAAGGATAATAGGGTGTCACCTTGGGTGGGCAATCAGATTTCAATCAAGCCCTCACATCAAATACAATGGGAACCAGTGCACAGAAAGTTGTGATGCGTTTATGGTGAAACAGCTTAACTTAATCACTGATAACATTTGCTAACAACACATTCTGGTCCTGAGACTGACAGTTTATCAGTGGGACTGCTGCAATCAATTCCTTATTATAATTAACGGTATCATATTATGCTGATTATTCGAAATCATTTGGACCTTTCAGTGCATTTGATCAATGACAAGCAGAGGAAGTCAGTCCAGTTGCTGTTTTTGGCTGAGGCCTTAAGCACTACTGTGGGAATAAACAGGTAGAAAGCAATCAGGGTTTAGTCATTATCATCTAATTTTTTCTGCAGCCATTATACCTTGCAAGGAGCTTTATTACACACAGTAGCATAGAGACGTTGCACTGTAAAAAAAGAAAACTCGTAGCTTCAAGCCAGCAGGATTCACAATTTTTTAAGTCAAACTTGAACGTTTTTTCCAACCTATAATCTCTTGTGGAGGTAATTGACTTTTCTTCTATTGCAAAACTTAAATCTATGAGTTTTGGAAACAAAACAAAAAATCTGTATTTCAAAAATGGTCGAGTGGAGCTACTCTTTATTAGTCGTGTTTCACTTTAATGAGTTTTCTGAATTTTCTGAAATACAAACTTAAAGATTCAGGTTTTTCTACAGAAGAAAAGGAAAATTATCATTAATTATCATTAGTTTAATTTAAAACTTTTTAGTTTAAGGAGTTTTCTCAGCTCTTTAATTTTCACTGTGTGATGTGGTGTTACATCATTGAATTTAAGTAAACTGAGCTGAGACCAGTTTGTGTAAAATTAGATGAAAAAGTTTCTTCATCACCACTAATTTAAAACTGTTATCATGTTTCTTTTCTTCTTTACTTACGTACATATTATACTGTAACCTTATTATACACTCATAAAGTGAACAAACAACTCAGATTCACAGGAAGTAGTTACATAATCGACACCTGGACTTTACCCTGACGAGCTTGGGCTATAATTTACAGAGATATAATAGCATGGCACACAAGTCATTTAAGAGAAAAGATGGGGAAATAGTTATTTATTAAATGTACATTGAATGATTTCAAAGCCTTTTTATCTTCCAACTTCACACACACACACACACACACACACACACACACACACATACACACACACACACACACTCATCGACTGCTGTAAAAAAAAATTACTTATTACAAAATCTAGCTAATTATCGTTAAACTAAAACCACCCTACATGTTGAAATAGTTATCAGAGGTGAAGGATTTTTTTTTTTTTAAACCAACCTCCTGATAATTACACCCAACCCAATAACAGAAAAAAACCCCACAAATATATTATAAAATATGCAACAAAAAGTGTTTTGATCAACTAAAGATTATTTCCTGACCTACAGCCAGATAATTAAAATAGCAAAATGTACTTTTCTGTCTTCCTCTTGGCCCATGACATCGTCATCACATCATGAACATTTAATTTTCCTTCATTTTTTTTACACGTATTCTGATATGAGCCTTTCAGACAGTACAGTAGGATTTTTCATTGTCCAGTTAACAGGGTCAGGATTTGATTGTTTGCCTTTAGGATGGCAATTGTTTGTGCTCACACTCTATCACCATTTATACCCTCGCTGGGAAATAATTGGTCTCAGATCTTTCCAGTGTACTTCAGGGCGCCAAAGATACCGCCACCTGAAAAAAAGATAGATGCTTTTTTAATGTTCATCATCTTAAACAGGAGTATGAAGCAGTTACTGTTTGGACATTTCTTTAACAAAGCAGCATTTTTGAGACAAATATGTCCATCAATGCCACAATGTTTACAGTTAAAATGGTGTGGCTGCAACCACAGGGTTGTAATAGTTCTTTTGGCTATTAAAAGTAAAACCCTGAATAAGTATATTTTGCTTTTTTCCTTTTGTTTTTCCTAAGGTAAATAACTTTGGGTCGAAGATTAGTTTTGTATGGAAGATTAATTCTATTTCCTTTTTAACATCCTCCCAGTGTGCAGGGATACTGGAAGGATACATACTCAAACTATGTTCTGAATGAGTATAAAACACTTTATTGGGAATTAGCCATCACTTATGAATCAAAATTTTTTATTTTTTTGTCCTTTTGTGTCTTTTGTCGACTTTTCCTTTAAACGCTATTTGGACAGCTGATTTATATGGATGCCCATCATTGCCAGAAAAAAAAAGAAAATATTTAGTTTTTCTAAGTCAAAATTAGATAATGATGATAATAGAGATAGTAAGTCGTTTTTTGTTTTTTGTTCTTTTTTTTGCAGAAGATTATAAGATATAGAAGGAAGTCAAAATTTGGACTTACTGTCACAACATTATGATTTAGTATCTTATGACTTCGTAAGTCAAACCTTTTTACTTATTTTTTAATCATAATAATTCTGACAAATTTATAGCATGTCTTCCTTTTTTTCTTTTTTGGGCAAGAATAGGCCTTCACGGCAGCAAACAGTAACAGTAAGTTACCGTAAAACTTCTAATAAAAGTAGCGTCCCAATTAAAAGCAGGTCTCCTGTACTAGCCTGGTGTGGATAATTTAATCCTTCAGTTTATTTTACAGAAACCAAAAGCACCAAAGTGAAAAATTAATGACTCATAAGTGATATGTTATTCTACATTTTTATACAAGTAACAAATTAAAGGTCGGTCCTATACAGGGGCGTGTTATAAAAGATCAAATCTCGGGCTATTTATTTTAGTTTTATGGTTTATTAATCTCAGTTCCTACGCATACGTTATTGCAAAAGCAGAAATGAGGTAGGATTGTGCTTGTATACTCACCAACAGCAGCCACCCCAGCGATGGAGCCGATGGTAATACCGGCTATAGCCCCAGATGAGAGCCCAGACGAACCTCCCCCCACGGGCTCAGTGGTAGCAGGTGCATTTGTAGTGGTGGTGGCAGTGGTGGTTGTTGTGCCTGTTGTGGTAGGTGCAGGTGTAGAACCGGTGGGTGGTGCAGGTGTAGAACCGGTGGGTGGTGCAGCTGTAGTACTGATGGCTGGTGCAGCTGTAGAACCGGTGGGTGGTGCAGCTGTAGTACTGGTGGCTGGTGCAGGTGTGGGAGTGGTTGGTAGCCCAGCAGTGGTTTGTGTGCTGGTTGGACACAGGACTACTGTGTCAGAAAAAGCAAAAAGACAGAAAAGGGTTGAAGGAGAAACATTAAAATGTTCCCTATAAAGTATGATAACACTTTAAAAATGTATATTAAATTTATAATCTATATTTCACAAATGCAGGAAGGAAATATGCATAATTACTGACTTCCTCCCAACTTTTATTTGATAAAATTTTACCAGGTCATTTTATTTATATATTTGCTGTGATATCAGTGTCGTTGTTATCATAATCATCAGTAATAATGGAGCAATTTAATTATTGAGACTAGTCAAGATAGTAGTACTCTATGTATTGGTAAGAATGTTATATATTAATAAAGAAGCAGCCTGTAATCACCAGAAAAACAGCCATATAGCTTGTTTGTGGAAGCAGCTTATTACAATCCATATTTACATTTATTGCCAGGTAGTGGCCGTAGTAATTTTGACGGGAGCAAAGGAGGTCAGGGTGCATGGCTGATTAGACTTACACGGGTACGTTAAAATAAGTCATTATGTACTTAACGTCAAGTACGTAACGTAAATTAAAGCTGCAGTAGATAACTTTTATAAAAATAACTTTTTGTCACATTTGCTGAAACTTTCACTAAATCCTGACAGTAGAACATCAGGTTCCTCTGGCTCGTCCTAGTGCCCTTAATTTCATTTGCAAGGATCCATCAGGGCCTGAACAAAAAAACCAATCAGACCCAAGAAAGACTGTTCAGTCTCATTCCCATGTCGTCAAATACCAACTCTGGGAAAAAGACTCAATAATCAACTTTCTTCAAGCCTCCAACCCAAAGCATCTTTATATCTTTCTCAGCTCTGATTGGTTGTTTATGTTCGGGCTCGGTGGATTCATGCAGATGCCATTCGGGGCACTAGGAGGAGCCAGAGGATCCTGATTTTCTTCACGGGTTATCTGTCAGGATATAGTAAAAGATTCAGCACATACAACAAAAATGTGTTTTTATAAAGGTTACTTAGTGCAGCTTTGAGCTGTGTAACAAACACACTTATTTTAACCAAAACCTTTTTTTCTAAACTTCACCAAGTAGTAGTTGCTTCTACTCTCACAACAGTTGTTTCAGGAATTATTGGCAATCGATCGATTCAGTTGTTTAGGTATGAGGACATGTTCTAATGAGGGCAATATCAAAGATAATAAACTTAATCTTTGACCCAACAGCTCCATTGAAAAAGGTCAACACTGACTATGACTAACTTTTTAAACAAACACTATCAAGATTTATGACTTTGAAGCTATGACGTCAATTAATCAACCTTCACCATGGATTAGATTTCTCTAAAAATTGCCACCATTTCATACTCAAAATAGAAAATACTTTGTCATAACAAACTGTAGGAATTAAAGCAAAGGTGAAGGTGCACAAGTACAATTTTCCAACCTGCGCATTTTCCAATTCCTCCTCACAGTTTATTGCACAGCACATATTTTCACTTTAGGATCTCGTGTTGATTTTTTATAATATTTGAAGGCAGCAGTAAGAAATGACTAAACACTATATTGTCACTATCAAAACTCTGCTGATGTCTTGTGACAGTTTTATATTTAAAGAGTGCAGTAATCTTACTTGTGCTCCCATAAACCCACAGTCAGAGGAGGCACCTTTCTAAAAAAAAGAAATGTCCTTTTTCTCTAAGGGACTCCTCTTCTATCACTGAGTAAACTAAGTTACATATTGTATGGGTAATTGATATTATATTCAATGCAGTACAGCAACAAAAGTAGAGAGCAACCGATAAACTGAACAATTAATTCAAATAGTAAACACAATAACTGCAGGATGTTTGTGTAAAATTTGCAATTTGGATTCATTTTGAGCCGATTCCTTTGAATATTGCATCAGAGAGTTTGTTTTAGGGGCTTTTTTTTTATACAATCCTTTATGTTTTCAGTCATACAGACTTAATGGTTAACGCTTGGCCATTATGTTTAGGTCTTCAAAGTTAAGATCTTAAATAATAAAGTTTTATTCACAGAAATGAAAAAAATGCTGAGATATAAGCCAACTGTGATCCCGAATTCCAGGTTGGGAACAACTGTTGTAAGTAAGGCTGTATAAATCACTTATGAGGGTTTGACTTGCTGGACCACATGTCTTCTATATATCATGGCCAAAATCACGTATTAACACTTACAAAATGCAGGTTTAATGATTAAAATTAGATCGCCAGCATTTATTACTAAGCATTTTATTTATTTACCACAAATATCCAATACATTTGTAAAAGAAACTGGTAAATCTGTATAGTGAATAGGGATTATATTTTTACCTGCGCCAATAATGCAAAGAGCCAGAACAGAATGATTAATTTGCATTGTCCCGGGAGGAAGTGTCAGTGCCACGAAAACGGGGTTAAGAGTGTCTTGAAAGATGCTCTTTAGATCGTGAGCTTTGCTGCTGGAAGAAAAAAAAAAGCACAAACATACAGTCAATTTTTACGCAAGCACACATGTAATATAGCCTATTCCTAGACGCAAGACCTTATCTCACTTTCCTGGTCACAAACAGGAAATGTGTTCTTAGTTGCAAATCTCATTTATTATACCCACTCCTACGCTGTCACGCCAGAATGAAACAAATTTAGTAGCAAGTAAAATCCACCTAAACTCACTTTATCCACCTTTTTACATGCTGAATTAAGTTTTCAAGCCCATTTGTGGCGTACCCGAGTTTATAATTTATAGTAAAAGTACAGTACATCAGAGTAATAGTATCAAGATAACATAATTTATATGTGGAAACAACCTTTTAAGAAAAAAATGAATGGTACATTTAAATAAAATGCCAATTCCGTTCACATAAGTTGCTATTTAAAGATCTTCCTGACAAATAAAAGAAACCAAACAAACAAAACTGGTACAACAACACTTGTGTTTTCTAACATAAATTAGAGAAAAAGAACTCCAGGTTTTCTCGAACAGATCTAAAAACTTCATGAAGAAAGCTGCGTTACTCACCTGTGAGGCTGTCAATAATGACTTTCTTCTTTTCCCGTTTCCAGAAAATATCCTCAGACACCTCCTTTTATGACCCCTTTATCACACACCCCATCATCTCTAGCCCTCCCATCTTTATGGGTATCTGTGTCCGTGGGTGTGGGTGGGTGTGTGTGCGCGCGTGTGTGTGTGTGTGTGTGTGTGTGTGTTGACGCTGTAATACATCACCACAGGTCAGCCAGGACAATTCATGTATTGATTTAATGTGTTTATTAATGCTTACAGCAGGGCTATATTTGGTTTTTATGGCTCATTCACTGCTGCACATCCAGTAGAACATTGGTCAGTACATATATCATCTCCTACAATGCATACAAGCAAGTGGAGATGGGAGTGTGGGTGGACAAAGCAGCCTGATGTGACATGTGAAGGATTTGGCTCCTCAACATCAGAATCAATATCTATCTTATAGGAAACCCAGAGCTAATCCTGACATCCAAAACTGATGTTTTTGTCAACATTGGTCAAAAGTAGCCTCTTGTGACGGTATAAAGTCAGAGACTTTTTGGTCTCATGATATTGCTGATGATATTGTTGTTGATATCTAAATCCCTTAAGAATAAAAAGCTTGAGATTGTGCATCTTGTGTCCTATCAGCAGTCGACACTGGTTTCATTCTACAATCTTCTCCTTAACCAAACCTTCCCTGTCCTGATGGGAAACTAACTATAACTAGGATTTGGCTACTCCACTTTTTCAACTTCTTTTAACAGGAAGAGAAATAATGAAATACCTATGGAAAGGTCTGTCAAATCTTCATGTATCTTGGTGGAAGCAAATCCTGAGCTAACCCTAACATCCAGTACATGAAATGGGCCGGTACTCTCCAGTACTGAGTGTCCTTACTTCTTATTGAGTACAGCCACCTCTGGTGAGCACCGAGGTCCAGACCTTGGTATGTTTTCTGATTTGTAGATAATAAATGTTGTGAAATAACTGCTTAAAAATAACTAGTTTGAAACTGTGATGCCCCAAAGCACCTAAGCAAGTTCAGTTTTTTAACCTCTGTATCTCTACAATGCTGTTGAGGTGTGCTGAATTAAGGTACTGGCACCTATTTTGGTTCTGCCTCACAAGAAAAATTTGAAAATCCCAGAGTTTATGTTTACCTGACAGGTAAACGAAGTCATCGTTTGTCCCAGCTTCTATCAAGCTGCTGAACTAATACTAAAATCATAGTACAATAAGGCTATGTGTAATAAATAAACCAGCTCCTTAGCGCTTTAATTCTAATAGTTTCTTACAGTCTCTTTTAAGCTGCTGTATTATCGGTGTTAAAAGTGTAGTCGAATGTGTCTTTCATGTTGTAAGATGTTTCATGTGATGGTATTCTTTACCCCTTGTGGTATAAATTATGAATTTTTGGCTTAGAACCAAAAGCAGAAGTAGCATATAAATCTCTTATGAATTAAGTTGAGGTAGATGGTTGTGAGAAAGGGAGAACACTGTTAGCATCTTGTTTCCTATCAACAGTGAACACTGGTTTCATTCACAATGACCACAATCTTTCTCAAACCTTAATCAAATTGTTTTAGTGCCTTAGCTGAACCAAACTGTTAATGGCAAAAGGTCATAAAACAGTCAGAAAAGAATAATTTAAAAGGTTTTGAAAGGCACTAAATGTTGTCCATATCACATAAGGTTGTGTCTATTTTATTGTTTAGTTCGGAAGACCAAGTAACGTTACCATTAACTTGTGCAACAATACACCACATGCAAACACACAAGGCCACTTACAGAGTGGGTTGCTCCCCTCTTGCAGGTTGCTTTCATTGGTTTCCTTTAGCTTGTCCTTGAGTCAGCAGCACTAGCTAAATCAGCCAGCTAGCTGGATGGATGGCTGGAACAATAAAGATTGATCCGACAGACAACAAGGTTACTGTCTGAACGTCCTGCTCTGCTTGGTGAGCTGTGCAGAAGACTGTGACTGAAAACATACTGTTATCATGGCACAGCAGCACGTCATTTACATGGATACAGTGCGGAAGAGACAGAGCAGGGTTCTTTTTAAGAAATAATTTTCCAGGGGTTTTCTTGACAGCACACAATGATCATATAATTTACTATTATTTACATATGTTATTCCACCTTCATGAATCCTTTCAGGTTCATCGCAGGTAGGTGGTCAGCGTCAGTCCGCTTAAGCTTGGTGGTGCTCTTGGCTTCTCTCACCACAATTTTTTACGCTGCGGCCTCTTGCAAATTGACGACAATACCAAAACGATGGCTACAAGTCCTTTTATCTCCACGTCTTAAACCTGCTTTAAGTAATCTGACTGAAGGGGCTAAAATACAATAAAGATTTTCCAGGACAACATAGATTATTTCCAGGATATTTGGTCATTTTAATCAATTTCCAAACGTTTCCGTGACTGAAAAACTAATCTCTAATTTTCCAGGTATTTCAGGTATTCCAGGGCTGTCTTAGTTATTCAATTCAATTCAGTTCAGAGTTCAGAAGCTTGTTTATGGGAGTGAGATAATCCTCAGAGGAAGAAATGTGTCATCTGTCTGTTATCAGAATATAAATGATAAACTCAAGCTGTATCTCTTCATCTGTAATGTTGCCAAGCGGAAGCATTTCTCCACAAAGACCAAATGTCCAAGGATTGACCCTTGTGGGACCCCTAAGAAAAATTTGGTTTCAGCAGATTTGCCAACAAACACAGACGCTCAGATCTTTCACAGAGGAAGAAAATACCACGATCAGTTGTGTCAAGGGAAGCCGTGAAGCCAGTGAAGTGTAGGCTTCATCAGTGTGGATATCGAACCTGCCTGGATTATGTTCAGTGACAAGTAACTGAAAATGCTACCTTCTTAGACAACATGCAAGTCACACTGAGGTGGTCAGAGGGGATGTTGATCATACAAAGCACTGGACTTTGACTGGTGGAAAGTAACTAAGTACATTATAACATCAGTAGTGTAACAGTGTAACATCACACAAGTCTCGTTGTTCAAAACACGGAATAAATAACTTCCAACTTCACTAAAACAATTTACTGGCGGACTTATCGATATGATGGATGATGGATAACGTAAACAGTTACTCACTAATTAACTCGCTACAAACTGGCTCCTCTTCCTCTGGTTCATTCCTCTCCTGTCGCTGCCTGAACCCACCGCCTCTTCATCCCCAGAGTCAGAGTCCTGGTTGGAGCCGGTGGAAATCAACAGGCTTTGAGCAGGGTTCAGTTGTGCTCTTTGGCGGTATCCCCACTGGGTCCCCCCTGCTCCTTACACTAGTAGTGTTTAAACTCCCCCCCCCTGTCCTTCAAGCTTCCAGTCCGGGCATAGACAGCTAAAAGGACCGCTAACTAGCAGAGCACCAATAAGAGACTCCCTGTGTTACAATAGTTTAGTCCCGGTGACAAGGTGCAGCTCCTGAATGGGTCGACTGAGACTCTTCTCAGCAACTAACAGGCTTGAAATTAAAATGTTAACCACAGGCCAGTGAGGTTATTATGTAACTGTTCACAAACATCAAGTGGATATTCTTAAGACCTGCTGACTGACATCAAGTTACCACAATAGTTACTTTACTGCCACTGGTGGTACACAAGCTTGCTCTTGTGGTACTCGGAAGAATCTCTGAAATACTTAAAACAAATAAATAAATAATTTTAAACACATTTTATGTTACTAGTACAAACATTTTATTTATTGTTGACTGTTGTTGAGTCCTGAATGAAACCAGCTGAAGAACCAGAGCTAACCTGGTGGAAAGGGGGTCCCCCCCTGGTCCTCATAGCCTAACTTTGGAGCATTTTTTGACATGATTGAATGACATGGTACCAATGTACACATTATGTCTTCTAGTTTTATATGATACCAGCATCTTCTCTCTTGCTTTAAAACAGAGCCCATTACAGCCTGTGAAAGACTTAGACTCTGGAAACGACCCTGATTGTAAGTGAATGTCATGACTATTTCTAGAAAACAGGCTTTGTGGGTCATTGATTACTCTGCTATCATACACACTGTGTACTGACTGTTGTGAAAATAATAGGGGCAGCTGTCTTGATATTTATCCTATACTACCAGTGTGTTTTGGAACAGAACGATTACACTCACAATGACAATAAATACTTTCCAGAGAGTACCAGTGGGAGTAAAAGGTAGCAACAGAACTCCAGTCACTTTTTGTCTAATTATGTCGTACATGACATTTATCACTCATGGGACAAATTGAACTTTAAAAAAGAATGGGTAACACCAATAGGGACACGAGAGCAGTCCCGTAACCTGACCCTAAATGCTTGCTTCTAGATTGGACTAATAAAAAATGCTCTGGCAAAAAGGGGTTGGCCAAAATGATATCGCTGATATTTTATAGGTTTATTAATGGTATGACATGGCATTAGGTTTTCTTTTGGTGTACCCATACTTACTTTTATAGCATGACACTTTGGTCTAAGGTTCAGAATCCACCAGGCAGTCAGTATTCAGTACCTGGGCCAGTTTGGTTTATTTGAAAACTGATAGAATAATCTGCTAAAACTAACATGTATAGGTTTTTTTCTATCAATAAATAGCTAAATAGATAAATTAACTATTATAAATACATGTGACAACAAATGTATGGCTTAAAATGTGTCCTCTAAACTGGGGTTATATAATATTTGTACAATCCAACAGTTCTGAATGAATGTGATCATACAGGATTGAAAGATTTGCATTGTTTTCAGTTATATGCTTTTGTTTTCAGAATTGACCACACCTTAAGAACCTGTAAAGTCAGTAGGGACAATTTGGTGTGACAAGGCGGGTATAAAAGAATTAAATAGAGCACGATATCAAGAGAAGCTAAGCTGTGGCTCATATAAAACGGTGCAATAGCCCCATGTGATTCCATGTTTCCTCCTTCCACCTTTAAATTGTTTCTGAATACGGATATAACACTCAACTCACAATTCGATAGAATTCACAAAACCAGGATCGATGGCAACCGATTTGAGTCTTCACATATTTGTATCACGAGTTAATAGTCCCTTGATATATCTTTACATTCCTATTTTTGAATGTACTTGTACACTG